CTCGAATGAGTCCCTTAAAACTAACTTGTGTTTAGGTCTCGAATTAATCCCTTAAAACTAACTTGTGTTCAGGTCTCGAATGAGCTCCGGGAATGCAAACAAGAAGTTTCTCGAAGCAATGATGTTAATCTCATATTCGAAGGAGATGTGGGAGCTAGGGAAACAACATACTGTACATAAAGATCAAGAACAAAGTACATGAATCAAGAATATTGTACAGAACGATCAAGAACTAAGTACATAATTGAAGAATACTGTACATACAAACCAAGAACTACGTACATAAATCAAGAATATTTAACATAAAGATCAAAAACACAGTACATAATTCAAGAATATTGTACGGAAAAACCAAGAACAAAGTACATAAATTCATGAATATTGTACATAAAAACCAAGTACAAAGTACATAAATTCAAGAATATTGTACATAACAACCAAGAACAAAGTGCATATAAAACGGACCACAATTTACATAAAAACTGAGAGTAAAGTTTTCATAACTTTCCAAAAAATAAATTTTCTATTTCCCATCTTGATTAAAATTTGGGAGAATACCATGGAAAAAGGTTCCTTAAAAAAGGAACATTTTGCCCTGGAAAAAGTACATCTTATGAATTACATATTTCACATTTAAAAACTAAATAATTTTGCTGAATCCCAGAAAAAGAAGATTCGTTCTTCTTACAAAGCATTTATTTGTTTTATTAATGCAAACCGTTCATCGACATATAAAACATTATTTACTGTGACATAGTGCATGGACAGAATTGTTACAATTTTTGCTGTAGTTTATATCATTAAATTAAAACTTTTTTTTGTAATTATTTACTAATAGTCAAAAACGGGTATTTTATTTTGTCGTAATTAACACTTAAATTAAAGTTTTTGTAACGTGGAGAAAGTATTATTATTGTTATCTCTTTATTTACAATTAACACACGCAAAACTAAATAAACGGTGTTTAAACTTAAATATGAAAATATGGTTTCCAAACAAAATGCGATTTCTAAACGCAATTTGTTTAGCTTGTTTTCTTGCATTCAGTATATTTCTGTGCTTGACCATTTAGTAAAAATCATCACATAGAATGCAGAAACCAAAACTCAAACTTCAAATCGTTTTTATTTAAAGATAAATTTTGAGTCGTCTTGATAGTCTTATCCTGTGTGGGTAGCCCTGTATCTATAAACATTTTCATTTTGTTTTGAAATTTCAATATTTAAAAGATTGTACATGTATTTGAATTTTTATTTATGCACGGTAATTTCTTGCTTAAAATGTATAACATAATAAAAATGAATGTACATTGTTTATGTATCAATAAAATTATCTTACAAAATGAAAATATATTATTTTTGTTAAAAGATTGTCTTTGCTTTTGATCTAATGACAAAGTGTACAAGGTGTCCCGAAAAAACTTTGCAGTGGGGGTATCATGGCTGCTGAGGATACAATTTTGTTAAATTGTCACAATCAAGTTGTCATTGGAAAGCTCTTCGTTTCAATTATTTCCAGGTATAATCTTTTTCATTCTAGGTCTCATAGTTTTTTTTTTTGGTAACAACCATTGCTTTGATCATAAGTCAAAATTATTATAATATAAACAAGTTAACAAGTATAAAAGTTTTTGCCCAAATGGATTGGATCAAATACAAGGGATGTAATCCGTCGTCTTTGCATATAAGAACAGAGATCAGGGTTAAAAAAACCTGAACCCGAAATTTAAAAGAGTATCGTTGAACGACACTCCCGAGTTTTCTTTTGGGGTCCATATATTTGTGTAGATTTTTATTGAAGAGATTCGAAAAAAATGGAGAATATGACACGGGCAGCCGTAGTACATTTGAATTACCGAGACGGGTCAACCTTTCCGGTCCCAGTTTGTACTGTACCTGGCTCTATGGACAGGACTAGCCGGTGCAACAAGGTTGACGCGGACCCAATTTATGCTTCATATACAGAGCGTCCCATATCATATTAGATTATCTCCAATCTTTAACACCAAAATAAACCCTTAATACTCGAAAAACTTATCATTCTCCGCAAGAAAATTCTTATATAAGCCTTGTGTTATTTTTCAAAATGAAATTTTCTAATTAGTCCCGAAAATCGTAATTTCGACCCGTTCTCGGTCTAATATGATGTGGGACACCCTGTAGGTTGAATTTACTTTTACTAAAGGGGCAGAGGTGCGTGATGAAGAAACTAAATAAAATAATATTTCATAACAAAAAAATTGATATCCGCAAAACTACCTAACTCCATTCGTGAAACCCAGGTTGTAAAACTGGTTTTCATAAAGATACCCTGTCTTTTTTGGGCTCTGGGGTTTAGGTATAGATCGAATGGTGATATACAGTACATCGAACAATTGTGTATTGCGGCATCTGCGCGTGTCTCTAGTGTACGCAGTAAACAATATGTTTCCAGTTTTTTCTCGACCATTGGCATTAAACAGTTCTGAAGTAAACACTGCAAATAATAACATATAAGAAAGTTTTACAGTCCTGAAGTGTTGATCAATGCCGTAAATTCGAAAAAATAAATTGGATTAAATATTTTTTTTATAATTTATGCAAAGAAATGAAAATAAAATGTAAAAAAAAACTGAAATTTATTATTTCTACATAAAAATACATGATAAATAACAAGTGTATTAAAGGAGAGAAAGATGAGTAGGTCTTCTCTGATTCCAGAATCCGGCGCTACTGAGTTGCGGATTTTATAATCCTCTTTAGGGGATATCATTTTCTCATTTTTAAATAAATATTCTGTGTTCTCATTTTAACGGTTCAATTTGAAATCTTTAAGTCTTTAAGTCTGATGGTTCATCCTTGATGAGTCATTGCTTGCAAAGTTAATAAAATTTTAATTTTAATCAAACAATTTATTACTATAAACCGTTTCATAAAAAAAACACTCCATTTGATTTTGAATATAATGCCTTAGAGATATAGAAAATAGAAATTTGTATTTTATATTTAGTTCGCAAAATCTTGGTTTTTCTAAATCAAGATTATCTATCTATCTATCTATCTATCTATCTATCTATCTATCCATATATTCAAGACAGGTAGATGGTATGGTAGTTACATCAGTCTGAAGAGGGATCTGCAATTGTCTAGTTGGGCTGGGTAGAGTCCGTAGAGTCGAGGCACGTTTGGTATTTCTCAAGACTAGTAAATTCCACTCTAATATATATTCTATTCTCTTTGTATAAATGTAAATGACATTCATCATAAGTTTGCAAAATGTTCACTGTTCAATGTTTAAATAAGAATAAGTTGTGAATATTTGCTAAATATACAATTCAGTGTTTACGCTGAAATATATCCAACTTTTTTGGCGAAACAATTCTGATTTGCTAATTCTTAAAAAAAACACAAAGAAAATCGAAAAAGAATACATTTCATTGAGACTGTCAAAATTTATAGTGAACCTATTTACCACTACTATTCTTTCGGTTGTTAAAGATTCGGTCTTCCATATTTTAAGCTTTTCTATTTTACTAATATTCCAAAGTATTGCTTTTACAAACATTCTTAAACAAGAAAATTAGTTTATTAATAACTCTTCTGTCTTCCATAATTTCGGCTTAATTCCGTCTTTGCTAATATTGTAAAGTATTTATTGCTTGCCCATTCTCAAAGCTCTTCCCTTGTTGCCTTTCTCTTTAATACTTTGATGTAAATCTTTAACCTAAAATTATTTAATTTAAAATGTTTTTATGTCTTGATAGTAAACATGAAAATACGGCAACCCTGCTACTTTTTGTTTACTTTCAAAATTTCTAAGTTTTGAATTTTAAAAAGTACTTGTATGCATTGTTAAAACCTCTAGCTTAAAAAAAGCTGTGGGGGCACTGGATTTGTTTACATTCCTCCCACAGTGTACAGTACACAATTTGCGTATATCTGAGTTGGGCGTTCCTGGTCTATATATTTGTTGCGTAAAACTACTTCCAGACCCGTATAATCCAGGTACTGTTCGTAAAATATTAATGCCAAATACAGGCACAATCTCAAAGGATTCAATGTCGACACTGATATGGAAGCCTAAACTATTAATGCCAAACCAATTGGCACGATCTTGTCAGCTCGTTCGTTAAACGAGGATTAAATTACTCTCTCACCCTAATCAAAGCTGAGTATATTCCAACTGACGTGTATTTAGATAGCTATTTTACAGGTCAAGTTAACATATATATTTACAAGATTTGCGCAGATATATATATATATATATATACATTTTAAGCATAGTTAAGCTAATCAAAATACTTAGCTAGGCAAATCGCATTACAAGTGTTGCGTAGTTAATAATAAGATTTACAGACAATGTACAACGTAATATATCTAGGTATGTTCAAATGTATAACTGTGGGATTTTGTATTTATTACACTGTAACCGTACCGTTGTGAATTGGGCATTGCCAAGTGAAACAAAGGTCACTTGAAATTACGCTTACAGACTCTTTAAGACCGAGTTTGAATTAAAATAAAACACGGATATAGTGATTTTCATTTTTGTATCATTTCCTATCACTGTAAACCAATATATGCCACTATAGTTTCAGTAGAAGTAAATATTTCCATTTACTGTTATAGCACCGATAAAAGGATTCATAACTCTGATTGGATAATGAGATAGATAGAAAGATAGATGTTACCGCCATACTATTTCTATTGGTTGAGAATAGACAACAAACAGATGACTGAACCCTGATTGGATCAGGCGCTATTGGACCCGGCATACAAGAGTGATGCACGTTTTCACGCAAAGATGAAGCAGTATTTTGCTAATTTCTCCGTTGAAACTTAAACCAGAAACAAGAGCATTGCAGTTTTAGAATGTATTTGCCTAGGGCTCCAAAAAAGTTAGGGTGACTTGGTGTGGTAAAACCAAAGCTCAATCTGTCGCGAACTAATTCAAATTTTCTAATCCTTTCAACCTTTGCAACAATGTAAACCGTTGATATTTTAACCTGCTAAACAAAAGTCATATTTTGAAATACGAATTGTCTACAACATCAGGTTGCAAAAAGATCAGCTGTTTAGAAAACTAGAATTTATTGTTCAGTTCCTTTATTTAGATGTTTGTTATTTAATGTTTCAGAAAGATGCAGACTCCCGGCAAAAGTAAAACCCAATTAATTGGCCGACCAAACAAATTTGATGTTTTTAGGAAATTTGTTGTATAAAGTTTATTTTAATCCCATATTTTGCCCGTGTGGCCCCGCAGAAAAAAAAAGAAACAAAGAAACTGAGTTCTTTCCACAACTACAGATTCTGTTAGATCTAAAAATCTACGTTTTAATTATCAACGGTTTACTTCATCACTCATCAGGTTGCTAAGATATTGATATTAGTAAGTTTGTGGAGAAGACTCAATTCATTTGATTTCAAAATTTATCCAAATATGAAAAAAATGTATGATATTTCAAATTTACCCAAATATGAATAAAATGTATGATATTTCAAATTTACCCAAATATATAAAAAATGTATGCTATTTCAAATTTACCCAAATATATAAAAAATGTATGCTATTTCAAATTTACCCAAATATATAAAAAATGTATGCTATTTCAAATTTACCCAAATATATAAAAAATGTATGCTATTTCAAATTTACCCAAATATATAAAAAATGTATGCTATTTCAAATTTACCCAAATATATAAAAAATGTATGCTATTTCAAATTTACCCAAATATATAAAAAATGTATGCTATTTCAAATTTACCCAAATATATAAAAAATGTATGCTATTTCAAATTTACCCAAATATATAAAAAATGTATGCTATTTCAAATTTACCCAAATATATAAAAAATGTATGCTATTTCAAATTTACCCAAATATATAAAAAATGTATGCTATTTCAAATTTACCCAAATATATAAAAAATGTATGCTATTTCAAATTTACCCAAATATATAAAAAATGTATGCTATTTCAAATTTACCCAAATATATAAAAAATGTATGCTATTTCAAATTTACCCAAATATATAAAAAATGTATGCTATTTCAAATTTACCCAAATATATAAAAAATGTATGCTATTTCAAATTTACCCAAATATATAAAAAATGTATGCTATTTCAAATTTACCCAAATATATAAAAAATGTATGCTATTTCAAATTTACCCAAATATGAAAAAAATGTATGCTAATTCAAATTTATCCAAATATGAAAAAAATGTATGATATTTCAAATTTACCCAAATATAAAAAATGTATGATATTTCAAATTTACCCAAATATGAAAAAAATATATGATATTTCAAATTTACCCAAATATAAAAAAAAAATGTATGCTATTTCCAATTTATCCAAAAATGAGAAAAAATGTATGCTATTTCAAATTTACCCAAATATAAAAAATGTATACTATTTCCAATTTATCCAAAAATGAGAAGAAAAAAAATATGCTTTACTATGCTATCTAAAAGAATTCAGAGGTTTTAAATACTAAGTCAGATTGCAAAAATGGAAGGATTTGATTTAAAGTATTATTGATTTGAGGTTAGCTATCAGTTTTTTTCGACATCGATACAAGTTTTTGCAATATTAAATATGTATACTTTGATGGAAAGGTAGACTATAATATAATATTCATGGTGACATTTAAATAAACCTTATTGATATATCTCTAGTTTGTTTAATATAATATAACACAAGGAAATTGTTTTTTTTAAATTTGTTTATTTTTAAACCAATTGACAAATATATATAAATTAATACTGTAGATGCGTTAGGGTACCGTTATTAAAAGGGAGCTTTGCTATTTTAGGGCCACTTGAAATTTCGTCGACATACAGGCACTTTTAACATGTATGATGTAAGCAATGCTTTTAGTAAAATTGAGTTGACCCAAATAGATTTATCAAGTACAATAGGTGGCAACAGAGAAATGAACCAATTATACACGACGTCACAAGTGTCAAATATAACAAGAAAAACGAATTTTCTCACATTCGTTGACATGTTTTCGAAGATTAAATAAAAAAGTGTAAAAACAGAAAATGGCACTTATTTTACTGTAAAATAAGCACTTTATTCTAAAATTATCCCTATTATTAATATTTTTGTTGGCCACAAAAACTGAACTGACACTAGTGACGTCAGAATACAGCTGTACTGAGAGTGTACAAATTCTACGCTGCCATCTATTGTACTAGAATTTATTTGAGTTGACCTAAGCTATAGAAGTTTCAACTGCATGATATTTTGCAAAGATTTAGAAATTAGAAAGTTAGAATTTAAATTGTTCAGTTCAAATCCTTCAGTGAATTTCAGAATTTCTCCAAAAAATTATCAAATATTTTTAAAATTTTATATTTTCGATGAAATAATGAAGTTTCCTCAAATATGGACACTTTTCTTAGTTAAATATAAGTAAAACTTTCAAGGTTTGTTTTGCAGTCTTGAATGAATTTTGAAAATTTAATTTAAGCAAAAATTTGATATCAGTGCAATTGAGGAGAAAGATCGATCAAAGATATCAACTCTAGGAATCATAATATTGTAACAAATCCTAATCAAAATATGTTCTAAACATGCCAAATTGAAAGGAGTTCTCGAGAAAAATGAAAGGGGGTATAGGCTTACACCGAATTTAATTCAGGTTTGGTTGCTACTTATTTTCCTTCCGAAAGAAGTTTTCCACAACACTGCATACTCAGTTCAACTACCTTACATAACCGGTCACTCCCTTTAAACCATCGAGATATTAGTAATAGAGGGGGCATCTGGAATTTTAGACTTCTTGTTGTACAGCTACTGTACACAATGACCCGATCAGAAATTCTACCTGGGGGGATCACAATTCGTAGATTAGTGTTTTAAGACATTATAGTTTGAATCCGAAGCCTACAATATTCAAGCAAAGAAAACAAGCCCATATGATTTTTGTATAAAAATGAGACATGACAAATAGAGAAAAAAAATAAAATCCTTCTCAATAACATCTTGCTTCTTATCAAATTCTTTACTTCTGAAATCTACATTGTGCATTAACTCTTAGTAATATATGTTTCTGACTTTTAGAATGAAAAGCAATTCTCAACTAATAATAGATCTAAATTAGGTTAGACTTAATTTTAAAGTTATTGAAGAACTGAAAACTGTTGAAATATTTATTTTACATAAATGAACTTAACGTGAAACAAGTAATTTTTAATTATAAATAATCTATTGGTTTTGTAGGAGAACCAGTTTTGAAAGCTTTTGACGCAATCAATTTTTTTACATTTTGGTTCACTGCATATAAAAATTGAGTTTTTTGGATTCCAGATAACTTGTTCTATCCACTCTTTTCGTATGTTATGAAAAATTTCTGAACCCGAAACATCGTTGTTTACACAATTCTTGACACTACAATATCTCATTGTTGAAAAATATTAAAATTAACTGTCCACACAATACCGTACAAATAGATGTACTTAGGATTAAACCCACTGTACTCTATGATACCAACTCAGTCATAAGGAAACATTTTTCGACAAAATTCACTGTACAGTATAAACCTAGCCAGGCAAAATTAGGAGAGTTATGCCCGCCCCCTGCTTTAAACCCAAGAGAGTATGAGTCCGATATAAATTGTTGCATTATTACACCCAAACCATAAAAAAATTTAATTAAAAAACTACTCCATAATCATTCAAATATTACAATTGTTATCAATGTAGATCAATTCGGGGCATTAATATGAAGTGTACATTTAAAATTGTTTTATTTATTCGCGATGTAAGCTTTCGATATTTTAGGAATTTTACTTAGCAGAGACACCTATCGGACAAAATATTTCTTATTAAATTAATTTACAAGCTTCTATTAAAAATTAATTGTTTTATAACAACATTAAATTTACATAATAATGTTTAAATATATCTACCTATTTAACAGTTTATGGGCCCCACAATTATACTTTTTTCAATTTGGTCCTTTTCTATCAAGGGGAGGAAGACCAACCACAACAATTTCTCGTCCGAGCCACATTCTCCTCATTTTCTCGTCTGAGCCACCTCGAAATCCTCGTCCTTTCAATATTTTTTTAAGTGTCTAATCCTTCCAGATAAAACTATTTTTAAAGAATTGGGCCACGTTAGGGCATAATTGAAATATTAAATTTTTGTAAATCGAAAAAAAAAGTTTTAATTGAATTAAAGATTTTAAGTTTAATGTCTTTAAAAATGTTCACCTTTTTTACGCGCACTTTCAAGATATTCCTGGTGTAGAATGCCGCAAAAATTCCAAGTTTATAGAACTTCAATCTTTTTTGTTAACTTTAGTGAAAACCATAGAATTTTTCCGGGTGGTTCCATGGGGAAAATTATAGGCAGAGGTATGCCGAATATTTTGCTATTTAATTTATTTCATATCACGAAGGTTACCCATAACGGAGGCAGAAGAGATTTAAGTTTTACCTAAATAAAGTTTGACATCATTCTTAAGGCTTTGAAAATTTCAGCATGATATAATCATTGTAATACTTTAGTCCATCCATATTTTATGCCCTAAAGTGGCCAGATTTAAAAAAATTGTTTTATCTTCAAGAATTGGAAACTTTTTAACACAAAATAATCGAAGGACGAGGATTCCGTGGTGGCTCAGACGAGAAAATGAGGAGAATGTGGCTCAGAGGAGAAATCGTTGTGGCTGGCCTTCCTCCCCTCTTCTATCTCTTTTGGAATTGGAAATGAAGAATTTGAACAATTAAATCTTTGATTTTTTAACGCTGTTTACAATGCATGGTTGATAGTGATGCGTGAGGATGTGAGTTTAGGAATGGTGTCTTCAGAGAACGGGAGGTTTGTAAATTTATAAATTTGTAAATCTGTTTTTTTTAAAACGTGATTTTATACCCTAGGCAGTCCAAAACTAAGACCAGGACAGGCCCCATACAGAACTAAAGGAAGTTGAAAATTAACACTTTTTTCCTCAACGGCTTTATTATTATCCAATAATTATGAAATTATTATCACAATATCTCTGCGATGTTAGGACTACGTTTAGTCATTTTTGTTAAGGAATAATGACACCCCAAAACTTGAAGGAAATATGAAAATGTCCAAACCAAATTAATTCTTTCTTTTAATTTGTCCTGTCGTTCTGGCAGGTCCCACACTCACACAATATTTATATTTAATATTGAAGAATAATATACATTCAGAATGACATAACACGAAAGCAGTAATTTTGACAATTTCATATTCCCCTCAAGCTTGGTATGTCATTATTCTTAATATACAAAGAAACTGTTCTGATTTGTTGCTAAAGTATAATTCATTAATCATTATAACATAAATCTAGAAAATTAATTTGAGAAAGCTATTTATCCGGAAGGCTAGAAGAGAATCAATATTATGTTCTTGAACAAAATGGTAGTTTAATGAAATTAATTAAAACTTTATCTATACATATATTACAATTATTAGTAAATTTCGGACATCTCACCCCACACAAATCGGTACAGCATGTACCATGCAATATGAATTCAGTCGTGCTATCCAACCACCCAGCAAGTTCTATTCAGCAACCACCCAGCAAGTACTATTCAGCAACCACGCAGCAAGTACTATTCAGCAACCACGCAGCAAGTTCTATTCAGCAACCACGCAGCAAGTTCTGTTCAGCAACCACGAGGCAAGTTATATTCAGCAACCACCCAGCAAGTTCTATTCAGCAACCACGCAGCAAGTGCTCTTCAGCAACCACCCAGCAAGTATTATTCAGCAACCACGCAACAAGTGCTATTCAGCAACCACGCAGCAACTACTATTCAGCATCCACCCAGCAAGTGGTTTTCAGCAACCACGAAACAAGTGCTATTCAGCAACCGCCCAGCAAGTGCTATCCTGCAGCCACCCAGCAAGTGCTATCCTGCAGCCACCCAGCAAGTGCTATTCAGCAACCACCCAGCAAGTGCTAGTGTCAATAAACGTAGCCTGAAAAGATCTCAGTATTGTTATTTCAAGCTTGCTTGACAAGCTTGCATCAAAGTAAATTGTTTGAATCAGAACCTAGATACAATTGCTTTTTGATTAACGTTGACTGCATTTATTAAATACTCCGATCTCAATTTGTTAAAAATAGTTTTAATGATTTTTCTTTCGCTTAGATCGTTACTGTACTGCTTAATGGAGAAAGTGTGTAATGGGGACAAAATTATTCTAAGAAAACTAGATTCTTGTTTAGTAACTTCAAATCAGGCAAGAACATATATATACTTATGATAATATAAATAATATATTTTGCGAGGCATTTGAAAACTAGTTTACTGAAAAAGGATGATACTGTAAAGACAACCTGAAACTATTATGATGTTATAATAAAAACAGTAAAAATTCTATACAGTCGTCTCTGAAGTCTTATTCTTTTTGGGTAACCCTTTATTCTTATTTTTATTTAGATTTAAAGTTGAGATATAAAAGTTTTTGAAGTTTTACCAAAACAAACAAGAATAATTAAATAACATGAAAAGAAAACAGAATGTGCGAAATGATAACAAAAAGTTTTTTTTGACTTAAGTAAAAAAAATAGATGATGTAAATGTAACTACAACCTTCCTAATTTGGATCGCTTTTTCAATAAATAAATCTTGAAAAGACGAACATCTAGTGTCCTATCTGTATCGTTATTAATCTATGGTATAATCCAACAAAAAGTGCAAAAAATAGCAAACACAAAAAAAACTTTACCGGATGAAAATGGGTTCCAAAGTTTTAAGTTAAGGCTTAATAACCAGAACCCTTAATTTTACATTTAGATATGTTACTTACATCTTAAAGGTGCAGACCGGCGATGGAAGGTAGTATCCAGTCCACCCCCAAAGTAGGAGTTTCGAACGTCGAATTTGCGCTCAAACTCAGGATTTACAGATCTTTAAAAAGTTAAATATGTCTCAAATGAATCCTGAAGAAGCTTTCCACAACACTGCATACTCAGTTCAACTACCTTACATAGCCGGTCTGTCCCTTTTAAAGAAATAATATTTTTGTAAGTAAAATTATGGGATAGTAATTCTCGTAAAATTTAATAAAAATGATTCTTTGTCCAGGGAACTAAATACTTTCATCAAAGGCTATATCTTTGCAACCTAATATTTTATGAATTGACTTTATGATAAAGGAGAATTATTAGTTTTTCATACGGTAGTAGGCGATTATATCAATATAATGAGGACAACTTTTGATTTAGATTTTAATTTATATCAAGCTTTTAAAGAGCATTTATACACAAAAACATGGAAACAAAGAGAAGCTGTCAACTGAAAAAGATTCTCTTTAATTACTTGTAAATTTGTAATTTTAAAAAAACTTGTTAACAATTAAAACGTAAATCAAAAGTCATCTTCATTATATTAACATTATAGCCTACCACCGTAGTAACGTAATATGACATCAGAGGGACCGAATTTAATAAATTTAAACTACGTTGCTAAACCACCTACTGATGCCGGATCAAAGTTAAACCACCGATTCAAAGTTAAAGATTTAGGAAGGATTTGAATCGGAGATTCAAATTTGAACCGGCGGCAATCAATTAGTTCAAACTCATTAAATTCTTTCCCAGGTTGTTAATATTAAGGGATTTTCAAATAGCAGTTTGAGGCAAGTGGTTGATTCCGTTTTCCATTACAGTAACTTTCTGATATATAGGATCCTGATTCAGACGATTTCTATATCCAGGTCGATCTTACAAAACTAGTCGGGGAGGAGGAGAGAAGGTAAATATTGGAATATTTAAGGGATTCTTAAACTTTTTGAAATTAAAAACAGGGTTACCCACAAAGGATGAGACTACAGAGACGACTGTGGTGAATTTTATGAGCCATTTTCTATTAATGTTCGTCCCCTGTAGCAAATTTCTGAATTTCTGTTCAAAATAATTTTTAACACATATTTCATGAACCATACCTAAGAATAAGATCGAATTTAACCTTCAGATCTTTAGAATTTAAATACTTTTAGATCTGCGTAACAAAGCTTAATCCTTTTTTGGTAACCCTGTAATTATCTTAATTAAAGGTTAACGGAAAATAATTATAAATCCACCAAACGGCACATTAATGGTTATTTTGAAAAAAAGTATCGCTTTGTTGTTTTCTTATTTCTAAAAATTGGGATTGTGCATATCTTAATTGAAGCCCCCCCCTTTCCGGTACAAAAATGTTTATTACAAAAATGAATAGAGTTCATAATATTTCTGTGCAATTTAGACTATAAATCACATAAATAAAACTATAAACCTTTGTTTTCTAGGGATCCAGTTCTTATTCGGGATATTCTCAAGTTACCACGTAGAGTCAGTAGACGAATTCTCAACCATCCTGTTATTGTGACATACATACAACAAAGATGGGACAGAACACGGTAGTAAGATATAGGGTTACCACGTAGAGACAGTAGATAGATTCTCAACCATCTTGTTATAGTGATATACATATATTACATACAAAAAAGATCACATAGATCTATTGCTATTGAAAAGTTGGATCAATTTTCTAAACTGGGTCGAAATTCGAATTTAAGAATCACAACGCTTTGATCTTTGATTTTAACTCACTAGCCACTAACTAACTTATACTTTTTGTAGCCCTTGGCATAATTTAATAACACTTGTTTTTAACTTAAGTTTTTAAACAGTAATCAAAAATATTCTTATTGATTTTCCGACAGAACTTGCAACCTTTGGATCACTGCGCTCCCTCCCTTATTAACAATTTTAACTGTTGTTAACTGTTGTTCTAAAAATAGCCATTTTTCATATTTCAAATTGTGGCGGATTTTTCTAGTTCAATTGGCGCATTTTCAAATAAATTTATTGTAAACATTTTTTCCGGGCCAAATTATTCATCTTTGACGGACATTAATCTTCCCTAGGGTCATGTTAGTTCCCATAAATCGGTTCAACTTTCTTTTGGGCGATTCTTGGACGAAAACAGACAGACAAGCAAAGTATATATATAGATAGTTTATTTCAGTTGGTCCTTCCTTGTATCATTTCTCATTTATACCTCCTTTGTTTTATTCTTCTCATTCTTCCTGGGGATGATGTACTGGAGATATGATCATAACCAGGTATTACATTGTCGTTTAATTTAAACAATGTTTATATTATTTCTAATTATTAATGTTGACTCTCGTTTATTTTGGTACACTTATCCTGATTACTAGACTAAAAGATCATTGGTACACTCTTCTTGCCTATATCATCAAAATTAAAAATGATATTGTTTTTAAAAGAGATAAACATAAATATCTCATTAATCGACAGAATGTCTTTTATTAAGGTTAAACATTTTTGAATTTAATTATTTTTATTTTTTTTGATAAGCTCTACTTCGGCAGAAGCTAAAAACTAAGAAAAACAATGAAATCAAAAACGAACTAAATTTGTACCATAATATTTTCAGACAAGAGTTGAAGTAAAACTATCTACAGGTTGAAGCCTGTCCCATCAAAAATATACTTTTAGCTTAATTTTCATTTTATTTATTTATCCATGAAATAATATAGATAAAAATGGATTCATTTAGGAGAAATCAAATTTTAAGAAGATTTTGCTACGTTTTTTATCTAAATTGATCCCGGTTTAATTCCAATTTCGCACTTTTTATAAACATAAAACCTGTATTAAGGTAAAACAAAAACCTAATCGTCAAATTGAGTCATAATTGGTATAAAATTAGTAATTAGTAAAATCATCAAAATGAAGAAAAAACTTAAAGAAGTTATATTCGCGAAAACAGTCTTATTTTAATTCATTTTATATCATTTTTTGCCTTGAAACCATTTTTTGGTTACACAACTATATTGCTTTAAAAGATTTTTCAATTTAATTTTAATATTTAGATTTGGAATTATATTGCAGGTCTCGTGAAACCTGAAACCATCATGGCGTATTTTAAAAAAGTTGATTTTTTTATTTAAAAAAAGTAAATTTATGTTTACATGGAATAAGTTTTAAGGATAATTATGTTCTCCAACAACATATTTTATAAAAAAACATTTTTTTTCTTTGATAATTGATGCTGGACAACTTCTGCAAAAGATTGCCAGTTCAGTCCTGTAGGTAAAATAATAAAAACAAATAAAAAAAATATTTTATCTTTACTAAAATCACAAGAAGTCCAAATTTCAATGCAATTCACACTTTTACTTTTAATTTAGTAAATTTCTATTTAACTTTGACAACAAGAAAAATCTGCGAAAACCGTCATTGCTTTTATTTTTAAATGCACGCAAAACTATATAAACCCACAGGGTGTTCCAAAATAAACGATCTTTTTAACATTGCAATGCACTCACCATGGTATAATTTTTTTAATAATGTTACGTTAATGAACATCATGCAACATTTCTGAACGATTGATACCACTTAAAAATGTACAGCACAAATGTTAAGGAAGTTTTGACAATTTTAAGTTTGACATTTTTGAGCACCCTGTATGGAAGTGCCTATTTTCTTTTCAAATAATTGTTTTTTAGTATTTGAAGATCAGAATAACGGCGGAAAAAATGGAATTCAAACTAGATTTGATTCCACAGCTATAACATTTTCAGGTATATAAAGGGCTCTTGTTAATATATTAAATAAATTTCAGTTGTTAAAAAAGCATTTTTCTAATCTAGAGTATTTAAAATCTTAATGAAATTCTAAAAGTGTAATTTAGGTTTCTAATTGCTAACCTTAAAATTAAAATTTTCAATCCTTATATCTTTGCAACCTGATGGTGTAAATCTTTGATAATTGACTAACAAATCAATACGAATTCATAGTTTGAAATTTCATCATGGCATCAGATTGCAAAAATAAAGATAAAAAATCAGAATTTTTTGCATGTATTCAGTTTCTTTAAAGCTACAAACTAAACTAAACTATATACTACGTGTGAACTTAAAGCTATAAAAACTTAACTAAATTAACACAAAAACTAGACAAAAAAAATACTATCAAAAACTTAACTTATGAAAATTATTTATAAATCTTTTAATATCATTATCTCTTTATTACATTTTTCAATACAACTTTTAGAATAATATTTTTCATCTATATTATTCATCTATATTATTCAAATTATTAATTTTAATTAATTAATTATATATTCAGAAGATGATCAGAACTTTGATGTAAAAGTTGAAATTGTCAAGCAACCAAAAAACAGGTATAAACCATTAAGAACAAATATTTTTACATCGAAAAATCTTTTTACTTTGCTTGACTGTTTGTTTGTAACTGATAAACGTCAATACGGCTGAACCAATCAGGCCCAAATTTATTGTGGGACCTCACAAGATCCCAGGGAAGTTTTATGGATGGTTAGAATAAAACAAATTTACCTTACAAAATTGTATTTTTAAAATCGACGGAAAAAATCGATAAAAGAGCAACAATTTAAAGTAAAAAGATATTGATATCGAAAACAAACTTAAAGCAGAAAAACGTTGGAAAGTTTCTTTTTATACTGATTATCTATATTTCCAGAAGTGAGACGAGAGCACTAAAAAAGTTGGGATTGTTCAGTGGATGTTCTCAAAGACGTTTGTAAGATCTTTTCCTTTCTCATCAAGACTCAGTCAATTTGAATTTTCTTAAAGACCACTTTATTGACCCTGATGATCACTTTATTGACCCTGCCGGCCACTTTATTGACTTTGCTGTCTACTTTATTGACCCCAGCTGACCCCTTTATTGACCCCGTGCTGATCACTTTATTGATCCCATGCTGATCACTTTCTTGATCCCATGCTGATCACTTTATTGACCACTTTTATTGACCCTGCTGCCCATTTTATTGACCCTGCTGACCACTTTATTTTCCTGGCTGAATTTCAAGCAGTGAATCATTAAAGGCCGTCGAATGCACAGATATATCTTATTGTTTTGTTCATTCTTAATATTTATTTGTGAGCAGTAGTTATTTATGATAAATCATCGATGCACTTATAAATATGATAAATCATGATTCAAAAAATTATATTTAGAAGGAAATTCAACAAGTTATATTTCAAAAATTTTTCACTCAAATCTTAATAATAATTTTCTTTAAGTTATCGTGATGTATCAATGTGTACAGTAGAAATTCTTCTAGTGTTTACAATATTTCTTTTAGGTAAGAAAACAACATGAAAACTTTAGCTTTTATCCGTTTTATTAATTTTATTAATGGGTATTGATTGTCAACTAACCAAAGAATTAACCGATATTTAAAGAATAACGTAGTCGATTCACATCCCGTTATCTGAGTAAAAATGAATGAGATATAATTGCTTTTCTATCTTAAAAATTACATTCAAGGATGAAAAGGCAATGAAAATAATCCTTTTTAAAAAGAAAAAAACTTTAATATCTCGGACACTGGTGGAAATCGTTGATGCACAAGGCCCGATCAAAGGATGAAATTTTGACCGTCTAAACTGTTTAGATACAACGATTTCAATTTTTAAGGAATTGAGTATTTGCCACAAACTCAAATTTTCAAATCCTATATCTTTTCAACCTGATCGTGTAAACCTTTGTAATTTCAAATCTACATTTTTTGTTATAACATAATCTAAAGTTGGAAAAATCTAAGGTCTACAACAAAGGGGTTTAAAGATATAGGGCTTAGAAAATCAGAGTTTGTGGCCGAAACTCAATTTCTTTGGGTTTCTGCCTTAAATACAGTCTTTATATGCATATGGAAATAAAGGAATTGAGTTTTTTGTCACAAAGCCACCTGACGTTTTAAAATTTTCATATATTTCAAACTCTGAGTAGTTGATCTAACAGTATTCATAGCTTAAAATATCTAAGGTCTACGACATTGGGCAGATATAGGGATTAGAAAACAAGAGTTTGCGGCAAAAACTCTATTTCTTTCTAAAAGAAATAATCAATTTTACAGTATTAGCAACTCAAAAAAGGTCTCTGAAGTTTCATCCTTTGTGGGTAACCAGCTGTAGCTCTTGAATCGTTCCATTGTTTACAGATAATAATGTATACTAAGTTCTCTCCAGAAAATGTTTCCCGGAATCTTATATATTATGTTATGGATAATTGTATGTTTGTAGTGATTCAAGAACTGTGGCAAATAGTTGCACAAAGAAGAGAATATTTTAAGGTATTTTTCAAGAATTAAAGGGACTCTAGGCGTAATTTTTCAAGAATTAAAGAGACTGTAGGCGTAATTTTTCAAGAATTAAAGAGACTGTAGCCGTAATTTTTTAAGAATTAAAGGGACTCTAGGCGTAATTTTCAAGAATTAAAGAGACTGTCTGCGTAGCTTTTCAAGAATTAAAGGGACTGTAGGCGTAATTTTTCAATAATTAAAGAGACTGTAGGCGTAATTTTTCAAGAATTAAAGAGACTGTAGGCGTAATTTTTTAAGAATTAAAGGGACTCTAGGCGTAATTTTCAAGAATTAAAGAGAATGTCTGCGTAGCTTTTCAAGAATTAAAGGGACTGTAGGCGTAATTTTTCAAAAATTAAAGGGACTGTAGGCGTAATTTTTCAAGAATTAAAGGGACTGTAGGCGTAATTTTTCAAAAATTTAAGGGACTGTAGGCGTAATGTTTCAAGAATGAAAGGGACTGTGCGCGTAATTTTAATTAAGTCCAATTCACAATAGCACCTTTGAAAGCTTTGTCTGAACTACAATTAATGGGATTTTCATGTTTTTAACTTTGAAAATTAATTATTTTCAAATACGGTTCCTTTGTGAAATTGATTTGCACAATATGATGAATTGTGAAATGTAATGCTAGAAAAATGACGTTGCATCTTTCACACTTAAAGGGTTCGTACTGTTGTGAACCGAACTTTCATTTTTTTAAATGAGAGTCACTTGAGGTTACAACAATAGTCTCTTTAAATATTAATAAACTAGTTTCATTCCAGAGATAAGAAAGTTACAGAGATCGATTTTCAGCTAAAATATGCGATATTTTCCACAGCATGTTCTATTGTGTACAAGTACTGTACACGAACAATCAGCAAATATCTGTATTCAGGGATATTTAAGGATCCTTTGGATACCAAACACAAAATCTTCAAAAAAAAAGACTGAATTCATAAATGTTATGTTTCATGCTTAAAATTGGAGTATTTCTTTAAAAGTTGTAAAACTTAACCCCTGAATGGGTATTATATTCAACAATTGGCCTATCGTAAAAACGTAGCATGTCGTGCTGGGTCAACTTAGGCCTACGTCCCCCACCCACGTGAAAGAGATGAGGAGTCCGTGTTTCATTCATTCATATATATATATTTAATTACAGGAACTGGAAAACTGGTTTGAATTAGTTATAATAATATTTGCAATAAGGTAAGAGCGTAAATAATTTTAACAAAAAAATTATGCTTCATGATTGGAGACTCAATATTTCCCCCCTTCGATTTATGTAATATTTTTAACTAATTTTGAATTTATAAATTGATGGAGGGGGATATGGCATTGAACAAAATTTACTCTTTGTCTTAGCTCAAGAAGATTCTTATAAACTTAACAAAAGTTATATTTTAACACTTGGTGGAAAATAATTTGGGAAAATTTTTTGTTTAATTTTGTCTCCCAAACTTTAATATCTTCTTTGCGATAAGATTTTTGTTTTCTAGCACTATTTGTCTAAAGCAAGATCTGGATACACTAAAGATTATATCAGCAGTAGGTAAGGGAACAAACTATATTCTTGGATCAAGATTTTAATTCATTAAAATTTTTTATTTTTTTTTTGATAAATTAAACTTTTTATTAATGAGATTGTTAATCTTTTTGAATATATTTAAAGACAATTTGTAAATGAGAAACAAAACTAATACCAACATGGATTGGAAGATGATTTACGATATTATTTTTTCAAAATACCGGAAAACATAATTTTTTGTATATTCATTTGACAGAAAGTTTTAGATCGTTCTGGCTCTCAAGGATGTTTGAGCTTTAGCATTTGGCAAAATTGTGTTCTTTTCGTAAAATAATTTGGATAGAAAGTATTCTTTCAAATACCTGGACAATCCTTTCAGGAATATGTTTGGCCTGGTTACAACTTATATTTCAGGAATCTGTTTGGCCTGGTTACAGCTTATATTTTAGGAATATGTTTGGCCTGGTTACAGCTTATATTTCAGGAATATGTTTGGCTGGTTGCAACTTATATTTCAGGAATATGTTTGGCCTGGTTACAACTTATATTTCAGGAATCTGTTTGGCCTGGTTACAGCTTATATTTTAGGAATATGTTTGGCCTGGTTACAGCTTATATTTCAGGAATATGTTTGGCCTGGTTGCAACTTATATTTCAGGAATATGTTTGGCCTGGTTACAACTTATATTTCAGGAATCTGTTTGGCCTGGTTACAGCTTATATTTCTTTTTGGACGATATCCATTTCTAGGCGGAAAGTTTAGGTAAATAAATGAAATAAAATTCTTATGATGACGGGGTTAACAGAATGTCTCAAAAACAAACAAAAAACGAAAGAGTTTTTTCGTGAATGATGATAGACGAACAACATGAATCGTACAGAGAACTGAAATACCATCGTTTTTTAACGAAGGAAAAAAACATAAACGGACGATTAAAAACCGTTCAAACAATCTTGATAAAACTTTCATTTTTTTACAAAAGATTTTGAAAAAAACTATCGTTTTTTATTTCTTCTAACAAACTTTATAAAAAACTATTATCTTTATACAAAAATAACGAATTTCTTTGAACAAACAGTTTTACTGAACGATTGTTGAGTAAGAAAACGCACAAAATTAATGGAAAATGAACGTTAATTTTAAAAATGAACAAAATAAATTGTTTCTGAACGATTGAAAAAAATAACGAAATGGGTCGTTCACAAACAATGAACGAACAAAATGAAAAAAAAACCAAACGCGCCTCATCTCTATCCAGAAGTCATCCATTAGTATGTCTAATAAAAGTAAACTATCACAAAATCACCTATACTACTCCACTATGCCACTATCCCACTTTTCTACTAATTTCATCAGCAGCTAGATATGTTAATAAAAAATATAGAGAAAACGGAATATTGAAGACTATACCTCCTCCAAATTAAAAGTTATTTGGCTTAAAAAATTGAATTTTTTTTTTTTGGGGGGGGGGGTGTCACATTTTTTAGAATTTTGGCTTATACAATTTTTTTTCAAGTTTACAACCCCAATTGAAAAAAAAGTTGTTTTGTATTTTTCGATGAGGGATGTGAGGAAAAATCCGAAGAGTATCGTAACAGACAAATAATATCTCTATTATATTTTAGTATCATGTATTACACTGTTACCAAGAGAATCAGTAAAACAGCGCTAGGTGGGTCTAAATATAATAATTCACATTAATAAATCAAACAAAATACTTGAATAAAACAAAAATTCTATAAGAGAAATTTTATTTTCCATTTGTCAGTGTAAAAACAAGTTTGCTTTTCTTAATTTTTCATCCTAAATTCAGAACAATGCTTTTAATTTTTTTTTATAATTAAACACTTTTAATATTACAATACTAAATTATTTATAATTTTACCAAATATTCAGGATTTTTTGTCATGCTTTTCGGCTTTAGGAATAAAATAGTTGGATCAAGAATAAAACATTAAACAAAACATGTTCTTCATTAAAGGGAAAATTTGAAAAAAAAACTTTTAATTTATTTTTCTCTAAATTTCAGTGAGACTAAAATTTAAGTAATCTTTTGTGAATTTGATGTTGTTATTATGCAAGTAGCTGTACAATGCAAGTATTTGTACACGTACCTGTACAATGAAAGTATTTGTACACGTACCTGTACGACTGTCCGCTATAGCTTGAAAAAAAACCTCTAAAATGATATATGTCAATGAACATTAAATACACTATATAATTTAATCTTCATCTTTAAATTAATTACTTGATTCTAACAGTCGTCTTCTAACTCCACAGATTCATGGGTCTCACTGTTGGTAATTTTACAGAATTTGTTTACTTATTAGATCTTATCATTGTGTTTTTTCCTGCTTTTCTGTGTACATTTTTAAAGAAACGGTCTCAACACTGTTTTTAAATTTAAATAATATTGGAAAACTAGCTGAAGTGCGTGGCGTTGCCCGTGGGTGGAATTTAAAAAGATCGAATTTTGAAAAAAGTTTTTAATTTAAAAAAAAACTTAGATTTTTTTAAGCCTATATTTTACCCCCAGGGTGCCCATGAGTTCCCACAAAAAATGTCAGCCAATTTGGTGCGGCCGTTTGACCAACTAATATATGAGCGAAGAGCTTTATTATTTAGATAAATATATTCAAAAACGGATTGAAACTGTTTTATCTGTAGTTTCGCATTTTTTATCATGAATTCTGGGATTGAGACAGAATCCTTTGGAAACATTTTCCAGACTTTTCTTAAGATATTGGTGATGCTTCTAGGAGAGTTTGAGTTCAACGACCTGTACGCGGTAACAGTTTCTTGTCTATCAAATAACGGCACAGTCCGCTCAAATTAATTACTCGCTTCATTGTCTAATTTTCTAATCCTTATATCTTTGCAGCCAGATGTTGTATCCTGTAATGTTCAAAACTATAAACTCTACTAGATCACAAAGTCTAAGATCGAAGGTTTAACCCATCAGATTTCAAAGATTAGAAAATTCAATTAGAGGCGACTGCTTAGTACCTTTTTATTTAGAGCTATGCCTGTACGTATTCTGTAGTTCAGCCAGGGAGCAAGGGACTTCTGCCCCCTGCCCCCCCCCCTTCAATACTGTCAAGAGCTTTTAAATATATTTTTGATTTTTCGTGTCTTATTCATTTCTGATTCTTTTTAAACGTAAAGGGACTGTAAGCATAATTTCAAATACCTCGTCATGCAAAGATGGCAATGCCCGATTCACAAGGGTACCTTTAAAACTTTTGACTGATTAAAGGGACTGTAAAGGAAAAATGAAAGGGGGTATAGGCTGAAAGCTAATAACTTTAGCTCTCGATCGCGACCCATGAAAGTCGTATCTGATGTTCCTATCTCGAGAAACTGATTTACAACTTTGTCAAATTTACACGAAAATTAATATATATACAATTTTGTATAAAAGTAGTGGGTTTAGATAGATCAAATATAGCAAATATGCAACCAATCTGAAAACGATGATATCCCAGAGAAAGCTAATTGTAACAATTAGGTTTACTCCAATTCTAATTTTATATTTGTTATTTCTATTTTTTATAGATTTAATTCATAATATTATTTATACGTCCGTATTGCTTGACCAGAAATTCCACCAATGGCAGTGCAGTAAAGTGGTCACATGATACAGGCGGAGACACGTGACCAGTATACTGCTCTGCCATTGGTGATAGTTCTGGTCACGTGATTTAAGTTTAAGATTTTCAAAATTTTACATATATGAACTTTCGCATAATTTTAACACAGTTTTATATCAATTTCTCGAGACAGGAACATCAGATAAAACTTTCATGGGTCGCGATTAAGAGCTAAAGTGAATAGCTTTCAGCCTATACCCCTTAATTTTCCTTTACAGTCCCTTCAAGGTTGTCATTAATCTACGAAAACGCCTGAATTGGTTAACAGTTTAAAAACAAAGGGAGCTGAGTTTTTGCCCCAAACTCAAATTTTCATTTTCTAATCCCTATATCTTTTCAATTAGACCTTTGATATTTAAAACTTTTAATTCTGTTAGATCAAATCAAATCAAATCAAATTATATATTTGGCCATAAACAGTTCATGTAAGATGGATAATTATAAATTACAACAATATATTACAATTTAAGGCCGGGAGACGGAACTATTTGATTTGATTCGATTTGAGAAAAATATTAACTTGAAAAAGAAAGAAAAATATATTTAGAAATGTTGTAGCTCCTTGCTAAGTTTGAAATATCAAATGTGTACACCATCAGGTTGCTATAGGGATAAGAAAAATTAATCGTGTGGCAAAAGCTTAATTCCTTTATCCTTTATTCCCAGAGTAAAAATCTGAAGAAAATAATTGGTATTAATTATAATAAACCTATATACTTTTGGAGCGTGAAATCAGCTAGCATGCCATAAACGACTTACAATAAAATTATATAATCCTTCAAATTTATTTAACTACACTGGAGTTATTTTGACAGTTTTCACTATATTTTATTAAAGTGAAGAAATCATTGCACTTTATTTTCTTGTCTGTGCTGTAGAAATCCAATAGTCGTCACAATAGTTTTTTATTTGTCTTTAAAATACCATTGTGAATCGTGGATGGGACTCAGAAACAAAAATTTGTTTTTTAGAATTCTTCTAAATCTGGTAATCTGGCGCTAACATTTACTATGTTTCTTCTTCTGGGACTTATAGGTGCGTAACATTTTTCAAATTTTTTATTAAAAATTATTTAGAAATTAGTACAATATTTTTTGGAAAAGGTAGTTTTTCAAGAAACATTCGCTTTCGGATTTTTTGCTTTCGCACTCTAATTTTCAAAACAATCATCCTAAAATTTTTTGACTTTATGACACTGATTTTGAATTATTCAAAATAGGGTTGACAAATTCATATTTTTCAGTGTTTGGAACCATTATAATGCTTAATCTGATCGTAGCGATCATTATCACAGATATAGACTGGCTGCATCAGATGTCTCAGGTATCTTAGTATTGTTGTTTATTGTTTTAATTAGATTTTTGTATTCATTTTGATATATTCAAAATTTGGCATAAAGTGTGAAGAAAGCAAATATTTTCAAAATCATTTTTGATCCTGAAAGAAAATTTATGAAAAAAAAGAACCCAAAAATTGTTAAAAACCATTGTTTTTTGTTAGGTTCTACATTTGTTAAGGATAAAAGTATTTCAAAATTAAACCGAATACAGTTTATAAAGTTTTATTTTTTCTTTTAACCCTTTTTTTGCAACTTCATTAGATATAAAAAAAACATATTATACCCGTCAACATTCAACATATTTAAAGATATTCAAACAAAATATTTTTTATTTTCTAGTTTAAACTAGAAACATTAGTGGTGTCAAACAGCAAAAAAGTTTTAAATTTTAAAAAAATGAAACTTATACTTTTATAAGCCAATTCAGAGTGACCAATTTTTAAGAATTAAATTGGTAAATTTTTTGTCCTTAAAGTATGTCATTCATCATCAAACAAATCAAATTAGATTTTTTAAGTTGCTTCAGTGAAATTATTCAATTTTCAAAACCACACTATTTGAAATAAAATAGATCAAATTCTTATAACTTACATTTTATACATAATGATCCGAATTAAACTGACCAATATATAATTGATCCAAATTAATTTAGGAGCAAGGACTAAGAAACCAGGCTCTTCATGTTCTTCAAATACATTCTCTTCTCTCTATCTCAGATTGTTTAAAAAACAAGATTTCCAGACAAACATCCAGGTAGTTTAGGTACTTCACCAGACAAACATCCAGGTAGTTTAGGTACATTACGGGACAAACATCTAGGTAGTTTAGGTACTTTACTCGACAAACATCCAGGTAGTTTAGGTACTTTACCGGACAAACATCCAGGTAGTTTAGGTACATTACGGGACAAACATCTAGGTAGTTTAGGTACTTTACTCGACAAACATCAGGTAGTTTAGGTACTTTACCGGACAAACATCCAGGTAGTTTAGGTACCTTACTGGACAAACATCTAGGTAGTTTAGGTACTTTACTAGACAAACATCCAGGTAGTTTAGGTACTTTGCCGGACAAACATTCAGGTAGTTTAGGTACTTTACCGGACAAACATCCAGCTAGTTTAGGTACTTTACCGGACAAACATCCAGGTAGTTTAGGTACTTTACCGGACAAACATCCAGTTAGGTAGTTTAAGTACTTTACCGGACAAACATCCAGGCAGTAAAGGTGCCTTACCAGACAAACATCCAGGTACTTTGACGGTCAAAAGGAAAATCTTATAATCTACAAAAAAAAACTTCCAAGCTAAGCTCCTATTTAACCCTTTAACCATTTTACCCAAAAAGAAATTGTCAATCAATATTTCATATGCAGTTATTATAAAATCTATATTTACCTAAATATTTTACAGCAAAAAAGTGGAAGCATTAAAAGTTTCCAAGAAAGTGGTCAAAGTACCGAGAAGGTAGAACATTTTTATCTTGCACGCTTCCCTTTCAAATATTTAAAGAGACTTTTATTGTAATTTTAATGTTAAAGAAAGAAGCATGCTCAATCAACAACGATACTATATTGATACCTTTATATGATCAACAATTTGGAAAACTAGCCTTAGAGGGCGCTTCGCGCCCATCTTCTAAATTAATTGTGAACATGTTCTCTTTGTGTACATCGTAAAACAAAACAAAAATAATTCGCGGATTTTCACAACAAAGGAATTGAGTCTTTGCCACAAATTCTGATTTTTAAATCCCTATATCTTAACAACCCAATGGTGTAGACCTTAGATATGTCAAACTATGGCTTCTGTTATATCACACAATCAAAGTTTGAAATATCAAAGGTTTACATAATTTGGTTGTAGATATATAGGTATTAAAAAATTGGGATTTGTTGCAAAGACTCAATTCCTTTCGTGGATTTTTAAAATTTTCAAAAATTTAATGAAGATCGAATTTTGATGGAGACAAATATTTGAAATTTTGATCATTCATAAACCTTCCCTGGGGTCCCTAGATGTCCCACAAAAAATTTGGGCCCGATCGGTTTAGCCGTTTTGACGTTTATTGGATACAAACATACAAACAGACACCAAGACAGACAAGCCAAATTTATATATAGATAATTTAGTTTTTAATCTTGATAAATGTTAAATTTTGTAAAAAATTACCAATGTTTCTTAGTCACTTTTATCGAGAAATGACAAATGAAACAAAATCAGTTTTCTCAAACATACTTGGAAAGGAATTGACTCTGCCACAAACTCTGATTTTCTAATCCCAATATCTTTGGAACCCAATGTCGTAAACCTTTGATATTTCAAACTTATATTTTTTTAATCTAACAAAAGTCATAGTTTGAAATTTCAAAGGTTAACGACGTTGGAATCCAAAGATATTGGGATTAGAAAATCAGAGTTTGTGGCAAAGAGTCAATTCCTTTAATTCATAATTGATCAGAGACAACATGGATTCGGACATTACATTCTGTTTTATTATTACTTGACATTAACGTTTACAGTACTTTTAAACATTTTTGTTTAAATACAAAATGTTCCAATAAGCATGGAATTTTTTCAATTCGTCTCTCATTATTTTGTACACCCGTTGAAAATAATAAAAATTAATTGCAAATCTCTGATTTTATAATCCCTTTTTCTTAGCATCTCAATGTCGTAGACCTTAGATACTTCAAACTATGAATTCTGTTAGATCAAAATACCAAAGGTTTACAACACACACACCTTCGAATTAGAAAATTTCAGTTTTTGTGGCAGAGCCTAAATTTCTTTGTATTCTCCCGAAAACTTAAGAATATCTCAGTCTGTAAATAAATTAAATTTTAAATACCTTTTACTACCATCTAAATAGAAAATTTGGAGGCTTGCATGATTTTTGTATTTGCATTTGTAATGGCATACAAATGGGGACGTACACAGGAATACTTTACAAGGAACGAGGTGGGGGGGGGGGGGCTCAGTACGCCGGTGCCATATGGGCTGTGCCACCCTGCGAACCATAGCTTTATCAAGGGTGTGGGGCTTAGACATATAGCCCCCCTGTAAACGCCCATGCATCTAAAACTTTTATGTTAGTTTTAATCAATTATGTACATATTAGCATATAGCATGATATATTATAAGCTGTTTAAGAAACTAGGCATGTTTTTAGGATAATTCATAAACTTTATTGGCAATTTGTCAGAGCTTTTATTTTACTTTCATATCCGTGTTCCTGTACATAGATAGTGCTGTACATAAATAGTTAGTATAACACAAGGATTATTTTCTAGTTGTCCGTAAGAAAGTCTAAAAATAGAGCCACTCTCATATCTGCTCTGGTGTCAGATACAAGACAAGCCGGAAAATCTGTTAAACTCCAGATAACGGTTGGGCGGAGCAGGGCAGTTACTCCGAGTAGAAGCGGAGACGTGATAACGTTGTCCGAGACATAGAGAATATCGTATCCGCCATGTTTAAAACCCTGATAGATGCATTATAGATGATGGGATTCGAAAGACTGGTTATGGAAGAATTTGTCCGCCAACCGAGGCGGAGAAATCCCTGAAGTGGTCCATCTCTTCTCTGCTCATATTTAATTACTAATTAATAGTTCTGCTCTAGTGTGTATTCCTGTTCTAAACCTATTGTTTAGATCTAGATTGCTGCTCTAGTTCTGCTCTATTGTGTATTCCTGCTCTAAACCTAATGTCTAGATCTAGCTTGCTGCCTGAGTTCTGCTCCCATAATGTATGTTCCTGCTCTAAATCTATTGTTTAGATCTAGGTTGCTGCTCTAGTTCTGCTCTCATAATGTATGTTCCTGTTCTAAACCTAATGTTTAGATCTAGCTTGCTGCTGGAGTTCTGCTCCCATAATGTATGTTCCTGTTCTAAACCTAATGTTTAGATCTAGCTTGCTGCTGGAGTTCTGCTCCCATAATGTATGTTCCTGTTCTAAACCTAAGCTACCCTTGGATATTAAACAATCTGTTGGAGAAATTCTTAATTTGCAGGAAACACAAGTTTTAGACATAATATAATAAGTTTTTTAATTGTCCTTATACATTTTCAGAGTAAACATTATAAAAAACGTTTGCAAATCTATATCAATAAAAATAGCTTATAAATTGTAAATATTACAAAGCAAATTGGATTACAATAAATGCTTAAGCGTGCTTTAATTTCAAAAATTCAAATATTTCATTTATAGAAAAAGTAATATTCAAAACTTGTGATCAATCTAGGTTTAAAATTGAGAATCTTTTAAGCTCAGCGGACGTTAGATATCAGTCGGGAGTCGGGATGTTATCCGGGTAGCGGCCAATCTATGTCACTCGCTAATGCCGCAATGAATTCTAAGACAGAGAAAGAGAGCCAATTCTAGCCGCAGTGCTCTGCCACCGCGCCCAAGAAAGTGTCTAAACCTAATCTAACCCTAAAATATATACTAATCTGTCTCTTCTTATAATTTATTGCGGCATTCCGAGTAACAGAGTTTGGCCACTACCCGTTATTCAGTGAAACTCATGGGAAGGCGATATTTAACCAATCCTAAGTCTATTTAATGCTGTTACAAATCAAGTTTAGTTAAACCCAGAACTTGAGGAGCCATCAAAAGAATTTATTAAATGTCGTCTCAACAATTTTTTAATGGGTTTTATACTATTAAATATCTAAATCTTAGTAAATGTAAAAATAAATAAATAGTCATAAAATATGTGGGAACAGTTCATATAATCGTTGAATTAAAAAAACTAAATATCTGCAGCATTCCATTATCAGAAGGTTTAGAAAACGATATTTTATAAACGATATTTTGTATTCCTTACTTCATAAGTGAAACCCAGCTCATAAAGAAGACATTTCTGTAAAACAGAAATATGTCTTTTTATTTAGTTTTTAAAATTAACTTGATAATATTTGCATTACCGAAATATGTTACCATTTGTTCCGCAATCACTGAAATAAATAAATTCAACCAACTGCTAATTATTATTATTTGTGATTATAATTTGGAATGTTTAAATGTTAATATTTTGAAAGAAAAAGATAGGTTTTATTTTGATCAAAATCCTAAAAAATCCCAGAAATAGGAAAATTTTTATAGTAGTCTGTTCCGGCAATCTTAACTGCCTTTTTATCAGTACTTTGTCTCATTCTGATCGCTCCTTGACCTATTTAACAAAAATATATCCCTTTTTCTTTTTTCTTATACTTTTTTGCCGACCGCGCGTTTTAGACGACTTTAAAGTCGATACTGAATTCCCATGTTTATTGGGACACCCTGTATATACTTGGTATATACTCCCATTGCTTGATCGTTAATCTTTTAACATGAAAGTCAACTGCATGTTAAAAGTGTCTGTTTATGTTTTTATCAGTAAATGTAAATTAAACATGAAAGAAAGTTAAGTAAGTTTAGACAGGGGTCCCCATTTACCCCCTCAAAAAAATATTTGACTACGATTATTATTATTGAAACATTTTCACAGATAAAACACATGAAATTAAATGAAAGTTTGCATTTCTAGAATTTTGTTAAGATTTTGACAATTTTGGTTATATTTAATAAATGGAAACCTGGCCTAAGTTAGAAATATATCCGATAATATTTAAAGCACAAAAAGGCAGACCACATTTTAGAAATTCCAGGACGACCTTCATGTTGCCTTCTACCGTCTTATTGTGTCTAGAACATATAGAAAAGAGTTCTGGCTTGATTAAAATAATATTGTGTTGCGAGGCAAAAAACGAGACAAATAAACGGAATGTATATATATTGAAATCTAAGTTACATCAAAGGAATTTTATACCCTATATCTTTATTTGGTTTGGTTGCTTGATCGGAAAGTGAAAGATGGCAATCGTAGATCCTCCACAGGAATCCCCCCAGCATCTTGAGAGATTGTAGAGAAACAAGATGCTTATCTCTAATTATTCTTCTACGGTTTCTCCGGAGTCCGGGCTGAGGAGTGAGGACGGAACAGGGACTGGAGGAGAAAACCGATCCCGCGTCTTTGAACTTCTAGCTGCCGAAAGAGGTGTATGAAGACTTGGTGTCGGAGGTAACGGAGGCATCAGTGCATTGGAGGCAACAGAGGCATTGGAGGTACCGAAGACGGAGGTCCTTGAGCCACTGGAGGCCTACTCCCAGACAAAACTTCGGTAAACCAGTCTCCAGAAAGCATATTTACCAAGATGAGAAATTTGGTGATCGGAGTCAAACACTGCTCTTCTCATAGGCTCTGGAACTAGGGGATAGTGGATACCTGTAGAGACATCACAGAGTAACCCAGGTAAGCCGGAGACGGGAACGGAGACAATCTTCAGGGCGGAGGACTGGCGGAGGTCTTGGACTTTAAGACAAGACTATTGAAGTATGGACATTGCTACATAAGATATTCCTGGAACTTAAGACAGAGTAGGCGGAGACCGTGTAGATAGAACCTCAGCTGTATCTGGATTAGGACCAGGACGAAATAAGGCATCAGCTACCACATCTCTGCACCAGGGAGATGGCAAATATTACAATTGAACTCTAAAAGGAAATAAAGGTGGTGTTGCTGTATGGCAGACCAGGGGGCGGAGAAGACCTAAAAAAGGCATGTGTTAGAGGTTTTGTGGTCAATGAATAAAACAAACTCTTTACCTTCTAGGAGGAACTGGAAATGGTAGAGAGCAGAGTAGGCTGCAAAAAGCTCCCCGTCAAAGGCGGAGTATCTGGACTCGGCGGAGGAAATCTTCTTAGAGTAGAAAGTCAATGGAGCCCAAGGACCTGCAACATCTTGTTAAAGAATAGCTCTGATGTGAGAACCAGAAGCATCCACAGAGAGGGAACCTTGCGGAAGTATCTGGGTGCACAAGGGTTGGAGCCTTAGAGAGAACAGACTTGGCAGGGGAGAAAGCTTGGCTCATTCTCCAGAGGTATGGTTCATCCAAGCAGATAATCAGTTTCAAAACAAAAGGATAACAGTCTCCCGCACCAAGTTTACCCACTGTGTTGCTTCATTGCCCCAGGATGTGGCTTGTAGACTTCTGGACCTTGTTTGAGCTCCTCCTGTTGAGCCTTATGAGGCTTTAAGAAGACGCCTAATTCAGATGTATTCCCTGAATGTTTTCCAGAGGTACCAGACTTTGCAGAGTTTGTCTTCATTGTCCCACCAATGCAGATGGACAATATGTTGATCCTCCTCCCTAAAGACGAGAAACCAGGATTTTTCTTTGGAGGTTTGTTTATGGACCGTCTCCCACCTCTCTGAGTTCATCAGTGACCCTGTGGGACTGGGATGGCTCTTAGTGGTGAAAAGCTGTGGACGCAGCATCCCTGTACAAGTTTTATCTGATCAGTTTTAAAATGTGTATGCTTTGCCGCGTAGAAACTCGTCCACGAGGTCTGGACCTTGTTCCCAGGTTCCCAGTTCTGCCAGTCGTTTCTGTTCCTGTTCGGTTCTGCTGGTTTGGTTGCTTGGTCTGGAAGTGGAAGACGACAATCTAGCTGCTCCACAATTGTAAACAATAACCAGAATTTTCGGACCGGCAATCAGTACCATAACATTTTTAATCTGTTGTTTGTTTATGACATTTTTCCTATATACACCCTGTAAGCATCTTCTTTGCTATACAACATTTCTTTTATGAAAAATAGCCCCCATCACATTATCCAGTAAAAAACGGCATATATGAATATGAACTGTACAGCTGTTGTTGCGCGCACTAGTTCATAACAATTCACAAAGAGATATCCTTTAAACCTTTCCCTGGGCAACAAGACATCGTCAGTTTATATTTCAAAAAGTGGACATTGACAAGTACAGTAATAGCCAGAAAACTGTGATATAAGAAGACGACATTAAAGCAAAAATTAAGTGTATTTGACCTTGTTACAAAGCAAAAAGTTTGACTAATAATTAACTTATTAACTTATTAAGTTAAATTGGTCTGTTTACAAGGCACAATTGGCGTGTTTTATGTTCATTGGACTATTTAAAGTCTAACTTTAATCTAAAAGTCGTCTTCCTAATGAACATTTTCAGATTACTTAAAACACGAAATTTTCTCCTGCATTCTTGATCAGGAAAAGGTTTAATAGGTGCAAAAGTGAAACAGACATGCCACTGTATAACAATTGGTTCGTATGTAAATAACGTCTGTACAGTTCCTTTAGGTTTAGAATCCCTGTAAAATGTTTGATTAGACGGACCCTGATGTTTAGATTATTTTAGACTTCTTGTCAGACTTTAAATACCTTTATCAATCAGTTCAACATAGTTATCTATATCAATCAGTTCAACATAGATATCTATATCAATCAGTAAACGACAGATATCTTTTCTATCAGTACAGGATAGATATTTAGATTAATCAGTACAAGATAGATATCTATATCTATTAGTTCAGGATATATATCTATATCTATCAAACAAGATAAATATCTTTATCCGTCAATACAAAATAGATATCTATATCAATCGGTTGAAGATAGATATAAATATCAATCAGTACAAGATAGATATCTATATCCATCAGTTCGATAATATTTAAAGCACAAAAAATATATATATATATATATATATGTATCAGTAAAGGATATATATCTATATCTATCAATACAAGAAAAATATTTTTATCCATCAGTACAACATAGTTATCAATATCAATCAGTTCAAGATAGATATATCTATATCTATCAGTACAGGATATATATCTATATCAATCAGTACAGCATAGATATCTATATCAATCAGTTTAAATTAGATATATATATCTATCAATACAAATTAGATATCTATATCTATCAGTACAGGATATATATATATATATATATATATCAATCAGTTCAAATTAAAGTTCGATATCTATCAGTACAGGATATATATCTATATCAGTCAGTGCAGGATAAATATCTATATCTATCAATACAAAAGAGATATCTATATATATCAGTGTAGGATATATATCTTTATCAATCAGTACAAGATAGTTATCTATATCAATCAGTAAACGACAGATATCAGTTCAGAATAGATCTCTATATCAATTAGTAAAAGATAGATACCTAGCTATATCAATTAGTGCAAGATAGATATCTATATCAATCAGTACAAGACAGATAGCCATTTCTATCAGAACAGGATGGATATCTATATCTATCAATACAAGACAGATATCTTTATCAATCAGTACAGGATAGATATCTATAACAATTAGAAAAAGATATATATCTATATTAATCAGTACAAGATAAATATCTATATGTATCAGTACAGGATAGATGTTTATATCAGGATGGGTCAAGGATTCAATGATGGTATATCCTGCCACCTAGTGATGATAATAATAGTTATGTTTGTGAATAGTTCCTTAGCTGAACAGTTTTGTAGATTTCAACAAGAGTAAGTAGGGCGGAAACATAATATATTTATATAACCTGACATTGGACAAGTTTAGGGCGGAAACATAATATATTTATATAACCTGACATTGGACAAGTTTAGGGTTGAAACATAATATATTTATATAACCTGACAGTGGACAAGTTTAGTGTGGAAACATAATATATTTATATAACCTGACACTGGACAAGTTTAGTGTGGAAACATAATATATTTATATAACCTGACATTGGACAAGTTTAGGGCGGAAACATAATATATTTATATAACCTGACATTGGACAAGTTTAGTGTGGAAACATAATATATTTATATAACCTGACACTGGACAAGTTTAGTGTGGAAAAATGATAATATTTAGATACCAGACAGTGGACAAGTTTAGGGTGGAAACATGATAAAATTTATATAACCTGACAGTGGACAAGTTTAGGGCGATAACATAAAAATATTTAGATACCTGACAGTGGACAAGTTTAGGCTGGAAACATGATAATATTTAGATACCTGACAGTGGACAAGTTTAGGGTGGAAACATAATAATATTTAGATACCTGACAGTGGACAAGTTTAGGGTGGAAACATGATAATATTTAGATACCTGACAGTGGACAAGTATAGGGTGGAAACATAATATATTTATATAACCTGACAGTGGACAAGTTTAGGGTGGAAACATAATAATATTTAGATACCTGACAGTGGACATATTTAGGGCGGAAACATAAAAATATTTAGATACCCGACAGTGGACAAGTTTAGGGCGGAAACATAAAAATATTTAGATACCTGACAGTGGAAAAGTTTAGGGTGAAAACATGCAAATATTTAGATACCCGACAGTGGAAAAGTTTAGTGTGGAAACATGATAATATTTAGATACCTGACAAGGGACAAGTTTAGGGTGGAAACATAATAATATTAAGATACCTGACAGTGGACAATTTTAGGGTGGAAACATGATAATATTTAGACACCTGACAGTGGACAAGTTTAGGGTAGAAACATGATAATATTTAGATACCTGACAGTAAACAAATTTAGGGTGGAAACATAATAATATTTAGATACCTGACAGTGGACAAATTTAGGGTGGAAACAGGATAATATTAAGATACCTGACAGTGGACAAGTTAAGGGTGGGAACATAATGATATTTAGATACCTGACAGTGGACAAGTTTGGGGTGGAAACATGATAATATTTAGATACCTGACAGTGGACAAGTTTAGTGTGGAAACATGCAAGAAATGTCTTCATTTTATTCCAGATAAGTTATTCAGGTAAAAAAAACTAAGGTCGTAGTTTCAAGCGACTAAGTAATTATGAAATGGGATGGGATGTACGATCCTCAAATCTTTAACACTTATTCTGATCAGTTCTTTAAAAATCATCAGTTTTAAATCGTGGTTTCTCTAAAAGAGTGACTTTCATACATCAGAAAAATAATGGATAAAATTGTCAGAGATTAACACTTTTAACGCTAGAAAATGAAGAAATCTTTCACATTATCTATCAGATAAAGGGTTTTCTATGAATCGAGAAGGCCCAGTTTGATGAGAGAGTTACATCAAATTTTAAATTCTTGGGATTCAACTTTTAGGATATTTAATTTCTCCTTATTGTGAAGGTCCAACGCGTCTGTAATGTCAAAGGAGACAAAAGAAGAATTTACGCAATATTTTCATCAGGTAAAATTTTATCCTATTTTTTTTATAAGTAAGAAGCAATTTTAAACCATTGCAAATTATAAATTCCTTACAGCGGCATTTCTCTAGTGAAAAAATGATTGCATTAACTTGATGCACAGATGTTATTTTTAAACCTTTTGTTCAGGCATATTTGGGAAATCTTACGAAAACAGAGAAAATAGAAATTATTTTGTATGTTGAGAAATATTTAGAGGTTAGTTTATTTTTATTTTTATTTAATTCACCTTAACCTTCAGCTTGACTGTTCATCACGCGCGCTGAAAACTGTTAAAATTCTAGCTCTATCAGAACATCATTACGTGCTTTAAAAATAGAGTCAAACATTTTATCTAAATTATATAAAAAATATTCTTCCGCCAAGTACGCATTGTTGGCTGTTGCTATACCTAGCGGTTTCTATACGTTCAGTGCTGAAAACTTTAGAATGATGGATATCAAGATTAATGCTTTTACTCCTGGTTTTACTAAACCCGAGATTACTTTAATACGCATTCGATATCCAAGAAAGAAGTATAAAATTCAACCAATCAGTGAATCATGTTAAGATGTACTCTTTAACTTTGAAAAACCGGTTTTTTCTGGTGTTAATTGTGTCATATCAATTGAACTAAACATTGATTAAATTAATGCAAGTTTTGGATTAATGTTTGTTAAGACTCATTTAAAATGATGATAGTCCTAAAATGTGAAAAATATATTTTTTAAAAGGTTCATATTAACATGATTAAATTGATATTTGCTCAAATGCTCTGAAAGCAGACTTGTGAACAGCTGACTTTAATTCAATCGGATATTAGTCCAATCGATATAGCATTGTATCTGTAATTGTTATCAAACGTAACTTTTATTCAGTAGGGATATCCAAAAAAGAGGATTAAGAATAAAATCAAAAGTGTGTACATTGGATACTCAGATTAAGCAATCAGGATTAAGGATATCTCATTCTAAAGTTTTAAGCTCTGTTAATATAATGTTTGACTCCTTGAATATGTGGTTCCGATTTTATAAGAAACAAACAAAAAAGAAAAAACCTGCTGGCGAATTAAAGTAAGAATTTGCCAAAAGGGAAGCAATTTGTTAATTTTACAACCTCCAGGATCTATCTATATCCAAAACAAAAATCAATTTTTTTTCTAAATTTTTTCATGAATTTAAAATTATTTTTGTTTTGCAGGATCCAGATGATGGTCGATTGTTAGAGGATTGTTGTTCAGCTGCAGAAATATGTTGTTTACAAACTATATCCAGGTGCAGTACGTTAAGAATTGTACAGTTGCAGTACAGTGCGCTGCAGTATAGTGCATCAAAGTAGAGTTAACCACAGTACATAACATTTCAGTTCAGTTGTTTATAGTACAGCACGGTTATACTATAGCATAGTTCAATATATCTCAGTACAGTACATTATAGTAAAGTACAGTATATTATTAATATTAGTGAGAGTACAAGGAGTACTGATATCTGCCCCTCTACTTGGGATGGATGGCAGTGCTGGAGTGAACCAGGAGAAACAGGTAGAAATTTTTTTTTGGAAATTTTCCTTCGAATTAAGATTTGATATGCAAAGTATATTTCCAGTAAAGGACTTTTTTAATTTATTGATTTCATTGTTAATTATCCAATTAATAATTTTTCTGTTAAAATTTGTGCTTATTTACAAAAGAGCTGTAAAACATCTTTTAAATATCATTTAATGTTTAAATAAATGTAAGACAAGGAACTATATACAGGAACGCCTAACTCAGATATACGCATATTATGTATTGTACACTGTGGGAGGAATGTAAACAAACCCAGTGCCCCAACAGAAGTTGAAGAGAGAGGACTAAAGCTTTGACGTGATATTACAGTCCAACAAAAAACAAGTTAATATATCAAGTTAGAGCGAATAAATATGATTTTTGGCTTTCTGGTTAACATGAAAAACACAATAGCAATATATTCTCATTCCACCCCTTGGGCCCTTTTCCCTCAAAAATGATGCGTTGCCCCTGAATTCTTTGTTTTGATCTCCTCCCACTGCAGTACACAGATTTGACGCATCAGATATGGCGGTTCCTGGTCTATATAATTCTTGATGTAAGATACCGCCAACCATTTAATATTAAAAGCATACTTGAAATGTTTTTTTTTTAAATATCTTGACTTTAATTTAACTCTTTAAATGTTGTTTAATTCATTAATTGACTATTGCTTATCACACAACTTTGGATAACTACCCTGTTTCCGATTGCTCTCTTCTAGTTGTTCCAAATATATATATATTATGTTTTTAAATGCAGGCATGGAAACTGTCCTAGATATTTAAAATCTATCAATATAATAAAGCTCTTCGCTCATTTATAACTTTGTTGAGTAAACTAATGGGTACCCTCGGGGTAAAATAGTCTTAAAAATCGAATTTTTTTTCTTTCAACAATTTTTTTTTCTAATCAAATTTTTTTTATATTTGATTTTTTCAAAATTACACTTCAGCTAGTCCTAAATATATATTTTTTATAATGCATGACATGTTGTCCTATGAAAACTGTCCCAAATATAAAATTTTATTTTTTTTAATCCAGGCATGTTATCCTATGGAAACTGTCCTAAATATTAAAATTGTATCTATATAATAAAGCTTTCTGCTTATTTTTGTTTCAAAAATCAATTTCTTTTAATAAATCTATTTTTTTAATCGAATATTTTTTATATTTTTTTTAATTCCACTTCAGCCAGTGTTAAAACATCCAGAGCTGGGCATGTTATCCTATGAAAACTGTCCGAAATATCTCTATTTTTATGTTTTAAAATCAAGGTATGTTATCATATGGAAGCTGTCCCATTTATATCTATTTTAATGTTTTATAATCAAGGTATGTTATCCTATGGAAGCTGTCCCAAGTATATCTATTTTTATGTTTTATAATCAAGGTATGTTATCCTATGGAAGCTGTCCCAAGTATATCTATTTTTATGTTTTATAATCAAGGTATGTTATCCTATGGAAGCTGTCCCAAGTATATCTATTTTTTTACACACGGACGTCAGGGGACTTTCTCTTGTGACAGTAAGTGAAGAAATGTTTATAATTATCTTTCTTTTAACATAAACAATTTAAACATCCTTGATCTGTGATCTTAGACTGAATAAATATAGAAGTACAGACTTCTTAAACTGTTTATTATTAGGACAAGCTGAGAGATTTTGTACAGAGGAGGGTTGGTTCAGGTATATGAAGGGGTATATACAGAGCGTCCCATATCATATTTGATTATCTCCAAGCTTTAACGCCAAAATAAACAACATAGAACTCGAAAAACCTAACCTTTTCTGCTAGAGAATTTATGATTTATTCTTCTTAAATTTCTTACAAGTCCCGAAAAACGTAGTTTAGACCCATTAACAATCTAATATGATATGTGACACCCTGTATATGTATATATATATATATATAAATACATCAGTATATTTATTTTGAGAGAAAAAAAATATAATGGAAAACTTTAAGTTAAAAATGAAATTCATAAAAAAAAAACATGAATCATAATTGTTTTAAAACATCCAATTATTTCTATTTTGTATTGTATCTTTACTTTCACAGAAAAGCTATCATATAAGATTATGCCATTTTGTATGTATGTATTGTAAATTGAACACTATACACTAGTGTGTGCCCCAGAAAAAAAAGAAAGTCTCCATATTAGAATTTCAGGGTTGCAATGCAAATATAAAAAATTCTAAGTGTCAAAATTTCGTAATTTAAACATGTAAACTAACAAAATTAAAGTGTATCAGGTAACCCCTCTCTTATAGATTAGCATGTCTGAATCAAACAGTACCATTAAAAGCGTTGTCTGATCAACATTAAATCAGATATCAGTGCTTGTCGTTGAAAATTGGTAAAGGAATTGAGTCTTTGTCACAAACTATGATTTTCTAATCTCTATATCTTTGTAATCCAATGCCGTAGACCTTAGATATTTCAAACTATAAATTCTGTTAGATGAAAAAATATAAGTTTGAATATCAAAGGTTTACACCGTCAGGTGGAAAAAATATAGGTATTAGAAAATCAGAGTTTGTTACAAAGACTCAATGCCTTTCAATTGTGGTATCTCCGTAAATGTGATTTTCGGATTTATGTTGCAGAAACAATGAACTAAATTTTTATAATTAAGCAATATCCAAGCTAATAAGCCACTTAATTGATCAGATAATGGTTTAACAAAAACCGTTGTTAACCGGACATGCCAATCTATACATGAAGGGTCACATTATACAGTGGTCGGTGTTTATATCAATACAATGAATGCAAAATTTCTATTTAAATTTTCATTTTTAACAAACCTTTTCAAATTAATAGTTTACAAGTTAACAAAGAAAAGCTCTTTGTGTCCATGTTTATGTGTATTCATGCTGTTTAAAGCTTGGAAAAAATCCAAATTTTGAGTCGAAATTCGTCTTCAATGTATTGATATTTACGACGTGGACTGGTTTAAAACTACATTCTCTTTAAAACTAAACCAGACGTGGAAACTATTCGTACGAGTGGACTAATTACCAAACCTGTTCCAAAACTAAAGATATCATAAAGTGGGAATATACAAGGTAAATCATTTTACTAATCTGTATTTTTTAAACCTTTTTTTTGTTTTTTGTTTTGTATCCAATAAACTTTCAAAACGGCTGGACTGATTAGACCAGACCCGATTAAAAATAACAATATTGACTCTTTAGAAAATTTAATTTTAACTAAAATTTCAACAAAATTTTAACTAAAATTTTAATAAATTTTAACTAAAAAATCAATAAAATTTCAAGTTTTGTGCATGATGAACGAATGAAAATGCCTGCTTAAAATGCATTACTTGAAAGCTTTAGGGAAAAGTCCTTTTATTTTTTTTAATCCAGAAAATCTCTTTTTAAACATATCTTTTAGAATTAGAAAATTATAGATTTTTGTGCCAGGGGTCAAGTATGTAAACGGCACAAAAAAAACAATGAAAATGTTTGGATGAAAGTTGGTTTTCTGGTTCTCACTGTATGTAATTTAAGAAAATATCTTTAGATTGTTCTTTTACTTTCTTTCTGTCTGCCTCCTAATACCAGCAATCATTATTTTTCAACTGAATAGGTAAATAATAAATTTTATAACTTTTCAATTGAACAGAGGCCGAACTTAAAGAATTTGAGCCGCAGCTTAAATTTAAGACGCGACTCAAATATGGTTAGTTCCATTTAAACTTTAATGTTTCAAAATTTAAGCCGGCGCTCTAGTGGAACCGGTTTTTGGCGGATTTGAGACGCGGCTCAAATTTATTAAATTCGGACTCAGATAAACAACATATTATCATGTTATATGATTTTTCAATTAAACAGATAAACAACAGATTTTAAGATTTTTAAATTAAGCAGATAAACAACAGCTTATATAATTTCTTCAATTGAACAGATAAATAACAGTTTTTATAATTTTTCAATTAAACAGATAAACACCAGCTTATATAATTTTTCACTTGAACAGATAAACAACAGATTTTATAATTTTTCAGTTGAACAGATAAACAACAGATTTTATAATTTTTCAATTGAACAGATAAACAACAGATTATATACAGTGAATCCCAGATATATGAATATATAGCAAGAGTTTTTTTAATGTCGTATTACATATTTAAGATCAAATGCCGCGGAAAAATGAGTTTAATACATAGCCCTGAAATATGAATGCAATTGATATATTAATATTAAACTCATTTTTCCGCGGCATTTGATCTTAAATATGTAATATGACATTATAAAAAACTCTTGCTATGTATTCATATATCTGGGATTCACTGTAGTTTTTCAATGTTCAATCTTATTTACTGTATCAGAGAATTGCAAAGGTTTATATCTTCAACACTGTTTTAGTAAGTTCAATGTTTCTCGAATAAAGCTGCATAAATACTTGTTTCTCAGTCTTCTTCTCTTCATTCTCTCAACAATCATTTTCAGGTAATTCAGGATTTCCTATTTTTTAAAAGATACTGTTTACGTTTTTCATATTACATGCCTGATTTACATCAATACCCATTACACCTTTATCTGAAAACCGAGTAGATGGATAGATAGATAGATAAAGTTTATTGCTAAAATACATGTATCTGTGTACAGAACGAGTTTACAAATACAAATTGTTAATTATATATTAACAGTACAAGCATAAAGCAATTAGTTGGAAAATAGCTCTTGGCTGTTTTGATTATTTTTTCCACCTAATTTTAATAATGATAACAACACATTTCAATAGATTTAAGGATAAAAATTAGAGATCAGGGTGCGATTTTATCTTATGCAAAATAGTTTATACATTTATTCGAATAACTAGAGTTTAAAGTAATTTTCTGACATGTACACAACAAATATCAAAGCATATTAAAACATATCTAATTAGTTTTACATGAATAGCATTTCGGTTTATAACACATTGTCATGTAATTTTCAAACAGAGGATTTAGTATTCTGTTTTTAAATATACTTAGAAAGATATTAATATCTTAAAACATGTTTTAGTCATTGTCTCTGTTATTCAAATCCAAAAGTCTCTCAATTTAAAACCATCACTTTTCAGATTAAAAAACAAGGATAGTTTCAAATATTTTAATCATACTAAGGGTATTTTATTGTGAATAAGGCCTACAGGAATTTTTTAACTCATGTTTAATTTTATGTTTGTATATTTTTTGCATTTAGACTTATTTATTTTCTGCCATCGCTTGATCCAGACTTTTCAGAGGATCCAGTTATACAGGTTTAATATTTCTTTTATTTTTTTTTTATTTCAAAACAAAGTTTGACCTAAAAGTATAAGCAACACTTCCCCATTGTCTACGCTAATATGCTTAAAGGAATTGAGTATTCGCCACAATTGAGCCTTTTTAACCTACATCTTTGTATCCCGGTTTTGTGGATATTTCAAACTATGAATTCTGTCAGATCAAATTATCTAAGTTTACACCATAACATTGTTAAGATATAGTGATTAGAAATTTGAGTTTGTGAACAGGACTCAATTACTTTTCATTAGAAATAATTAGAAATGATGTATTTGCTTTGTTCTTGAAAAGAAAAAAAATCTTAATAGAAATGTATTTTTTAGAATACTTGGGCTTGTAATATTTTGACAGTTCTCACTAAATACTTAAGATTATCAAACTATGCTTGGATTTGGTAAGTAGCAGGGTATATACTTTAAAGATTTATCCTCCCCTCCTGGGGGGTGGAGGGGGGGGGATGAATTTTTAAGAGTTTGAAAAAATGGACATTAACCTGGAGTTTTTTCCCTTCTCTTGAATTTTAGTTAACCAAACATCACAAAATTTAGTGAAAAAAATCCTCGAATAAATATAGCCTAGCACCATGCTCATATATTGAATACTAGCTGAAGAACCCAGTGTTGCCCCAATTTTAAAAACACTAAAAAAATTATGAAACAAAGTTCTATTTTTTTAACTTGGTTGCCAACGCCGGGTACTTTGTTGGGGTTCTCATGGATTCCCTCAAAAACTTCATCCAATTTGACCAGCTATAAAATATATTTATAGATGTTAGGTACTTTTCCAAAGTCATTTCCCCAAACGGCAACTTCCCAAGGGTATTTTCCAAGTGCTAAGTTCCCACGGGTATTTTCAGAAGTGGCAACTTCCAAACTGTGCAATTTCCCAAGTGGCAACTTCACAAGTCTATCCCAGCTGCATCTCTCAACCTCATCAACCAGTCTCTTTATCTTAAATAGCCATCACATTAAGAAGACGACATTTAAAGAAGTTGTTTGAAATTGTAAAAAAGGAGGTAGTTTAATTTAGATTTTAGCAGGTAAACTAAGTCAATTTTCGTATTAAGGGAGCTGAGACAATTTGTTCAGGTTAGTCTGAAGAATAAGAAAATATTATAAAAATCACGATATTTACTGTCATTGCTCAGGCGTTACAGATTTTGTAAAAAAACGTGGTTTTTTTCTTAACACATTGCACATTTTCACACAACCCTTCAAAACTGACGTTTATTTTATGGTGCGTCATTTTTAATATTCATATTGCTTTTAAAAATACGCCATTTTTTGTGAAAATCAGAATTTAGATTTGCAAAAAAAAAAGTTTTACAGTTTACATTAAGAGAAATCATCCTTATTACATATTAACACTAAAATATTGAGATCTAAATATATATTTATTGCGTGACGCGGCTGGATTTTTTAAAATCACACTTTAAAGGCCCTAAATATACCATTTAAAAAAGTAGTTTTGCCCGGAAGGGTCAAATGTGGTGGTACGGAAGGGGAAATAGTGGTGGCTCATGGCTGCCGGAAGAGAAAAAAGGTAATATGTGGCTCGGAAGGGGAAATAGTGGTGGCTCATGGCCGCCTGCCTTCCCCCGCTCGGTGTACATGAGTTCTGTAGAGAGAAATTTAAGTTAGTTTAGTCCTTCTCATGTCCTTCTTCAGTTCTCTTCAATATGATTTATTGCTCAGTGAAATATTGTTGTTCAAATAGTTTCATTCCCGGAGTTATTTTACACCCTATTATGAAATCCATTAAAACACCAAACCACCCTGCTCATCATTGAAGTACACTTTGACCCCTAGAAGTATGATTTCGTGGACTGTACAATTCTTGGTGATTTTGCGTACATATGCTATCTATGTTTATTTATTTATCTATGGTTGCCGCTAGGGAAATTGCAAATTTGGGAAGTTGCCATTTTTTTACAATTTATTTTTAAATTAAAAATTTTTTACAAAGTTTTTAAAAGAGCAGGGAATATTTTATTTGACTTGTGTGTTGTTTTTAGCTGATTTGCAGTTTTCATTTTTCCAGGAATGCTGACTCAACTGATTGAAGGTTCAGGTTCAGATTCATCGTTCAATAAGCTTACAGGTTGAAGAAAAAAAAGTTCACTGCACGTGGGGTTTGAAAATTCTGTGGATGTTAATTGTCAGAATTCCGCCTTAATAATGACAAATAGGATAAGAAAGGTTAGGAAAGGAGTGGATATTTTCGACAAAAGAATTTTGGTTCTTGTAAGTTCATCTTGGACACAGTGCTTCAGAATACAGCCTCGTCTACATCAAGCGTAGTGTAGAGAAACCCCTCCTTTTCTGCATTATTATTTTCTTGTTTCTGGCAATAGTGAGGGGGAAGAGAACCACAGAGAAACCCCTCCTTAACTTTGCACTGTTATTTTCTTTTTTTCCCAAGTAGGGTGTGCTACCATGTTATTTCACTGGAAACTGGAGAGAGTTGTATAAGAACCTGACTGTGCTGAGCTCCTTGACGCTTACACATAGAACCAGATTCAATCAAAAGAATTAATGTCGTTCCGACGAGTTAAGATACTTATTTAAAGCTGTCAGAAGCAAAATCTGGATCCAGCTAGGTAACAAAACTCAATTCTCCATGTTAATACAGCGTTAAAGATTAATGCAGGCCTTCAATGTTTCTTGTTGTTCCGTTTATTTTTTTCCATTTATGTGCAGGGGTGGCTAGCTAAAGTTTTTCTAGTCATTTTCTCTCTCTCACCCTGTATCTCTGAGTACTCTTAGAAGCGCCAAGCCAGAGCCAGTTGTGCTAGATGTATACTGAAGTTGTCACTTGTGAAATTGTCATTTGGGAAGTCGCCTTTCGGAAAGCGCCTTTAGGAAAATGCTTAACACCTATTTATATAAATAAATATGTATTGAGCAAAGACTTTTATTACAGAAAGATATAAAAATGGTTAAACCTATAATACAATTTTTTTAAATTTAGGAATGAAGGTTATTACCTTAACAGACTTTTACAGAACACCTTTGAGGATAAAGTAGCATTCAGCTTTCTACATTTCGTTGGATGGGGTAAACTAATGAACAAAACAAATTTTTTACAAAATAAATCTAATTTTTTCTTTACAGATAAATTTAAAAATTTAGTTGTTCCTGCATTTCCTACAGTTGTGTACAGTATACTGAGAAGTAGGGAGGAAGGTTTATACTGCTGGGCCTATCCATCCTCCAATGTAAGTAGGAAGGAAGGTTTATACTGCTCGACCTATCCATCCTTCAATGTAAGTAGGAAGGAAGGTTTATACTACTGGGCCTATCCATCCTCCAATGAAAGTAGAAGTAAAATGGAGTAAAAATCTTTTGCCAGGTTTTTTTATTTTCCATGCGCATTTTGGTGCTCAAAAACATATATTTAATAAAGGACTTGGTTATTTGACAATTTGACAATTTAACCTTTGTAATCATGATAAGAATTGTTGTACAGATCCAGCTTACTTTAATTGAGCTATTAAAGTAATTTCAAGCCTACCCATTAAGAGTCATTAGTATTTTCTGGTTATCTAAATTTCACTTTAAAAAATGCAATTTTCACAAAATGTGATATTAATAAAGATATGAAATAAATAGCTTGAATCTGAAAGAAAATTTAACCCTAAAAGACATGAATCTATTTAATATGTTTTATCATTATTTAAATTTTTAGATTTGGTTTGAATGGGTGATAAACATTCCTGGCTTGATTGTAATTCTCAGTAATCTATTTTTTTTCTTCAATATCACCAGGTAACAGGGGTGTATATAAATCTAATGTTTTTCTTCAATATCACCAGGTAACAAGGGTGTATATAACTCTAATGTTTTCCTTCAATATCACCAGGTAACAGGGGTGTATATACAACTCTAATGTTTTCCTTCAATATCACCAGGTAACAGGGGTGTATATATAACTCTAATGTTTTTCTTCAATATCACCAGCTAACAGGGGTGTATACAACTCTAACGTTTTTCTTCAATATCACCAGGTAACAGGGGTGTATATAACTCTAATGTTTTCCTTCAATATCACCAGGTAACAGGGGTGTATATACAACTCTAATGTTTTTCTTTAATATCACCAGGTAACAAGGGTGTATATAACTCTAATGTTTTCCTTCAATATCACCAGGTAACAGGGGTGTATATAACTCTAATGTTTTCCTTCAATATCACCAGGTAACAGGGGTGTATATACAACTCTAATGTTTTTCTTTAATATCACCAGGTAACAAGGGTGTATATAACTCTAATGTTTTCCTTCAATATCACCAGGTAACAGGGGTGTATATATGACTCGAATGTTTTTCTTCAATATCACCAGGTAACAGGGGTTAATATAACTCTAACGTTTTTCTCCATTATCAATAAATACCCCTCCTTTTTCTTCATCCCTTCCTTCCCCATTTCTTTCCTCATTTTTCTTCCCCCTACTCCTTACCCCTTTCCTTTCCCCTTCTCTTCCCCTTTTCCTTTCTCCTTTTCTTCCCCTTTTCCTTATCCTTAAACTTCCCCTTTTTTCCCTTTCCCTTCATCTTTTCCTTCCCTTTTTCCTTTTCTTTTTTCTTCCCCTTTCCCTTCTCCTTATTCTCTCCCCCTCCCCAGACATCGGGCCAGTTAATAAAACAATTTTAAGTGCTTAACCAAAATTATTATTTAGGATTCTTGTGTTTAAACTAAATTATTATTTAGGATTCTTGTGTTTAAACTAAATTATTATTTAGTATCTTGTATTTAAACTAAATTATTATTTAGGATTCTTGTATTTAAAATAGATTATTATTTAGTATTCTTGTATTTAAACTAAATTATTATTTAGGATTCTTGTATTTAAACTAAATTAATATTTAGGATTCTTCTGTTTAAACTAAATTATTATTTAGGATTCTTGTATTTAAACTAAATTATTATTTAAATTATTATTTAGGATTCTTGTGTTTAAACTAAATTATTATTTAGGATGCTTGTGTTTAAATTAAATTATGATTTAGGATTCACGTGTTTAAACTAAATTATTTTTTTAGAATTCTTGTGTTTTAAACTAAATTATTTTTTAGGATTCTTGTGTTTAAACTAAATTATTATTTAGGATTCTTGTGTTTAAAGTAAATTATTATTTAGGATTCATGTGTTTAAACTAAATTATTTTTTTAGAATTCTTGTGTTTTAAACTAAATTATTTTTTAGAATTCTTGTGTTTAAACAAAATTGTTCGAAAATCCAGCGCCAGCTGTGAAAACATGTTGCAAGCAAGTATTAATCTAAAAAAATCTAAAATATTTGGAAATCTCAACTATATATAAATACCCAGCCCTAATCATAATATATTTTCTCATGAAATAACGATTATTGTAGTCCTGATTAGGGAGCAAGGTTTCTATTAAATAAGGAAAAAATCATCCTTATAGATTAAGGGGATAATATATTTGGAAATAGAAAAAATATTCTAAAGTAAAAACAGGAAATAAGAACCAATGTTACATTATACTTGACACAATATAGTGATAAACTCAATATATGATCCCTGAATTTTTGGGAATTGATTTGAATTGACGTTGGTTCTACAGAACCAACGTCATGTAGAACCAACGTCAATTCAGAGAGCAAACATGAATTTACTCTCTTTAAATTACCCTTGGGCCTCCCTCTGCTCAGTCTGGTTTATCCAGAGGTGGGGGGCATCGTGGATATGCCCATGTCCAAACACACTTTGATTAAAGTTGTGTGTTTGCTTGTTTATACTGGACTTATAATGTTAGTCCCTGACATGCCAAACATCTACACCTTCATCATCAACTGTCTGGGGTTCACAGTAACGATGTCAGCTTCTGTTCTTCTATTTAGGTACTTAAACTCTAGACCCCCGGCGCAGAAAAATATTCTGAACAGGATCTTGGCTCTGCTGATCCTGTTGCTAGCAGCTCTAACCATCAGAAGCCTTCTAATGTCATTTGTAGCCTGCTTCTGGAGTATCCACCTCAGTGAGATTGTTATGATATATCCCATTTTAACAACTGCTGTCCTTTCAATCAGACTTTACATCTTGGCAGCAACTGCCACACTTTGCACTCTATCCTGTGGGAGACTTTTACTTGTCACCAATCCAGTTCTTTTCCACAACATACGTCATTCATCATCTGGTGCAATTGTAGCTGGGGCATTGGTTTTCATCTCTGTCTCTGTCTCTGTTCTTGACTTAACTATAGTGTGCAATGAAAACACAAACACAAGGTCATTATTCAATTTTAAAATGGAGATGGGAATTATTGCACAAGATGACTTCAAAACTACAATTCCAGTAACTGACAACCCAAATGCTACAAAATCAGAAAGTGAAAAGAATTTCTGTAATGCATTCCCAACTTTTCTAGTGTTGGTGATATGTTCCTTATTTCTGGAAACAGTTAAAGTACTTTTTGTTTTAGTTAAAGAGTTCCTGAAAAAGAAAAAGAAAATTAATCAAGTAAGACCAACTGAACTAATCGAAGTTATAACTGATCAATCAGATGTATTGAGAACAAATTCAGGCCCTAGTGGACAGCCAGCATTAAGGCGTTCTGAATCATTTCCATTACCTTATACGGTAAGGATAGTCAGCTGTCAAAGAAGGTGTTCCCTGCAAGCTGAAGAAGCTACAGGTCCAGAAGCACTTGAAGTTGACTCCACAGAAAATCAGAATACTCCCAATTGTACAATTGAGAACCTAAACAGAGCTGCAGAGGACGAGAATTTGATACTTGCTAAAGAGGTCATCACAAAACAATGCATGAGAACTGCAAGTATCGTTACAATGTTCATTGCAGCTGCATTATGCGCAAATCTCATAGTTACAAGTCCCATAAGCTCAGTAGTAGAGCTCACATTAGTCAGACTTACTGCTTACAACTTGGTGGTTTACTTAGTTCTATTCGATAAGGATGTTTTATCTTATTTTTTCAGCATTCTTGGCTTTTCATTGTTAAATATGAAACTTTAGTCTTAATCTTCGTGATAGTCATAATATCTCATTATAAATTTAGTTCGTAAGCTGTTTTGTATATTTCTTAAATTTATCTTGCAAGGGGGAAATGCCTGAAAGCCTGGTTTTGCAATAAGACAGCTTCAAGTATTTTCAAGCTGGTCAGGATTCCACCTAAAACTAAGCATCCAGTACACACTGCTATGATTTGTCTTTTTTGTTAATATTTTGAGTATTTTATATTCTCCTCATTTTTTATATCAACAAAGGAAATGTTCTTGAAAAATTGTAAAGGGGCGTTGATCAACTGCTATTAAGATTAATGATTGCTACCTGTATTCAATCCATTCAATCTTCTTAAATTTTTGAAAATTTCAATATTTGACCAAATGACCAAAAAACTTGATGTTTTTTTTCATTGTAAAACATATATGTTGAAATTTTTTTATCATTCATATGTATTAACTTTTGTTGATGTGAAATAAAAAATTGTTATCGTCTTATTCATTTTTTTGTTGTAGAAATTAGAATTTATTATAATCTATTTATTATCTATATATATATATATAAAGTTGTAATCTCTTTTTGTCTGTTTATTTGTTTGTTTAATCATAACTCAGGAACCTGTGAACTGATTTGCCTGAAATTTTGATTGGGGTACTTGGGAGACCTATGGGAATGTTCTTAATGTCAAAATCACTATTTTGACCTTCATGGTTCAAGCACAAATTTAAGAAAACAATTTTTCGGTCGAATCCAATTTTGAAGCGGATATTGTTCTTTTTGCGTGCTTTCCAAATAAAACTGAGCATTCTGCTGCCCATTTTCTCAAGAAAACGTACAGAATTTTGGGCAGTTGCCTAAAGGAGTTACGGGTTAGGTTATGGGTGAAGACAGCAGGGAGAGGTTGGTAGCATGAACATGGGGGGATAGCAGAAGGAAAGGGGAGGGGTTGATAGCATGAACATTGGAGGATAGCAGAAGGAAAGGGGAGGTGTTGGTAGTGTGAACATGGGGGATAGCAGAAGGAAAGGGGAGGGGTTGGTAGCGTGAACTTGGGGGATAGCAGAAGGAAAGGGGAGGGGTTGGTNTGTAGATGATGTAGATGATGTAGATGATGTAGATGATGTAGATGATGTAGATGATGTAGATGATGTAGATGATGTAGATGATGTAGATGATGTAGATGATGTAGATGATGTAGATGATGTAGATGATGTAGATGATGTAGATGATGTAGATGATGTAGATGATGTAGATGATGTAGATGATGTAGATGATGTAGATGATGTAGATGATGTAGATGATGTAGATGATGTAGATGATGTAGATGATGTAGATGATGTAGATGATGTAGATGATGTAGATGATGTAGATGATGTAGATGATGTAGATGATGTAGATGATGTAGATGATGTAGATGATGTAGATGATGTAGATGATGTAGATGATGTAGATGATGTAGATGATGTAGATGATGTAGATGATGTAGATGATGTAGATGATGTAGATGATGTAGATGATGTAGATGATGTAGATGATGTAGATGATGTAGATGATGTAGATGATGTAGATGATGTAGATGATGTAGATGATGTAGATGATGTAGATGATGTAGATGATGTAGATGATGAAGATTATGTAGATGATGTAGATGATGTAGATTAAGATATAAAATAATATAAAATTGTAATCTCTATTTGTCTTTAAGTAGTGTTTAAAAGAACTGGAAATAAAACCAAAGAAATGTTTTTAGTTTGGTTTAAAAATTGTGTGGGATGACTTTTAGAGATAAAGTATAGTATCCAGGCAAAGCTGTCCTTGTCAATCAGGTTTTATGCTAAGGCAGCAGTAGCAGCAATTTGCACGTTTTCGAATGAAAGACTTTTGCTGGTCGTCATGATCAATCCAGTTGTTTTTAACTATGTACATCCATCATCATGGGAGCACTAGAAATACAATCTTAACATTTACATATTTTTACCTCTTTTTATCAAGTTCAGTAGGAGTGGGGGGGGGAAAGGGGAGGGGTTGGTAGCGTGAACTTGGGGGATAGCAGAAGGAAAGGGGAGGGGTTGGTAGCGTTAATATGGGGGATAAGGGGGCTGGGAAAAGAGATATAATGGTTTTCCCAGTGCTTGAGATTGGAAAGGATAACACTGCACCTGTTTAGATAGATAGATAGATAGATAGATAGATAGATAGATCCTTCCCCTATCTATTGAAAAAAAATTCAGCTAGTTAGATGTAATCAGGGATATTTAGAACTGATTATAGTAACAAATACCCTGGAATAAGATTTATTGAATTTTCTTCTAATTTTTTATTTCAATTTGATTAATGAGGAAATGATGAAAACAAGAAATGTAGAATGATGTAGCTGTAGATGATGTAGATGGTGTAGATGATGTAGATGATGTAGATGATGTAGATGGTGTAGATATTGTAGATGATGTAGATGATGTAGATGATGTAGATGATGTAGATGATGTAGATGATGTAGATGATGTAGATGATGTAGATGATGTAGATGATGTAGATTTTTCTCCATAATCTCCATCCTTCCTTAAACTCCTAATGGCATGAGAAGGAGTTTCAAGATGGAACCTGGAGATTTCTTTTAACTATTCACTTTCTTCACATTCCATTTGTTGATTTTTCCTTTTCTCCAACTCTTTTCTTTGAGCCTGAAATTATAATTAGAGTTAGAAACTGTTATGAATTTCTTTCATATACAATTATTTAGGATTCTTGTGTTTGAACTAAATTATTATTTAGGATTCTTGTGTTTCAACTAAATTATTATTTAGTATTATTGTGTTTAAACTCAATTATTATAAAGGATCCTTGTGTGTAAACTAAATTATTTTTAAGGATTCTTGTGTTCAAACTAAATTTTTATTTAGGATTCTTGTGTTTAAACTAAACTATTTTTTAGAACTCTAGTATTTAAACTAAATTATTGTTTAGGATTCTCGTCTTTAAACTGAATTATCAATTAGAATTCTTGTGTTTAAACTAAATTATTATTTAGTATTCATGTATTTAAACTAAATTATTATTTAGTATTCACGTATGTATACTAAATTATTATTTAGTATTCTCGTGTTTAAACTAAATTATTATTCAGCATTCTTGTGTTAAAACTAAATTATTATTCAGGATTCTTGTGTTTAAACTAAATTATTATTTGGGATTCTTGTGTTTAAGCAAAATTAATTATTTAGGATTCTTGTATTTAAACGAAATTATTATTTAGGATTCTTGTGTTTAATCTAAATTATTATTTACGATTCTTGTTTTTTAAACTAAACTATTATTTAGGATTCTTGTGTTTAAACTAAATTATTATTTAGTATTCTTGTATTTAAACTAAATTATTATTTAGGATTCTTGTGTTTAGACTAAATTATTATTTAGGATTCTTGTATTTAAAATAGATTATTATTTAGGATTCTTGTGTTAAAACTAAATTATTATTTTGGATTTTTGTGTTCAAACTAAATTATTATTTAGGATTCTTGTGTTTAAACTAAATTATTATTTAGAATTCTTGTATTAAACTAAATTATTATTTAGGATTCTTGTATTAAAACTAAATTAGTATTAAGGATTTTTGTGTTTAAACTAAATTATTATTTAGGATTCTTGTGTTTAAACTAAATTATTATTTAGTATTCTTGTATTTAAACTAAACTATTATTTAGGATTCTTGTGTTTAGACTAAATTATTATTTAGGATTCTTGTATTCAAACTAAATTATTATTTAGTATTCTTGTGTTTAAACTAAATTATTATTTAGTATCTTGTGTTTAAACTAAACTATTATTTAGGATTCTTGTATTTAAACAAAATTATTATTTAGGATTCTTGTATTTAAACTAAATTATTATTTAGGATTCTTGTGTTTAAATTAAACTATTATTTAGGATTCTTGTGTTTACACTAAATTATTATTTAGGATTCTTGCGTTAAAACTAAATAAATTATTTAGGATTCTTGTATTCAAACTAAATTATTATTTAGGATTCTTGTGTTTCATCTAAATTATTATTTAGGATTCTTGTGTTTTAAATTAAATTATTATTTTGGATTCTTGTGTTTAAACTAAATTATTATTTAGAATTCTTAGGTTTGAACTAAATTATTGTTTAGGATTCTTGTGTTTAAACTAAATTATTATTTAGGATTCTTGTGTTTAAACTAAATTATTATTTAGGATTATTGTGTTTAAACAAAATTATTATTTAGGATTGTTGTATTTAAACTAAATTATTATTTAGGATTCTTGTGTTTAAACTAAATTAATTATTCAGGATTTTTGTGTTTAAACAAAATTTTTATTTAGGATTCTTGTGTTTAAAATAAATTAGTATTTAGGATTCTTGTGTTTAGACTAAATTATTATTAAGGATTCTTGTAATTAAAATATATTATTATTTAGAATTCTTTTGTTTAAACTAAATTATTATTTAGGATTCTTGTATTAAAACTAAATTATTATTTAGGATTCTTGTGTTTAAACTAAATTAATTATTTAGGATTCTTGTATTTAAACTAAATTATTATTTAGGATTCTTGTGTTTAAACTAAATTATTATTTAGGATTCTTGTGTTTAAACTAAATTATTATTTAGGATTGTTGTATTTAAACTAAATTTTTATTTAGGATTCTTGTATTTAAACTAAACTATTTTTTAGGATTCTTGTATTTAAACTAAATTATTATTTAGGATTCTTGTGTTTAAACTAAATTATTATTTTGGATTCTTGTATTTAAACTAAATTATTATTTAGGATTCTTGTGTTTAAACTAAACATACATCAAATTAATGAACCATACAAGTACAGGTAATTTAAAACCACAGAAAATACCTAAAGCACAAATTCTAAAACTTTTTTTTGGCAAACAGATTTTGAAAAGGCTTTTTTGGAATTCAACGAAACCATTGGTGTCTACTGTCTGTATGTATACTGTGTACAATGTACAATGTAGTACTTAATGTACCTGTTTACTGTCTGTATGTATACTGTGTATAATGTACAATGTATTACTTGATTTACCTGTCTATTGTCCGTCTGTATGTATACTGTATACACTGTACAATGCAGTACTTGATCTACCTGTCTACTGTCTGTATGTATACTGTATACACTATACAATGTAGTACTTGTTCTACCTGTCTAATTATGTATGTACACTGTTTACACTGTACAATGTAGTACTTAATCTACCTGTCTACTGTCAGTATGTATACTGTAGTGTATAAACTGTACAATGTAGTACTTGATCTACCTGTCTACTGTATGTATGTATACTGTTTACATTGTACAATGTAGTACTTAATCTACCAGTCTACTGTCTGTATGTGTACTGTGTACACTGTACAATGTAGTACTTGATGTACTGTCTACTGTCTCTATCTATACTGTATTCACTCTACAATGTAGTACTTGCTCTACCAGTCTACTGTCTGTACGTATACTGTGTACACTGTACCATCTAGTACTTGCTCTCCCTGTCTACTGTCTGTATGTAAACTGTTTACACTGTACAATGTAGTACTTGCTCTACCTGACTACTGTCTGTATGTGTACTGTATACACTGTACAATGTAGTACAGGCTCTACCTGTCTACTGTCTGTATGTATACTGTATACACTGTACAATGCATTACTTGCTCTACCTGTCTACTGTCTGTATGTATACTGTATACACTGTACAATGTATTACTTGATCTACCTGTCTACTGTCTGTATGTATACTGTGTACACTGTACAATATAGTACTTGCTCTACCTGAATACTGTCTGTATGTATACTGTGTACACTGTACAATGTAGTACTTGATGTACCTGTCTACTCTCTGAATGTATACTGTGTACAATGTACAATATAGTACTTGATGTACCTGTCTTCTGTCTGTATGTATACTGTATACAATGTACAATGTAGTACTTGCTCTACCTGTATACTGTCTGTATGTATACTGTGTACAATGTACAATGTATTACTTGCTCTACCTGTCTACTTTCTGTATGTATACAGTGTACAATGTACAATATAGTACTTGCTCTACCTGTCTAGTGTCTGTATGTATACTGTATACAATGTATAATGTAGTACTTGCTCTACCTGTCTACTGTCTGTATGTATACTGTGTACAATGTACAATATAGTACTTGCTCTACCTGTCTAGTGTCTGTATGTATACTGTGTACAATGTACAATGTATTACTTTCTCTACCTGTCTACTTTCTGTATTTATACTGTGTACAATGTACAATATATAGTACTTGATGTACCTGTCTACTGTCTGTATGTATACTGTGTACACTGTACAATGTAGTACTTGCTCTACCTGTCTACTGTCTGTATATATACTGTATACAATGTACAATGTAGTACTTGCTCTACCTGACTACTGTCTGTATGTATACTGTATACACTGTACAATGTATTACTTGCTCTACCTGTCTACTTTCTTTATGTATACTGTGTACACTGTACAATGCAGTACTTGCTCTACCTGTCTACTGTCTGTATGTATACTGTGTACACTGTTTGCTCTACCTGTCTACTGTCTGTATGTATACTGTGTACACTGTACAATGTAGTACTTGATGTACCTGTCTACTGTCTGTATGTATACTGTATACACTGTACAATGTATTACTTTCTCTACCTGTCTACTGTCTGTATGTATACTGTGTACACTGTACAATGTATTACTTGCTCTAACTGTCTACTGTCTGTATATATACTGTGTACACTGTGCAATGTATTACTTGATCTACCTGTTTACTGTCTGTATGTATACTGTGTACACTGTACATTGTATTATTTGCTCTACTAGTCTTCTGTCTAGGCTCAGTTAACTTTGCCATAAATACATTTATGATTAAAATGACATTAAAATGGAGTTTGCATAAACAGCCTTTCACAAATATTTCTCAAATTAAGTTTATAACTACACTCCAGCTAAATACCTAAGCAGTAAGCTCCCTTGGACCGAACTTAATGAATTTGAGCTACGTCACTGACCTGCCCACTGCCGGTTCAAATTCATTAAGTTCAGTCTATGGTATCATAAATTCTTGATTTCAGTTAATTAATTAATCGCTTAATTGTAGTCTTAACTTAAAATTATTCAAACTTGTAAATCTTTAGTTTTCAAAATAATAAATGTTTGTTTTTCAGAAAAACATTGCGAGCTTGTGGGATAATTATACCACTGTTTGGATTACAATGGATACTTACAATATACAGGTGGATGTTTGTTGTGAGGTTTCCATTTGAAATATTTGCAATAATATCATAAATGTTATCCTATCTGGATTTTACTTCTGCATGCCACAACAAAATTGCTCGTATTGATGTGAAAAAATATTTCAATGTTTATTTTGTTTCGAACTCATGGAAAAGTAAAATTGTTATTTTTTTAGAAAAAGTATAAGTTGTACACAATTTTATTGTCTTTGAGGTGTAAATGCTCGAACTTTTTCCCAAAAACTTTGCTGAGCCTGATGTTATTTTAAGGGGATTGACCGGCTATGTAAAGATAGTTGAACTAAGTATGCAGTGTTGTGGAAAACTTCTTTCGGATTCATTTGAGACATATTAAACTTTTTAAAGATCTGTAAATCCTGAGTTTGAGCGCAACGTTCAAAACTCCTAGTTTGGGGGTGGATATGTTTTTAGAATTATTTTTTTTAATTATCAAATAACGACAACGAAAGATAAAGTAAAAATTATACAGTAGTCTAATTAGATGGTTTGGAACATATTTCTAAAAAGAAATTTGTCAATAAATCAATGCTAAAATAGATTATTTCGTTTTCATTATTATATTGAATTTCTTATTTTCTGAATTTATTCGCAGATTTCTTCAAATTCTTCAAATGTCGTCTTTTTAATAATAATTACAGAAAATCTGCAGAACATCTTTGTGAATAATGAGAAAATAGAAACTAATAATTGAACAAGATTACTTATTTTCGATGATAAGATTAATTTTTATTTTCTCAACATGTTCCTAAACATGACGTCTGTAGTTTATTGTAGAACTTTTTTACATTTTATGTTGTCATTATTTAATAATTTAAAAAAACTAATTCTGAAAACGTATCCACCCCCAAAGTAGGAGTTTTGAACGTCGAATTTGCGCTTAAAGTCAGGATTTACAGATCTTTAAAAAGTTTAATATGTCTCAAATAAATCCGAAAGAAGTTTTCCACAACACTGCATACTCAGTTCAACTATCTTACATAGCCGGTCTCTACCTTTAAAGGACTTAACCTCTTGCTGTTGGATCAAGGGTCGGTAATGTTTGTCAAAAGGCAATAAAGACTAAAGTTGGATTTGAATATGATTAATTCTAACAATATCTAAGATTGTATGACAAACTGTATCATTTAGATTTGACACCGGTGAATGCTACTTCCTTGTAATCTACAATGTATTAGATATGCTTATTGATTGCTCACAGGTATTAAGGCAGTTTTGAATCATATATGATTGTGCATGGTTAAAAACTTGGACTTTTCACAGATAAAATAAAGTTGAAGAGAGGATAGGGTTTCCATGAAAGTACCATATTTTTTGCGCAAAATTTTCGTCATTTTCGCGCAATTTTTATTGCTAACTTTTGCGCATGAAGTGCAGTAAGTTTTGTGCGTTTTTTCGCAATTTATTGCATAATTTGCGCAAAACCGGAAGTATTACGAAAAACGTCAATGTTCATGTAAAAATTATATTTTAAAGCAAATTGACAAAAATTGAAAGTTTCAGTCAAGTTTAAGCTCAAAACCAAACAACTAAAGATTTATTCAAAAATTTACAAACAAACCAAATTATAATTGTGCTACTCGGAATTGGTTACTTTTAGTTACAAAAACTTTAAATTGAGGGACAAAAACTTTTTAAAAATACAAAGTGGTCTGTTTCTAGTTTAAGTTTAAAAGGAGTAGTTGGCAAAATACTGCTTGATTATTGCCTGAGAGTGTGCACCTGCACGTCTTGATTTGCAGTGTGCCATAATGTATCAGGTTGCAAAGTAGAGTTTTAGACAAGCAATCAGTTCTCTTTTTAAGCATTGCAATTACATGCGGAAAAGTGCAATCTCATAGATAACTAATGTATACAGTTTACACCTTTTATCAACCTTTTAATAAGAATTTGTTCCACAAAACTGCGCAAAACAGAATAACGCAAAAGCGGAATAGCAAAATTTTTCGCGAAATGAAGTTTGCGAATGATTGCGCAAAGGGCTATTTTTTGCGCAAAAATGTAGTGCAACGAAAGAAAAAAATGTTGCTTTCTTTCGCAAAAGTTTAGCAAAGGGAAACCCCTGGAGGTGTCAAACTATCATGGTTTTTGCAAATTAAAATTTGAAAATTTGAAAAATTTTCTGCACAGAAAAAGATGTTTTGTTTTTCAGGGAACTATTGTTGCTTTTATATTGTGCTACCGAACTGAAGAGGTAGGTTTATAATTGCTTTCTATTTAAACATTATTTATAATTGGGTTTGTAATGAAATAGTATTTATAATGTTTGTTTGCTGCAGGTTCAACAGTATTTGTTAACTGTGATACCAACATTTACAAACAACGTTCAACAGTTAAATGAAAGGTTAGTAAATTGTATTTCTTTATTGAGGGGTTTATATTTTACTTTCATCCTGGCAACGCTTTTAAAATTTGTCCCTTTTTCTCATGGTTAAAATTTTTCAAAACATTTTTCAAATTTTTAACTTACAATTTAAAAATTTCTTCTAGAAATCATGATCTCTTAGATAACTATTTTTCCAGCCTCATGTAGCTTCATTGCAAGTGGAATTTATTGAGAATAATATCAATTTCACTCCATATGAATTAATCCAGAAACAGTTGTGGTTGTTAAAAGTTTGAAAATTTAACAGCTTCCAGAAGCATTTTTCGGAAAAATCGTTTGGAGGGTAAAGCATAATATTGGCTTAAAGAATTATTTTTTAAAAATAAATACCCCTTTTCTTTTTTCTTTTAACAGATAAAAATGCAGACATTTTTAGAAATGAGTTTGAACTGAAGAAAAGGGTTCAGACTCAACAGAGCACTGATCCAACTTCATTTACAAATATGAGCAAAGAATGAAAAAATAAAAATATATATTTTTCCAAAATATCTGTTATTACAAGACTCTCTAAAGGGCTTCCAGATTAGAAGTCAACTTTGAATTCAATCCTGTTAAAATTATTCTATTTTGAAAAGATTTTCTTCACAAAAAAAATTATTTTTCAAGAAAAAACAAAGAAAAAACAAAACTATAGAATAATTTCCTGATAGTGAATGTTTTTGTTTGACAAATGTTGAAAATTGAATCATATATCCTTTTCAACTCTCCTTCCATTGCTTCTTTTGCATCAGCAACTAGTGTTAAATAAAGAATGAATTATATATAAAAGTTTTAATTTTATAAAATAATTTTTTATTATTGACCTGTCACATTCCTCATTTCCATGTCAGAACATAGATGGTTCAGATAAATCTTGTAATTAAATATGTTAAATAAGACAAAATGTGTCACTTTGTGTAAACAGTACGGAAATCGATATATATATTTAAACTTTTCTTGGTTGTTAGTTTGTATGCTTGTATCCAATCAACATGAAAACGGCTAAATCAGTTGAGCCCAAATTTGGTATATGGTTAAAAAGATGAAAATCTTGCCCAGAAAGAAATCTTGACCTTTATTACTTTTGAAAATACATAAATTTAAACAATAAATCTAATAAAAACTAAAACTGTAAATAGAAAAGGCATGCAAGCACCTTAAAAGCCTAGTCTTCAAAATATGTAGTCTATACCTGGGAAAAGGAGCAGTTATCCTCTGTTGACAGTTGGCTAGAAAAAAAAATAGTTTTTTAAAAATATTTTTCCAGAGGATAAAAGGTTTGATTTGAGAAAAGATTTCAAAAAAAGGATTTACTTTGTCTGAAGACTAAGGATTATCCACCAAGGTAATTTTGGGTTGAATGATCTAGATGAAAAATGCTTTCTCAATGGCATTTTTCCAAGTGGTAACTTCCCAAGGGTATTTTACCAAGTGGCAACTTCCCAAATTTGTATTTTCCCAAGCGGCAACTTCCGAAGTATGTTTTAACCTTAGTGTTGGGCCTCCCTAGCCTGTTCTAGCCACATAACTTGGCCCTTATTGCAGCCTGCAGGGCCTCATAGGGACCTAACCTAACCTTATTTGTACTTTTGGGAAAATGCTGCTTGGGAAATTGCACTTTTGGAAAGCTGCCACCTGGGAAATTGTCACCTGGGTAATTGTGCCTAGTGACTAGAATAAGATGTTCATTTATTTAACAAGTTAAGTTTTAGCATAAATATTAAACCAACCTATTTGTTGTTGTTGTTGAAGACACAAGTATTGATGGAGAAACAGAATAGGTATCAAAAGTCTGTGATAACTCTGTTGAAGAAGCAGTATTTGATCCAGCCGTAGAAGCTATTTTTGTAAAAGCAGCAGTTGATCCATCTGTAGAAGCTTCTGGCGAAGAAGCATCTGTTGATCCAGCTGAAGAAGCTCCAGGTGAAGAAGCATCAGTTGTTCCATCTGTAGAATCTGCTGGTGAAGAAGCATCAGTTGATCCATCTGTAGAACCTGACCCTGAAGGAGCAGCAGTTGATCCAGCTGTAGAAGCTGCTGGTGAAGACACAGCAGTTGATCCATCCATAAGAGCTGTATAAGCTGCTCCTGTATGAGCTAAAGTTGATCCATCTGTAGAAGCTTCTGGTGTAAAAGCGTCAGTTGATCTAGATGTAGAAGCTATTGGTGAAGAGGCAGCAGTTGGTCCATCTGTAGAACCTGGCCATGAAGGAGCAGCAGTTGATCCAGCTGCAGAAGCTGTTGGTGAAGAAGCATCAGTTGATCCATCTGTAGCATTAGTTGATCCAGCTTTAGAAGATGCTGGTGAAGAAGCATCAGTTGATCCAGCTGTAGAAGCTATTGGTGAAGAAGCGGCAGTTGTTTCATCTGTAGAAGCTGCTGGTGAAGAAGCATCAGTTGGTCTACCTGTAGAAGCTGCTGGTGAAGAAGCATCAGTTGATCCATCTGTAGAAGCTGCTGGTGAAGAAGCATCAGTTGATCCAGCTGTAGAACCTGCTGGTGAAGAAGCATCAGTTGGTCCACCTGTAGAAGCTGCTGGTGAAGAAGCAGAAGTTGGTCCATCTGTAGAAGCTGCTCTGGAAGAAGTATCAGTTGATCCATTTGTAGAAGCTGTTGGTGAAGAAGCATCAGTTGATCCAGCTGTAGAAGCTGCTCCTGAAGGAGCAGCAGTTGATCCATATGTTGAAGCTGCTGGTGAAGAGGCATCACTTGATCCATCTGTAGAAACTCCTGGTGCTCCTGAAGGAGCTGAAGTTGATCCATCTATAGAAGCTGCTGGTGAAGAAGCATCAGTTGATCCAGCTGTAGAAGCTATGGATGAAGAAGCAGCAGTTGATCCAGCTGTAGAAGCTGCTGGTGAAGAAGCATCAGTTGGTCCATCTGTAGAAGCTGCTCTGGAAGAAGCTTCAGTTGATCCATCTGTAGAAGCTGTTGGTGAAGAAGCATCAGTTAATCCAGAAGCAGCAGTTGATCCATCTGTAGCATCAGTTGATCCAGCTTTAGAAGATGCTTGTGAAGAAGCATCAGTTGATCCAGCTATAGAAGCTATTGGTGAAGAAGCAGCAGTTGGTCCATCTGTAGAGGCTGCTGGTGAAGAAACATCAGTTGATCCAGCTGTAGAAGCTGCTGGTAAAGAAGCATCAGTTGGTCCACCTGTAGAAGCTGCTGGTGAAGAAGCAGAAGTTGGTCCACCTGTAGAAGCTGCTCTGGAAGAAGCTTCAGTTAATCCTTCTGTAGAAGCTGTTGGTGAAGAAGCATCAGTTGATCCAGCTGTAGAAGCTGCTCCTGAAGGAGCAGCAGTTGATCCATCTGTTGAAGCTGCTGGTGAAGAGTCATCAGTTGATCCATCTGTAGCAACTCCTGGTGCTCCTGAAGGAGCTGAAGTTGATCCAACTGTAGAAGCTGCTGGTGAAGAAGCATCAGTTGATCCAGCTCTAGAAGATGCTGGTGAAGAAGCATCAGTTGATCCAGCTGTAGAAGCTGGTTCTGAAGGAGTTGCAGTTGATCCATCTGTAGAAGCTGTTGGTGAAGAAGCATCAGTGGATCCCGCTGCAGAAGCTGCTCCTGAAGAAGCAGCAGTTGCTCCATCTGTAGAAGCTAATGGTGAAGAAGCATCAGTTGATCCAGCAGAAGAAGCTGCTGGTGAAGAAGCATCAGTTGATCCAGCTGTAGAAGCTGCTGGAGAAGAAGCATCAGTTGATCCAGAAGCAGCAGTTGATCCATCTGTAGCATCAGTTGATCCAGCTGTAGAAGCTATTGGTGAAGAAGCAGCAGTTGGTCCATCTGTAGAAGCTGCTGGTGAAGAAGCATCAGTTGGTCCACCTGTAGAAGCTGCTGGTGAAGAAGCATCAGTTGATCCAGTTGTAGAAACTGATGGTGAAGAAGCAATAGTTGATCCATCTGTAGAAGCTGCTGGTGAAGAAGCATCAGTTGGTCCACCTGTAGAAGCTGCTGGTGAAGAAGTATCAGTTGATCCATTTGTCGAAGCTGCTGGTGAAGAAGCATCAGTTGATCCAGTTGTAGAAGCTGCTGGTGAAGAAGCATCAGTTGGTCCATCTGTAGAAGCTGTTGGTGAAGAAGCATTAGTTGATTCACCTGTAGAAGCTGCTGGTGAAGAAGCATCAGTTGATCCAGAAGCAGAAGTTGATCCATCTGTAGAAGCTGTTGGTGAAGAAGGATCAGTTGATTCAGCTGTAGAAGCTGCTGGTGAAGAAGCATCAGTTGATCCAGTTGTAGAAGCTGCTCCTGAAGGAGCAGAAGTTGATCCATCTGTTGGTGTTGTAGTTGTTGTTGTTGTTGTTGGTGGTAATGCAGTTGTAGTTGCTGTAGTTGTAGATGTTGTTGTTGTTGTTGGTGGTGTTGTTGTCGTTGGTGTTGTATTTATAGTTGTTGTAGTTGTAGTTGTAGTTGTAGTTGTAGTTGTTGTGGTTGTTGAGAACTGATTCACTAAAATAAATGTTAAACAATGAATTTTAGCATTCAAATTAAGAGACTTTTAGCGTAACTTTAGGATATTTCCTGTTCTTGACAGTACCCTTCAAACCTTAATCTGATAAAAAATTTGGAAGATAAGGTCGCTTTTTATCTTGAAAATTGTTCAATTTTGTTAATGTTTCCGTTGATTCTGGAGCAAGAAATGAGAAGATCATTTTTATAAAAAACCACAAATGAAAAAATTCCAAAAACTAAAACATTTACATTTAGTACATACTTGCCCAGACAAATTTTTTTTGGTATCGTTGTGAATTTGACAAACCATTCTATTCAAAGGAGGGTCACTTGAAATTACGTTTACAGTTCCTTGAAGTCAAATAGGTATTTCTTTGGATATTGGATATTATGAAATAGACGGAGACACATGATAATGATACTGCACTGCCATTGGTGGGAGTTCTGGTCACATGATTTATTATATTATCAATTATATCTATCAAAAATTAAAAATTATTAAATTCAAACACTGATAAAATAATAGGAGAGTTTTATTTGCTTTCTCATTTCATTTAAGATTGTTGAGGGTCGAACCAAAATGGATTTTCTGAAAGGGTGAACAAGTTTGGACCTGAAGTTATTTTCACAAACATATCTGAAGTTTAAACTTTAGTGTTGAGAATCTTAGAATCAAGCATTTATTCAGACCTAGGGTTTAGTTTAATGTCCTCTTTGTTAACCTGTGACAGTGATTGATCCTCAAATATTGGATATCAAGATCAAGTATTCAAGATTACAGATTCTTCACACAAAAGTATCTCCTTCTGCTAAGATTATTTACCAAATTGTATTGCTCTGCATTCTACTTGTGCAAGTGAAAATGAAGACACTGTTGTAATACCAGACTTCTTCAGGTTTCTAAACATCAATTACGTACAGGGTTTTACAAACATGGGAATCAAGGGACAACTTCAATCTGCACAATGCACTATCCTGATATGTAATTTAACCACTAAGCATTTAAGTTTTGGGATTTTTAGATTGTTTAAAAATGTAACATTCAAGATATTAAGAAATTTGACTTTAATTTAATTGTTCAAAATGCATTTCATCAAAGTAGTCTAATTAGATATATATTATCCAAAAACCCCATAACATCTAAAAATTATGATATAAAACAAAATAGAAATTGTTTTTCAGTTTACAAAACAACATACGTCATTGAGGTAAGTATGTTCACATAGGTAAGAAACTGTGGATGGCTTGAAGTAATTGTTGATCCAAGCATAGCTAGCATAAAGTCAGCATTTTGATACATTTATAATCATAACAGTTCATTATTGAAATCACAAAAAAATTAGATAGGGATTCTTTGAGTAGCAAAACATAGAATTTAAAAACTGTGAAGGAAAGAGTTCTCTCTCTCTCTTCCCCTCTCTCTCACTGGGAAAGAAGAATTCCATCTTCAGCTTTTCTCTGGCTGAACATCACAACTGAAAGAAGGAACACAGAAGTATAATCCCTGATAGGTATAAAATTTAATGATACTGATCTTTTACTCAGCCAGCTGTGAGGACTGGACTACTGTGGAAGATTCCACCTGATGGGGCTTTATGCATAGAGAATAGAATATATAGAGAGGAATTAAAAGAATCTCTCAGTATGAACTTTTTCAGTTTCTTTCAGCCTGAAAGGGAGTTCAAAGTGTACAAATCATGTAAATGTTCACAAATTATTTGCAGTAGAGTACATTAATACAGTATGTTCCCTAGACTATCCATTTCAATTTCGATTTTTTTAAAGCTGTTAAATAAACTTTATAATTTGAATTAGGTGAATAATAAACATCATTTGATCTATAGTTAAACGGAAAATCATCGTTTGTAAAGTGGAAGGCATAGAGTCTATGTGAAGTGATCATTGGTCAAATATGAAACCAGCCTATTTCATAATTTGGGTTTCTTTTAACAATAATTTTAGATTTTCTATAAAATGATATTCCAGAGACCAAAACGTTTTATAGCATAAATATGTGAAGTACACCTGCAGTATGGAAACTGTACAACAAAATGGCCGTTTTACACTTTTTTCTAGTAAATTCCTCTCTATATATTCTATTCTCTATGGCTTTATGGCTTCCAGCTCCCCATTTTGCATAAGCTGTTATGGGTTTCCTTAATTCCACATGAGTTGGAAAGACTTTAAAACAAAGGAAAGCAGGGATCTTTTACTGAAATCCTTCATACCCTTCCTCCTCCAAACATCCTTAACTATTTCCTTCCTGCTCCACAACTCAATGTCACAAGGACTACTTGGAGAGGCCTCAAAACAAAGAAAATGCCCCAGTTAGAAAATATAATGCTAATATAGTGTCAGCATTCCTTATAAAAATAAAAATAACACAGGAAACAAAAAGATTTCAGAAAAATAGGAAAGCAGGAGCCTCTCAACCTAGTTCTAAACTAGCAGCATGGCATCTACTAGGATGTCCCTAAAAATTTCTTCTTTTTAAAAAGTAGTTAAATATGATGAAAGATGTACGAACAAGAAGAAAATAGAAAACAAGAATTATAGATAAGTAAAAATATTTGCAGTTGATATTGCATATTTATTTATAGATTATTGTTAAAATAAAAAATAAAAAATAAAAAAAATTGTGAAAAAAGATGGAGATTATTTTGAAATATTTGAGAAAATATATACTTTATAGGAACATTTCTTGTAGAAAACAAGGCAAATTTTTCTATTGTGTTATGGACTGAAATTTAGGCCCTGAATCATAATTAAGAATGCTGCATATGTGCTTACATAAAAAAAGTTTAACTTTAAATTTATATGAAATCCTTAATTGTAATTGGAAATGTGTCATGTCACTTATTTCCATTAAACAGATGAAACCTTTAATTTTACTGCTTTATTTCCTAATTGTAAGGATAGACTTTCAAACATTGCTTCTGCCTCTGTCCTTTTTACTGCTTCCTAAATAATTTAGGCACCATGTTTTATATGTTTTAAAATATACAATTTTTTTCAAAATCACCTTACTAATTGTTTAACAAACTATAATTTCTGCTGATAGAACACAAATTGGAACAAACAATTTTGTTATGTATATATATTACAACTTTTTAAATCTTTCTGAGACTAAAGATATCTAAATGTTAAAATGGATCATTTGTTGTATGGGGTGTTTTTATATTCTTTTATGGTATATATTTTAAAAGGTCTGCAAACGAAGAATTAAAGGGGGTATAAGCTCAAACCAAAGCATTTTAAGAGTTGATCGAGACCCATAAGAATTCTATCTGATGTTCCTGTCTCTAGAAGTTGATATATAACTGTGTCAAACTTATACAAAAATTCATATACATAAAATTTTGTGTAAAAATCGGAGGTTTAAACAGATCATATTCAGCAAGTATGCAACCCATCTGAAAACAACGATATCACGGAGGAGCCTAATAAACTTAGGTTTACTTCTATTATTATTTGAATTTAATAAGTTTTCATTTTTAATAGATATAATTCACTTTAAAAATATCAAATTTAAATAATGACAGAGGCAAATCTAAGTTTCTTAGGCTTCTCTGGGAAATTGCTGTTTTCAGATTGGTTGTGTATTTGCTGAATATGATCTGTTTAAACCTACTATTTTCATTCAAAATTTTATATATAAAGATTTTTGTATAAATTTGACACAGTTTTATATCTATTTCTCGAAACAGGATCATCAGATAGAACTCTCATGAGCCTCGATCAACTACTTAAATGCTTAGGTTTTAGCCTATACCCCCTTTCATTTTTCCTTTACATTCCCTTTAATCGTAATTATTTGTAAAATTCTTAAAAAAATGCAATATTTGTTTTTTAATCCTAAAATAGTTGTGGAATATGAACTCCAATTCAATAATTCAAGAAATTAGCATTTGAAAAATGTTTAACTTAAATAGATATTAGGTTTAACATGTTTTTACCGATTTGACAAGTATTGAAGGTAGATCCTGTCCTTGTTGAAGCAGAACTCCAACCAAGGATCCGCTGTTAATAAGTTGGGTAGCGTTCTCTTCCTAATTTGTATTTATGTTTATATTTTCAATAATTACAAAACTGTGTTGAAATGAAAACATTTTTTGGTAAATAAACTTTTGTAACATGATTCACATCATTATATATCCATGGATTATTTACGTTATAAAAATGTGTTTATAAATTAATATTTAGATTTATATAAATATACCTTTGAACTAATTGCTAGTTGAAGAATATATTTTGCCTGAACATCAGACAAACTTGAGCTCTGTGCAGAATCAACCCAGCACCCATAGGATAAAACATTCTAAACAATTTAAACTTTATTATCTTGCTAAAAGATACATGGTACAATCTCATTTTTAAAATAAATCATAATCTTTTTACCAAAAATACCAACCTATAATTCCCAACAGAGGGATGTTAAGTTACTTGAAGTCCCTTGGGACAATTAAGTAAAATAATGACCCGCTTAGCAAGGTTTTATGAAAAATTTTGTGCATTTATATCTGAAAAGACTACCAATTTTGTCTCCAAAATATCCGTCGCTTCAATCTGAGCCTGCGATTTAAAAACTTCAACTCGAGTCATAAATCCTTAAACCCGACTTTAAGACCCAATCTTTGACCCAACTCTAACGACAGCTTGTGTCACAAGATTGACAGCTGCAAGATCTTCAGCTCAACTTAAGGAGTTAGGCCCAATGAAAATAAAACCAACCTTGGTGAAGAATAAAGCTCAATATTGAGTCTTGTTCTCAGAAAAACCTGGAATGCTCCAATTCCTACCATGAAAATCCGGCAAATAGAATATTAAACCGGTTTTTTTATACTCTACTCTGTGGAAAATAAGATACAGCTTGAATCCGAAAGCTCAAGCTGTAAATAAGGCCCAACGACAGCTTAGACCCGAGCCGTATTTTCCCATATTTTTTAAATCGCGGGCTCTGGATATTTTTTGGCAAAATGTGCCTGGGAAACCCTGAACTTTCCTGTTAAGTATCTGTAAATAATTAAAAATAGCATCTCCAAATGTCTTTTTTCAATTATCCTGCATCTTTATTCAGAGCCCGCGATTTAAAAGCTGCGGCCCAAGTCTTAATTCCTTAAACGCAGCTTTAAGACCCAATCTTAGACCCAACTCTGACAACAGCTTGTGTCACGTGATTGACAGCTGCGAGATCTTAGGCTCAACTTAAGGAGTTAAGCCCAATGAAAATAAAACCGACCTTGGTTGGTTTTAGTAAAGAATAAGGCTCAATGTTGGGTCTTATTCTCATCAAAACCCAGAATGCACCAATTCCAACTATGAAAATCCGCCAAATATAACATTAAACCAGTTTTATGAACTAAATTCTGTTGAAAAATAGATGCAAGTTAAATTTGAAAGCCCGAGCCGTAAATAAGGCTCAACAACAGCTTAGACCCGAGTCGTATTTTCTTGAATTTTTTTAATCGCCGGCTCTGAAGATCTAATCATATCATTAATCTGTAAATGTCATCTTTGCAGGAAAAAAATCTAAACCAATTATAGTTAGGCATATGTATTGATAGATAGATAACGAACCAATGATATTGCGAAAAATTTTCAAATTATCTTCCCCATTTATACTACATATTTTTATTAGGACATATTTTCAGAAGTTGCACAGAGTGAAGAAAGAAGACAAAACGTACACCAATTAATTAATTAAAATCTATTAAGATATTTCTTGATTTTTAAAACTTTACAAGCAGATTATTTTTAGAAACAGCTTGGTCCATTTTTGTAAAGCATTTACCCTAAAAAATTCTAATCATTTTTCAATTCTTGTTAATGTAATCTTTTTGAATATTGAGAAACTGTCATGGTTGTAAAGGGTTACTCTTACTTGCAGAGTTGCTGTAGCCATGCAAGTGTAAGCGCAACCAAGTAAACGAGATGGAGTTGTCCATGTTGAGCCAGTAGTTGATGCTCCTTCTACAGAGGTAGTTTTTGTGGTAGTTGTGGTAGAAGTTGTAGTTGTAGTTGTGGTTGTTGTGGTTGTGGGTGTGGTTGTAGTTGTAGTGGAAACTGGGAAAGAATGAACTAAAGATATTAAAGCTATTTAACTTTATGCTTTCTAATGATCAGGGGCTTAACACCAAAGCCCCTCCCCAACATTGCAATGCACTTTTTCCAATTGATATTAGAAAGTATTATTTCACTTTTTAGATTTAAATAAGTTTTTTTTTAAATATAACTTAAATCTTTTTAATTCTGATTAGAATTTGAATGTATACCCTAAAAAAGCGAATCATAATAAATATGATTCATAATAAAAATTAGAAACAAACAATACTTCACCAAAATGCAGAGCTACACAGTTTGCTTCAACAATTGAATAATCAGATACAACAGTTACCCCAGCAGATTTGACCAACCTTATATGTACATCTTTTAATAAATATATACAGAAAGGTATCCCCATAACAAGTCCTATAATCACTAGAGAGATTTCCAATTTTCCAAGAAGATGATATGACAGTTGCAAGAATAAGAAAGTAAAAATTGAGAAACACTTAATATTGGTTGTGTGTCAAAAGGGTTTCCAATGAATGAAAACTTAATTCGCAAAATTTATGCAAAATGTTAAAAGAATTTGAATTAGACAATTTTTACCACGCACTTTCAATATATACAAATCAAATGTTATTTTTGATTTTATCAAATATTTTCGCAAAAATCTTGAAATGGTAAATAAAAGATCATCATTACACAAAAAAATAGAATTTTTAAACTTTATCAGAATTTAGTGCAAAAAAAAAGGTTTGTATATATTGTCAAAACATTTGTCTTATCAAAATTTTACAAAAGAAATTTATCAAAAGTTTGGAAACCCTATGTATAAAAATGTTTTAAAATAAATCCTTTCTATCTAATTATTTTTTTGTTCCAAAAACTGTAAAAGTACAAGTAAATGTTTAATGATAGAAATGTATGTTTATAATGTAATACTTACGTCATCTTAGTTAATACCGCAACATATTCTTTAAACTTGGGATGGGCTGAATTGATAGTTGATCCCAAAGCCGCTGGACAAATTGAAATCAATGCAGTTCAAAATTTAATTATGTAGAACAGAACCCAGATTTAATTAATAGCCAGAGTAGACAGATGTACACTTTTCTTGTGCTTTAGTCACAAATAAACTAAAGAGAAAACAACGTTCTTAGATAGATAATATGTGTATTGCCATGTTTACTTAGACCACGTTCTAGCCATACTCCCTCCCTGGCCTAGAATCACTAAACCCATGTGGACAATTATGTGAACAACATATATAATCACAAAATATTCATCTCAATTCATATATTATCTCAAAATATACAAGAATATATAGATTTCAAAATAGTACATAAATCCTGTCCAAGCTGTATCCTCTCTAGTTGATCCGCAGCTTTGGTTCAAGATAAGAAGAAGTGTTCATGTTTTGCTATTCATTAAATCTGGTTGCTAATTGCTTATTTTTTACCCAGCTGTAAAGAGATATTAGCAAATGATGCTTCAACCTCGGTTCTTCTGGTAGATTCCTGCAGAATAATAAATTTGGAAATTAGAGACCAAGTTCAACTAACAGAAGAGCCAATTAGTTAAAAGTTAAAAAAACACTAATGAGTTATGTACTACATCTCTTCTAAAGGGGAGTCACGAGTGCAATAGCAATGCTTAGTTATCCTCCATGCAAGAATGGATGTGAACCCTTGAAACATAAGTCAATTAATAATGTGGAAGAAATTGTCGTTTTTCGATTTTATTCTAATAATTCCTATATATTTTCAGTTTTGAAAATTATAAACATTGCTATATAATTCATTTTTTATTAGACGAAGCTTTTAAGGAAAATGTTGTGAATTGGGAGAAAAACTATTTGCTTTGAAACAACATCAAAATATGTGTATGAATTTCATTTCTATTGTGAACCCAACCAAGGGTTCATCCCTATGTACATAGTCTCATATAAGTTCATTGCTCCCAGTCGGAGAAATGATGCCTAACAAATGCAACATAAGAATAAAACCAAATAATCCAGATGCAGTCCAAAAAGGTATTGAACCCTGAGTATGTTTGCAGCCTTAAAGGTGACAGACCGGCTCTGTAAGGTAGTTAAATTGAGTATGCAGTGTTGTGGACAAATTCTTTTGGATTCATTTAAGACATATAAAACTTGTCCACGATGTATAATTACTGAGTTTGAGTGCATAGTCAACATTCAAAATCATGAATTTGGGTGGGTACGTTTTCAGAATCGGTTATTTTTTATTTATTAACTAACGACGACAAAAAATAAAGTAAAAATTTTACAGTAAACTAATTAGATAGTTTTGAACATATTTCTCAAAAGAATTTTGTCAATAAATCAATGCTAGAATCAATTATTTCGTAATACTCAGTTCATACTCAGTTCAACTACATTACATAGCCGGTCTGTCTCTTTAGATACATAACAGTGTAGACTTAAAGAGCTTAAAGGCTTAAAGAGCAGTTTAAAGGGCAATAAGTGTAAAATCGATGCTGGAGAACTGAATGAAATGGCATTTATTCTGCCAGCAAAGAAAGCAGATCGTCAACAAAGAAAGCAGATCGTCGACCATCTTATAACCAGGGTTCTCCAAGACTTACCAATTAGCACAAAGAATCAGAAGAGTCGAATGGAAATATAGGCGAAAGTTGTCTTTATTCAGATCAACTTTAGCTGGTCCAATACTAATCGTTTGTATCATTATAATGTAAAATATAATGTGTGTGTGCAACCATGCTTTGTTACTCTACTCAATCTTGGCCTTTTAATACTGAACTTTTTTCAAGTCTATACTATATTCTACAGAATTCTGGTTTTCTTTTTTTTGCTGAAACTCACCGTTTTTGCCAGAACTGTGGCTTGTGTTTGACCAATGTTTCGTAAAAATGCAACAATTGCTCCTTTACCAACCAAAGCAGTTCCATTAGCCTAAAATTCCAAAATTAACTTAAATTACTTATTGGTATTGGTAAAGAATAATTTTCCATTTCAAGAAATCTTAACATGTTGATGTATTTTTAATTAAGCGTGATTTTTTGTGGGGTTTCATCCAAGCTTTTGGTCTGTTTGAGAGTTTACACAGGGTTGCCCCAAATGGACATAAACGACATTATGAAATTTTCAACTATAACTTATTCATATTTTTGCAAAATCACACTCTAAAAAATCTATATTTTAGACAAATACTGAATTTAACCGCCAGATTGTTGAATATAAAACGTTTAAGGTCGCCAGAAAAGTTTCATCTTTGGTGTGTAACCTGTGTATAAATATGAATATATATTTATGTATTGTTAGTATGTATATTTTAGACTTTTAGATTCAACAGGAATAACAGGCCCATCAGATAGTGAGACACTTTTTCATATTAGCATAATCATATTATCATCATACTATTGACATACCGGTTATATCATTTGAGGGATGGAGGAGGGAAAAAATCTTGCAAAATATTTCAGAGTACAAACACCTTGTTTACAAAATATTTCAGAGTACAAACACCTTTTTTACAAAATATTTCAGAGTACAAACACCTTTTTTACAAAATATTTCAAAGTACAAACACCTAGTTTACAAAATATTTCAGAGTACAAACACCTTGTTTAAAAATTGTATCCGAAATATTTCTTGCTACAAACATTAAACCAAAAAAAATCTGGTTTTTTAATCCTAAAACTGCATTTTTTGGTTAATAATTATGAATTCAGTTTTTTTGTTTGTTTGTTTTTTCATGATTAATTGAGTGCTAACACAACAAATAACAAAAGTAATCAGAATAAAATCTTACTGTTGAACTTATTGTGGTTTGTAGGAATAGAACCTTCTGAGCCTCAGTGCTCCCGGCTGTAGAGTATTGTCAAGTTTCTTTTACTATATTTTGATAGCGATACAAACTGTAAAAATTAGAAAAAAAAACTTTCAAATTAATTATTGCTTTCCTGTAGGAGAGATATTATAAAAACAAGCCAAAAGCAGAAAAAAAAACAAAAAAAACAGATTTTTTAATTGAAATAATTCAATTTGGGAAAATAATGATTAAAATTACACTTTGAACAAGTAATACCCCCCTCTCAAACAAGTAATACCCCCCTCTCAAAAAACCAGTTCCTCCTCTAAGAAGGGAGCCTCTACGAATTAAAGACTTGTTGAAATGGTTAAAGAAATGCCTAGTTCTTCTGAAGTTCTCCAGCAGCCGTAGGTCAGCACATTGGAGACAGTTTCAGAGGTAGGGCAGGTATAAGGACAGTCTTTGAACAAAATATTTACAGAAAAAGTTGGATTAAAATAATAACGAAAATTCAAAAATGCACGCTACTTTTGTCATCAGTCAAAAAAGTATACCTTGTCCATTTATATGTGAAATTATAAAAATCAAGAACGCTAATATTACTCTCATATTCGTCTGAAATATTCACAGACAAAATAATTCTTTAATTATTAATACGTTGATTGAGAAATGAAATTATTATCATCCTTACTTTTCTAAAATAATAATGTATAACTGTTAAAAAGTCTAGGGGAAAGGAATTTAGTCTTTGCCACAAACTCTGAATTTATAATCTTTGGAACCCAATGTCGCAAATCTTTGATATTTCAAATTTACATTATTTGATTTAACAGAATTCATAGTTTGAAATATCTAAGGTCTACGACATTGGAATCCAAAGATATAGGGTTTAGAAAAGCAGAGTTTGTGGCAAAGACTCAATTCCTTTTCAAATAAAAAAACAGAACCAATTTTTAAAAAGCCAAAAATTGGGTTTCCATGCGGAAAAGCTAAATATTTAATTTTGTAAGAAACTTTGTATGAAATTGTCCATATCACATTTACGAATTAGTTTCCAGAGCTGAAAACTTTAGAATGGTGGATATCAAGATTTATGCTTGATTTCCTCTTTTTCTTAATTTCCAGATTAAATAATGCTTGTTCTCCTCTAATTATTAATCTCCAGATTAAGTAACCGATCGGGATTAAGGATATAACATTCCAAAGTTAATTTTCAGCTCAGGTAAGTTTTAAAAAACTAGCCATTGCTATAAACTGGCATTTGTATTATTTTTCTAACGACGTGGAAAAAACGGAGTACGCAAAAATTATTTTTTAAATTGGTTAATAAAGAATAAGCTATTATTCTATTTGTCGTTTCGTTAACAAAGGAAGGTCGTTTTTTATATCTGACGTTAACAAAGGTAGTTTTTATATCTGGCGTTAAAAAAGGTAGGTCGCTTTATTATATCTGGCGTTAGCAAAGGTAGGTCGTTTTATATCTGGCGTTAAAAAAGGTAGATAGTTTTTATATCTGGCGTTAAAATAGGTAGGTCGCTTTTTTATATCTGGCGTTAAAAAAGGTAGCTAGTTTTTATATCTGGCGTTAAAAAAGGTAGGTCGCTTTTTTATATCTGGCGTTAACAAACGTAGATCATTTTTATATCTGGCGTTAACAAACGTAGATAATTTTTATATCTGGTGTTAACAAAGGTAGGTCGTTTTTTTATATCTGGCGTTGAAAAAGGTAGATCGTTTTATATCTGGCGTTAAAAAAGGTTGATCGTTTTATATCTGACGTTAAAAAAGGTAGGTCGCTTTTTTATATCTGGCGTTAGCAAAGGTAGGTCGTTTTTATATCTGGCGTTAACAAACGTAGATCATTTTTATATCTTGCGTTAACAAAGGTAGGTCGTTTTTATATCTGGCGTTGAAAAAGGTAGATCGTTTTTATATCTGACGTTAAAAAAGGTATGTCGCTTTTTTATAGCTGGCGTTAGCAAAGGTAGGTCGTTTTTATATCTGGTGTTAACAAAGGTAAGTCGAACTTACAAAGGTAGGTAGTTTATTTATATCTGGCGTTTCTGAACTAATTATGGAGTAGTTCTAAGGAAAATATTAAGTATTATCCGCCCGTTTTTGAACTGATTATGGAGTAGTTTTTAGGAAAATGTCAAGTATTATCCGCCCGTTTTTGAACTAATTATGGAGTAGTTTTTAGGAAAATGTCAAGTATTATCCGCCCGTTTCTGAACTAATGATGGAGTAGTTTTTATGAAAAGTATTATCCACGCGTTTTAATGGAATTATCCAGTAAGTCCACGTCTAGCCCACATCCAACTCCACCTGCCCTAGTTCCACTTACCTAGCCTTTTTTAGATACAATACTATTGAAGATCGGAAAACCCCTTAGATCATGACAGAAGGTCAGTTTCCTCAACATGAAAAGCATGCATCTGAGCAGGGAGGGTTGGCCGCCGTAATCTCCGCAAAATGGTTTCCAAGCCTCATGATTTACAAAATTACCTTGTATGCCTACCAAATATCTCCAGATAATTTCGAAAGAAACCAGAGAACTTATCAGTAACAATAAATGTTTTCTTAGGCTCATATATTTCATGTTAATCAGATTAACGTGTTGTTAACGAACGGATTATGTTAATTAAATTAATGTGTTGTTAACGAACGGATTATGTTAATTAAATTAACGTATTGGTAACGAACGAAGTATATTAATTAAATTAACGTGTTGCTAACGAACGGATTATGTTAATTAGATTAATGTGTTGTTAACGAATGGATTATGTTAACTAAACTAACGTGTTGTTAACGAACGGATTATGTTAATTAAATTAACGTGTTGTTAACGAACGGATTATGTTAATTAGATTAATGTGTTGTTAACGAATGGATTATGTTAACTAAACTAACGTGTTGTTAACAAACGGATTATGTAAATTAAATTAATGTGTTGTTAACAAACGGATTATGTAAATTAAATTAACGTGTTGTTAACAAACGGATTATGTTAATTAAACTAACGTGTTGTTAACGAATGGATTAAATGGCTGTTTAGAAACTGAATGTTTGAAATAAGGCTAAACAGATTTCTACAGACGTCTTATGCTTTGGGTAACCGGGTATGCTAGACATCGTACAGTCTTGTGGAGTTTAAAAAAAACTTTTTTTAAAACATTAAAAAAAATTAGTTTTCGTAAAGGGGGGATACTGTCCCCTGAAATACGACTCTATTCAAATGAGAACATATAATAATAATGTTTATAATTTACTTCAGCCTCGATGTTATATCGCTTTTCAACTTTAGACTTTAACTGATTCCTTTCAAGGTAAAAACAGAATAGAAATAATTTATGAATGAACATAATTTGGCGAACAAGTGGAGAATTCTTTTGTTTAAAAAGTAAGCATGTTTTTTCTTCATATTTTCAAGCTAAATAGGCCTTTTATAATAAAGGAATGTTAAAACAGAAGTTTTTAATAAAATCATAAGTAAATCATGAATATATTTCTATCCTTATCAAAAGTTTCTATAAACCTTCTTCTAAACTATACAAACCATAATTACAGGTAGAAAAAAAGCCAGGTACTTAGTTTTGTAGATTTAAACCGACAGAGAAACTATTTTAGGGTACACTTTCTTTATTCTGGAACCTCCCGGGGGGGGGGGGGCAACTTCTTTGTTTTTTCTTCATAACTAAAAACTATATGCACTAAAGGTAGAAGTCTTAAACATACAAAAATGAATCTGAAACCAGTATCCAATATTACCCCCGCCATTGACATCAAAAAACAGGATATGGTTAAAGTTATCAAACTACAAAATATTCTACTCTGGCTTTTTTAATCAAACGCCCCTTTAGTCGACTTTGAAAGAAGCTTTTGTTTTACATATGGTGTACTTAATATATATAATGAAATGCATTTTAATATGTCTTTTATTCTTCCTTAGTCCCGAAATTCGACATTTTAATTAAGGTTTTTAACTAAGAACCTCAAAATGAAAATATGCATTTAAAAATGTATTTAAAGTGACTAATAATTAAAAACTAAACGTATATTTTTATGTATGATTAGTCAATATATAAACGATAGACAATACTCTTTAAACATTTTAAGCTTTTATATCAAAACATAAAAAGGATTTTTAAATTGTCTTAAAAATTGTACAATCCAAATTTTATCAATTTGGACAAATAAAATGTTTTGAAGTGTAAATTTGGATGATTTGCGTAACCTATAGCATAACCCAACCCTTGGAAATATCTTAAATACAATTCAACTGTTGGAAAACATCAAAATGATCCTTTTTGAAAATGTTAAAGCATCAAAACTGTCACTGATACAGGTGCAAGACTAAATATGTAAAATTTCCGTTTTTCCCCGATAAAATGATTCTTTTATTTTGGAATAAAAAACCCTTTGCTATATCTTTAACATATTTTCTACTGAATAACGGGTTGGAAGTATAGGGGGGTAATTGATGTCGGATACATATTCTAAGTAATAGCTCTAAGTCACAATTACATCAACGTCATACTTTTGAGACCAAATTATGTCTACGACACTATCTGAGTCACAAAACTAGGTCACAATTTTAAGAAAAATTCTTAATTTGGAGACATACTTATGTCTAAGACACATTCTAAGTCACAATTAAGACAAAACTATACTTTTGAGACAAAATCATGTCTGAGAAGCTTTCTAAGTCACAACTTTGTCAAAGACTTATTCCAATGCACGACTATGATTAAGACTCATTCTAAGTCACCATTTAAAGACAAACTCAGAAGACATAATTATGTCTAAGACTCTTTTCTAAGTCACACTTTAAGACACATTCTAAGTTTCAATTCTAACTCAAACCCATGTCTAAATCATGGTAAGACATATTCCAAATCACAGTTCAAAGTCACATTTACATCAAAGTCATCAAAGTCATATTTTTGAAACCAAATTATGTCTAAGACATTATCTAAGTCACAGTTCTAAGTCACAACTTTATCAAGACTCATTCTAAGTCAAAATTCTAAGTCACAATTCTAAGAAAAATTCTTACTTTGGTTACATGCATCCCTAAAACACTTTCTAAGTTAAAATTATTTCTAAGCCACAAATATGCATTAGACACATTCTAAAACACTTTCTAAGTAACAAATATGTCTTGGACACATTGTAAGACTCAATACTAATTGAAAACTATGTCTAAGTCATGTTTTTTAGGCTTCATTGTGATTTTTTAAGACCCATTCTAAGTCACAATTCTAAGTCTTAATAAGTTCTGAAACACCGTTTCAGTCACACTTATGTCTAATTCACAGTTGTGATTATATTATATTTAAGTCACAGTTTTATTTACAATAATTTCAAATTCTTACTTTTCAGACCAATTTGTCTCAAAGACACTTTCTACGTCACAAAAACACCTTCTCAGTCCCAATCATGTCTAAGTCACATTTTTTGGGCTCAAATATGAATAATACACATTGTTTGTCACAGTTCTGAGACGCAATTACCTCACAGCCATACTTTTTAGACCCAGTAACGTCTAAGACACTTTCTAAACCATAACTCTGAGACAAAACTATACCTAAGTCATGTTTTGTAAGGCATAGCTATGTCTAACACACATTCTCAAGTAACAAGTAAAAGTCACAAATATGTCTAAGCATTTTTTTGGAGACTATGTCTAAGATACTTTCTAAGTCTCAAATTATAAGTCACAATTATTTCTGAGTCGTATTTTTCTGTTTCAATTTTATTTAAGAGTTTGACTTTGATACAATAGTGACTTTAAATATTTAAATGTTTTTTCTGCTCATATTAAGGTTTAAATTTCCCACATTTTTTTTCTAAAGTGTATTACAGCCTATAAAAAGTGACTCAGAGTCCATTAACTTCTAGTTTGAGGCCATAAACTATTAAAACTTGCCCTTTCTTAGGTTTTCTTATTTCATCTTATTTTATAATATTTGCAGTGTCCATCTGAAAAGCAATTCTTAGATCATTCAGTCATAATTTAACTAGAAAGTTAATATTTTCTCAAAAAGAGTGAGTAAGGCATCAAATTTCATTTGCTTTTTGCTTTTGATGCTTCCAAATGTTGTTTTTGATGCTTTCAAATTACACTTTTGATGCTTTACACACGGTCAAATCATCCAAAGGGTTGAAATTGAAAGACAAACCATGTAATGTAAAGTGTTTAGTGTTTACCAAATAGATTATTAAGTACAATAGGTGGCAACAGAGAAATAAACCAATTTTGCACGACGTCACAAGTGTCAAATATAACAAGGAAAACGAAATTGTCTCACATTAGTTGACATGTTTTCCAAATTAAATAAAAAAGTGTAAAAACAGAAACTAAAGAACACGTAGAATTGCAATTATTTTACTGTAAGAAAAGCACTTTATTCTAAAATTATCACTATTATTGATAATTTTGTCGGACACAAAAACTGAATTGACACTTGTGACGACAGAATACAGCTGTACTGAGAGTGTACAAATTCTACGTTGCCATCTATTGTACTATACTCTATTTGGTGTTTACTAAATGGAAAGGAATTGAATCTTTGCCACGAACTCTGATTTTCTAATCTATATCTCTGCAGAACCCAATGACGTATACCTGAGATATTTCAAACTATGATTTATGTTAAAAATATCAAAGGTTTACACATCAGATTGCAAAAATATAGAGATTAGAAAATTTGAGTTTGTGACAAAGACTCAATTCCTTTCTAAGTTAATCTCACCGCAAACTTGTCAGAAAGAGCAGGTCAAAACTTTACGACTTTGTGACCTCGTATCTCCTCTAGGTTTGATTTTACGTACAAAAGTGTGCATGGGAAAATCAATTTCAGCCTGTTTCATATTTGAAATTCAAAACAATTTTGGTTTTATCAATAGCTTTTATAAAGAAAATTTATAGTTGAAAACATTTAAGACTTGAATCAAAGGTGGAATTTACTGTAGTTAACAAAATGTTAACGCTAAATTTACGACTTTTTGTCAGTGTAAATCTAGCTGAAAGAAATTTTTGCATGATATTGTTTGTCATAAAACAATATACAACCTTATATCTATATCTTATAATAAAACAATACATTCGTATATATATACATATGTTGCCTATAGCCGGCCAAACGGCGGGACCGACTGGATTGAATTTTTTTTGTGGACACTTAGAGGTGGCCGGGGGTGTTCTCGGCTAAAAAACCTAACTTTTTTCTAAATTTTTTTCAAATTTTTTATCCACGGACAACGCCAGGCCCTTCAACTAGTATAATATAAACTCTTACTTTTAAAGTTTTAACAGAAGTTCAACTTTATGTAAGTTGGTTTTTATTAATATTAAATTGAAAACATTAACAAAATGTTATAACAATGTTGGTTAATGTACTTTATCATTGAATTCCGAGGGTTTTAAAGAAATTGGGGTTTTGCCACAAACTCAAATATTCTTATCCCAATATCTTTGCAACATGATGGTGCAAACCTTTGATATTTCAAACTTAGATTATCTTATCTATAAGGTATTAATAGTTTGAAATTTCTAAGGTCTACGACATTGGGTTACAAAGATATAGAGATTAGAAAATTTTTCATGAGTTTTACATTTTTCTCTGAGAGTAAAATATTAATTTTAGTCTAAATTAAAACCAGAGTCCAAGGGCATGCTTGAATTCGATCTTTGCTTACTAAACGAAGAACTATGATCGTGCGTTTCTGGAACTGAATAAAGTTTTAGCTCACACATACTCTGATCTTGATTATATTCATGCCAGTGGGTTCTTGACTGCTCGTAAGGATTAGTATAGGTCGAGACAGGTATTGTAAAGGTTGGGTTCGAACTGGATAAGATGGAGAACTGCTGTTGGGTCGGGTTTATGAAGTCCAGGGGGGTTGGACTGATTAGGTAGGACTGCTGAGGACTAGAGAAGCTTGATAGATGGGTAGAAGTAGAGTCCTGTGTACTAGTAGAGTAGGTTGGATTAGATATAATAACTGAATAAGGTCCAGTTAAACCTAAAATAAAAAGATTTGTATATTTTAGGGTATACAGTAAAAATTATTCGTATCACCGAATTTTAATTTAAAACACTAAAAAAAGGTTTGAACCTAATTTTAGCATCAAGAAAAAGAGACAAGCATATTTTTAAACATTTAAAAAAAAAAATTGTTTGAAATTTTTTAAAAATATTTTCCATAAGAAAACTATGATGGCAAATCTAATGTTGAATTAAATGATTTTCATAACATACATATAATGCACATTTATACACTGGAATTAAAATAAAAAACTCTCCTGCTTGATATTTTAATTGATGACAAATTATTAAAGATGAATAAGTTTATTTTAAATTCTAAATTTTTTTCAGAGTTGAAAATTGTAAAATAGTATTATATTTTATTACTGTTTTCCGTATCGGTGATGGGACTTTCTTTTTCCAAATTTCTCTTTTTCTGTCTCTGCCTAAAATATTACATTTAAGCATTTCTTTAAAGGATAAATTATGTTTTTAAAACCTGCAGTTTAGATTTTGATTTAGCACTCAAGAAAGTAAGGTTTTTTTGAAAATTATAACAAAAATTGATAAATAAAGTTTCTAAGTTGTTATATTTGAAACATCCAAATATGAAATTGTGAGGGTATTAAAAAAGTTATGTGTTTATTATTCAAATCTAAAATTTATTGGTTCTGGATTGTAAATATTGTTCGACGATGAACTCACAGCTGATAGAAATGTAGAGTTTTATACTAATATATATAAAAAAGTAGCATAATAATGAAAATGTAGAGTTTATACTAATATATATAAGAAAGTAGCATAATAATGAAAATGTAGAGTATTATACTAATAAATAAAAAAGTAGCATAATAATGAAATGTAGAGTTTATACTAATATATAAAAAAGTAGCATAATAATGAAAATGTGGATTTTATACTAATATATAGAAAAGTAGCATAATAATGAAAATGTAGAGTTTATACAAATATATAGAAAAGTAGCATAATAATGAAAATGTAGATTTTATACTAATATATAAAAAAGTAGCATAATAATGAAAATGTAGAGTTTATACTAATAAATAAAAAAGTAGCATAATAATGAAAATGTAGTGTTTTATACTAATATATAAAAAAGTAGCATAATAATGAAAATGTAGAGTTTATACTAATATATAAAAAAGTAGCATAATAATGAAAATGTAGAGTTTACACTAATATATAAAAAAGTAGCATAATAATGAAAATGTACCGTATTTTTTCTTTTCTCAGGTGTATGGGACGATCCTCTCCATGCAACTTTCTAAAACAAAATATCTTGCTTTTATTGCTGATAAATTTTATAGTGTGGCATGTACGTCAAATTCACTGTATCCATGTTTTGCTGTTTTAAAAGTTGATAATTTAAGATTGTGGTTCACAAAAAAACGTGGCTTACGGATTTCTGCTTCAAAAAATGGTGGAGAATATAAAAAATAATGCAATTAATAAATAAAGAATAAAATTAATTTTTGGTTAGTTGGTGATTATATTTGGTTAGTTGGTGATTATATTTGGTTAGTTGGTGATTATATTTGGTTAGTTGGTGATTATATTTGGTTAGTTGGTGATTATATTTGGTTAGTTGGTGATTATATTTGGTTAGTTGGTGATTATATTTGGTTAGTTGGTGATTATATTTGGTTAGTTGGTGATTATATTTGGTTAGTTGGTGATTATATTTGGTTAGTTGGTGATTATATTTGGTTAGTTGGTGATTATATTTGGTTAGTTGGTGATTATATTTGGTTAGTTGGTGATTATATTTGGCAACTGTTGAATCATTGTGAATTTGACAGAAGAAGAACGTCAACTTTATGTGACTTTGTGACTTTATGACCTCTTAGCTCCTGCTCTTTAGCATGAGAAGAGCAACTTTATGTGACTTTGTGACTTTATGAACTCTTAGCTCCTGCTCTTTAGCATGAGAAGAGCAACTTTATGTGACTTTGTGACTTTATGAACTCTTAGCTCCTGCTCTTTAGCATGAGAAGAGCAACTTTATGTGACTTTGTGACTTTATGAACTCTTAGCTCCTGCTCTTTAGCATGAGAAGAGCAACTTTATGTGACTTTGTGACTTTATGAACTCTTAGCTCCTGCTCTTTAGCATGAGAAGAGCAACTTTATGTGACTTTGTGACTTTATGAACTCTTAGCTCCTGCTCTTTAGCATGAGAAGAGCAACTTTATGTGACTTTGTGACTTTATGAACTCTTAGCTCCTGCTCTTTAGCATGAGAAGAGCAACTTTATGTGACTTTGTGACTTTATGAACTCTTAGCTCCTGCTCTTTAGCATGAGAAGAGCAACTTTATTTCTTCCATATGCTCTTCAATAAGGTAGGAGTTATGATTAAAAACGTCGAGTATTTCAATTTCACGTTCAGTTCACTTTAATTTGACATGGCATGTTAACTATGAATAGGGTTGTTAATCGTTTCCTTTTTCTAAAAATGATTGCATCGTTTTTATTAAAAACGATGGGTCACAACGAATGAACCACATCTTGAAATTTAAAAAAAAACTAAAACAAAACAACGATACGATTGTTTTTATAACGATAGTTTTCTAACGATGAATCTGAAATTTATGACAATTAATTCAATTTTTTTTCAGGAAGATAAATTTATGATTGTTAACGATCGTCAAAAATAAAAAACCATCTACCTTCGTTAACGAAAGGACGAAATAAAACTAAAAAGCGACTTCTTCATTTGTTAATAAAAAAAACAACAATTTTTTTCAAAACCGACCATTTCGTTTTTCATTTTTTCTTCGTCGTTTTTAAAAACGAAATGATCGTTTTTTAAAAAAGTGAAGACGATCCTTACCTATGAAGCCCACAGGGATTACAGAGTGGATTTCCTTCTGAATCTCTTCTCCATAGTGTTGTACTGTACGTTGAACAGTTTAAACATCTAGTATCAGGTCCTACTCGTGTATACTTTCTCTAAAAACATGCCGTTGTGAAAATTGCGAAATTTTCACGAAATGATTTCGCCTGAAACCCCAGTCATGTCAGGTTTTACAAATTATGTGGGCCTGATTGGCTAAGACAAACTAACAATAGATCAAACAATGTAAATATGATTGAATAAGTTACAATACAATACAATACAATACAATGCAATACAATACAATACAATACAATACAATACAATACAATACAATACAATACAATACAATACAATACAATACAATATAATACAATACAATACAATACAATACAATACAATACAATACAATACAATACAATTGAATAAGTAAATTACCACTTTTCTCGCAACTCCATCTTGTTGTGTCCAAACCTTCCTAGATACTTTCTTCTCATCATCCGTCCTTCGTCCTGTAATAATATCGATGTTAGGTAATTTCCCAAAATTAAATTTTAATTTAAACATAAAAATTAAAGTATCGATATATGTTTAACCAATCCGTTAATTTTGAAATTGTAAAAACTTTTTCTAGTTTTTGCGAGGAACAGATTAGACAGAAATGATAAGAGTACGATCTTATAATACTTTGTAGTGTACTTAGGAGGAGCAAGGAAACAGTACCCCCCCCCCCCTCCTTCTCCACAACCCTAATGGTCCACCCCATAACACTTTTAGAAAGGAGTTGAACACTACATCCTGTATATGCCCCTGACCTAACACCAAAACTTCCCTAAGATTCTATCTGTGTAATCTGTGGTTCGAAATTAATATTGTTTATAAGATAATTGAACAAGAAAGTCCCTCACCCTCCCCCTCAAATGCGCCTTTTAAATGTTAAATTGAGTTAAACATAAACAAAATGTGTTAAAATGGTTAAAAACAGATTTAAAGAATCTCTTATCAAGAAAGATTAATTTCATGTTTGATTATATATTACAGCTGATTATTTATATTATTACCCATGTTTAGCCATATGCATGTGTCATGTGTCAGGAAATGTTTAAATAATTTTTTATGCATAGGGTCACCGACGAAAACTGCATAAATGTCGTCTTCATAATCCAAAGCGTTAAAATAAGATACCTGGAGATTTTTTTGTTCTGCTTTGCATAGTTTCCTGTTATCATAACATTCAGAGGTCGAATTTTAAGAATTTGAGCCCTGGCATACATTTAAACCGCGGCTCAAATATGGTTGGTTCTACTTAAAATTGTATTAAATTTTTCAAGGATTAAGCCGGCGCTCAATCGAAACCGGTTTTTGGGAAATTTGAGACGCGGCTTAAATTTATTAAATTCGGGCACAGGAATCTTCAGCATTTACTGTCAAAAAATTGGAAATAATCTTTGAAAAATGATTTTTACAAGGACTATTACAATGATTGTAAGCATAATTTCATTTACCCGTCATGAAAGATGGCAAAATGGAAGATATTGTCGTTTTTATAGGTTTAAAAGTGATTAATTCCGATAATTCATGTATTTTTTCCAGCAATTGAAATACGCAAGTCGTCACTTATGTAGAGATACCACAATTGAAAATAATTAGTTTTTAAATTTATAAACATTACTGACTAATTCATATCTTGATCAGACAAATTGTTGTGAATCGGGCATTACCTTTTTTACGTTGAGAGTAAATTGAAATTATGTTTACAGATTCTTAAAACATTTTCTAAATAAGTGCATCAAAACAATTTTACGATAGCAAAAGATGTGAAACGGAGTAAATCTAGAACATTTCCAGAATTGTGACTAACAAGCTTTGTTCTAGTGAGTTCCCCAATACCAAATTTGAGGCAAATAGGTGAAGGGGTTCATGAGTTATATTTGATTAACAAACAAAACAGAGAATGCTACTTTATGGATACATGGATACAAAATATTTAAATATGTGAATGATCGTTCCTTGCACATGAACAGTGGGCGATCCTGGCTGTGAAGTTTCTTATATAATGCACAGGCGTTGCAGAGAGGAGCTCCACCCTCGCCACGCCTCCAGAGAGAGGTCCTAAACAGGGTGGATTTGATCAGGGTGTTTAGAATTGATTAAAGCGATTAAAGCAATTGATCAAAAGATTGAAATGATAAATGGGGCAGAAATTTATCAAAGCGGTGAATTTGATCCATGATGCAGAATTGATCAAGGAGAAAAAATTAATCAAGGGGAAAGAATTGATCAAGAAGAAAGTATTGATTGAGGCGGAACTTATCATTGCTGTGAAAAAGATCAATGACACGTAATTGATCAATGAGGCGATATTTATTAATAAGGTAGAAATTATCAATGAGTCGGATTTACTTAATGAAGCTGCATTAATTAATGAGGCGGAAATTATCAATGAGGCGGAAATAATCAATGAGGCAGAATTAATAAATGAGGCGGAATTAATCAATGAGGCTGAAATTATCAATGAGGCGGAGTCCTAATAAATGAGGCGGAATTAATCAATGAGGCGGAATCAATCAATGAGGCGGAATTAATCAATGAGCCGTAATCGATCAATCAGTTGGAATTTTGTAAGTGGTGAAAATGATAAAAACAATTGAACAGATAAAAGGGAACGCTTTTGTCAAAGCGCTAGAATTTAACTGAGGCGATTTGTTCAAAGGGGCGGAGTTTTCTAATGAAGCGGAATTATTCAACGTTCTTAATACATCATACAAAAAATGACAAAAAGTTGCTTAAGAGATCAATTTTGAAGAACTCAGAAGTTTTGAAATTGAGCTATATCGCTGAACCACCTACTGCCGGTTCAAATTTGAACCACCGATTCAAAGTTAAAAAGAGTAGGGAAGAATTTGAATTGGTGATTCAAATTAGAACCGGCGGTAGTAGGTTCAAATTCATTAATTTAGATTATTAATAAATTATCAGCGGGGAAAGGCAAATAATAGGGGGACCGAGCGCTGCTGCTAGAAAAGGTTAGGGGGAATTATCAATAGCTGCAAAGAATTAATAAAGAATTGGATCTTTGCCACAAACTTAAGTCTTAATTTTGTGACCTACTGGTGTACACTTTTTATATTTGAAACTAAAATCATTCGATTTAACGAAGGTCATAGTTTGATATATTTTAGGTCCAAGGCATTGCGTTAGAAAATCAGAGTTTGTTGCAAGGAAACAAATATAAATAAATAAAATCACGCAACCTCTTGAGTAACATATGACGCGAAGAATTAACAGTTTTATAAATTGATCTAGATTACAAAATAGATGGATAGAATTTATTTTATGTCAAAGCTGTCTTGTGTTAAACACTAAGCCGGGTATTGATTCTGTTTGCGGATGACAATTTAAAGAAGATTTAAAGGACAAGGAGGGCAGTGTAATTTTAAGTAACCCAGCTCTATCTATGTATATATAGTTTCAGTAGAAGTAAATATTTTCTTTTACTGTTATAGCGCCGATATATAATGCAATTTCTATTGGTTCAGAATTGTATTGAGAAACCGAGTATTTTGGGACGATTGTCATTTCTAAAGAAAATTTTAAGTTACAAACAAACGGCTCAGTAACATTTCGTCTAGTACACTTTCGTCTAAGTTCACTTTTTTCTAGTTCATTTTCGTCTAGTTCTTTTTTAGTAACATTTGGTCTAATTAACATTTGGTCTAAGTAACATTTGGTCAAAGTAACATTTCGTCTAAGTAACATTTCGTCTAAGTAACATTTGGTCTAAGTAATTTGGTCTGAAAAAAATGTTAAGTGATTTTATTTTAACAGTGCAAAAAAGGAGAAAACCTGTGAAACAAAATCAAGAAATCCGCAATTCGTATAGGAGAAATTCTCCACTCTTCTAAAACACGTTGAACTGAGAGGAACTCAATGGCGGAATTAATTATGATACTCAACCAGTACTTTTGTATATAAGTACTTCAGACCAAATTCCTTACTAAAAATTACTTAAACCAAAAGTTACTTCGACAAAATGTTACTTACTCCTTTCTTAAAGTTAGTTAAACCAATTCTGTAGTTTTAGACCAATTTACTTACTGAAAGTTACTTAGACGAAATGTTACTTAGACCAAATGTTACATAGACGAAATGTTACTTAGACCAAATGTTACTTACACCAAATGTTACTTAGACGAAATGTTACTTAGACCAAATGTTACAAGACCAAATGTTATTAGACGAAAGTGTACTAGACGAAATATTATAATCCCAGTTTCAACGCGGTGCCCTGTCCAGTGTTCACAGCAGGTTGAATCTATGTGTGTCTTAAATTGCATCCAGGCTTTTTGTTACACCCCATAATTAAGATAAGTTAAATTTACCCAAGAAAAAAAGTATATAAATGTGAAAAATTAAAAATATCGGCCTTAGTCAATTATTTTACTCCAGAAGCTTAGTTTGATAAGTCAAGGTGTTGAAATGTTATCAAAAGTTGTAAAGCATTTTTCCCGGATTTTTTCTAGAATTTTATAACTGTGCATATTTTATAAAAAATTGAAATTTTCCGCAAATAGGTTCATCATCAAAGATTAATTTAGTTTTTTAACAATTAATATGATACAGAAAATTTTCTGTAAATAAATCTTTATTTCTGGGGGTGAGATTGGCGCATTTTAAGATTTTGAAATCGATTGATTTTAAAACACGATTTTTTTCCTATTTTGTTTCTTATTCCAGAGTTAGATTTACCAAATTGTGCCCTATTGTTGTTATTTCAAAAGTAATACCCACAAAGTAAGAGACTGTACAAGCGATCTAAATCACTAAAAATATAACGATTTCACCATAGTTTCAGTAGAAGTAAATATTTTCATTTACTGATAGCGCCGATTGAAGGATTCATAACTCTAATTGGATAATGAGATAGATAGAAAGATAGATGTTACAGCCATATTATTTCTATTGGTTGAGAATAGACACCAAACACATGACTGAATCCTGATTGGATCAGACGCTAATGGAATCGGCATACAGGAGTTATTTAAATGTATTATAAAGAAAGAAATAAGTTTACAGTGCAGAAAATCATGAATATAAGAAAAGGGACAGTATAAGTTCAGTTCAGCCGTGTCTGATGTTTCATCATTTGTGGGTAACCCTGTATAAAATAAAGATGAAATTGTTAAGGCTATAACCAGGGATAGTTATGGTTAAATTAAAATTAACCTGTAATGAATAATGAAAAAGATTTCTCGGAGAGGAATTAATTTTGTTTATAAAGTCAGTTAAACCGTGATTTAAAACGATCAATTTTCAGAGGGAAAAACAAGAACCATTGGATAACTGTGAATCGTGTATGAAATTTTTAAATAAATTTTTAATATTTTTAGATAATGTCGACAGCCCATTCTATAGTTTCTACCTCATAGTCCTGCAGTTCCCACAGCTAGTGTTTGGTCCAATCCTCTGATATTTTCTCTTAAACAGGTTATAAACATTAGTTTTAACTTTAGTTTTAACATTAGTTTTAACTTTAGTTTTAACGCTAGTTTTAACGTTGGTTTTAACTTTAGTTTTTACTTTAGTTTTAACTTTAGTTTTAACATTAGTTTTAACTTTAGTTTTAACTTTAGTTTTAACATTAGTTTTAACTTTAGTTTTAACGTTAGTTTTAATGTTAGTTTTAATGTAAAGTTTTTTTTTCAAATCCTAACATTATGAATTATTTTTATTTGTTAATTCCTAACTTTTAAAGCTTTAGAAATTTTCTGGTTCTAACTTCAAATCCAAGTCGACAATTCCGTTAAAATCGGATGAACTGCTTTTTAGTAATCGTATATATTGCTTAGAAAAGAATATTTACCACTTTATAATCTAAATTATTAGGATTGAGGTAGAATGCGTTCTCATCAGCATCTTGGTAATCAACTTCATACCTATTTATACACTATACACTTTAAATACTTTGATGGAATTTTTAACGGTTTTTAATTATCGGTTTTTGATGATCAAATGAATTATCAGCGGCTTTTAATTATCCTTTGAAGATAAAAGCAATTATTAAAGTCCTTTGACGATTAAAGAAACAAACCATGATTCATACTTTGGAGGAAAAAACTCCGAGGATAGCGATTCAACGATTTTTTATATCTAAACTTATTTTTATTACAGGGTTAGGTATTCTTTGGCCAGGTACATGACGACCTGAAACTAAATGAACCTAGCAATCTAAAGGAGATGAGCTTGCTTGTATACTTCCTAAACTATGCAAATGAGATATCAAAAAAACTCAAGAAAATGCAAGAAAAAATGTTGAAATAATTTGAACAGTGTATACTCATCGTCTCTGAAGTTTCATTTTTTGGGGGGTAACCCTGGACAATGATTTTTGGTTAATATATTGAATACTTTTTGAAAATATGTGTAGATATTTATGTGTGCTTTATTTTAATTTTTAACTTCATAAGATTTATTTTTACCTGTTATCCCACATTTTGTTCATTTCAAATCTAATAAAAATCACAATTTAGAAATGTTTGAAAATGACCGGGGTTTCAGAAATGCGTGGACACAGTAATGGTTATACGCCGAAAAAAAAAACATTATTGTGACCCTTCCTAGTGCTATCACCGGCTTCCTCCATTTCAAGATAGCTTGCACCTGAAAAAGATGATAAAATGTATTTTTAGAAATCTAATTTGATTTGACACAGAACTTCAGATTCTTTTTTGTCTAATCCTAATATCTATACAACTTGAGATTCTCTGCCTCTTCAGTAAAAGTAATTTCATCCTATATGAAGCATAAAGTCTGGCTGCGTTAACCTTGTTGCACCAGCTAGTCCTGTCCATAGAGCAAGGTACAGTACAAACTGGGACCGGAAAGGTTGACCCGGCTCGGAATTTCAAAAGTACTACGACTACCAGTGGATTGGAACTTTTGTATCGAGTATTCTCAATCTTGTACGTTTGATCTCGATATTCAATTTAAATTTTTAACTTTGAGGATCAATGCTTTAAGCCTTCATTTTAGACCTCTTTTCTGGGTATGACCACCATGGCATATTGAAAAAGAATTAATTTTATCCGTAAGTCTATCTCAGATCCCAAGATTCACAATACAAGTTCACAACACATCAGTTCTGACTTGTGATGTGGAGGCATTTTAAATTACAAACGTTATATTTCAATAGATCAAGTAGTAGTAATATAAAATATCAAAGGTTTTAACTATCAGAGGCTGAATTTAAAGAATTTGAGCGGCAGCTTAAATTTAAGCCGCGGCTCATATATGGCTGGTTCCACTTAAAATTGTATTAAATTTTTCAAGATTTTAGCCGGCGCTCAATTGAAACCGTTTTTTGGGGGATTTGCATAGATAAAGATAGATTGCGCATACGACGACATTTTTCATCTTGAAAGATATAAATGTACAGAGATGTTTAAAAGATATTCCTATTAAATATATTAACTAGGTCGGTTGTGAACATTGGCTGTTCTTATGTCATTGAGTACTTGTGGTGTTCATGTGTTCTGTAGAGAAAAATTGAAGTTAGTTTAGTCCTTCTCATGTCCTTCTTCAGTTCTCGTCAATATCATATATTGCTCAGTGAAATATTGGGTGATCTCTCGTTGTTCAAATAATTCCATTCAAACCACCCCGCTTATCATTGAAGTACACTTTTACCCCTATAAGTATGAGTTCGCAGACTGTACGATTCTTGGTGATTTTGCGTACATAAGCTATCTATGTTTATTTATTTATCTATGGGGATTTGAGACGCGGCTTAAATTCATTAAATTCGGACACAGGTTGCAAAGATATATTTTTAGAAATAAAAACAAAGATATCTGAAAAATGATCTTCACACATCGAGTTTTTAAAAACTTACACTTTACATACCTGGGACTGATGATATATGTTTTCTATCTTTAATTTCAGATTCCAGCAGAGCCATTCTCACAAGCTCGTTTTCTAACCCCTAAATAAAGAAACTGCACAATATTTGAGAAAATTTGAAAAGGCCATCTCGGCCTTTTTCTAAGCAAGCTGGCTGTGACGTTAATTCTATCCCAACATAACCAACTAAATATAAATTTGCCATTTCTCTTTTATACTCTTTGTCAACGAATACATTTTAAATGAAAAATTTAAAAAGATAATTCTTTTGATTGTTGAATTCTAAACCAACACGCGATAAAATACATTCGAAGAAACTGAACATTGCTTAGTCCAGACTCCAGAGTGATATAATAATAATGTTGATTGATAAACCTAATATCACGGACCCTAAACATGCACACGGAAAGTTAATGTTCTTTGTACATTGCTCAGCTACACCTAGCTAGCGACGAAAATGTCTGAAAGTAGCAGCATGCATTTTATAATTTCTTCAAGAAAATGTTTTTTATTAACCCTATGAAGGCAAGGGGGGGGGTCTCTGTGCACAGTCTTTGAGTTATGGTACAGGGTTGAAATGCATGTTTATATCCCATCTTTTCAAGGCCAGCTCATTAACAAAAAAAAATTAATGTATTGGGTGCTAGGAAGGGTTGAAAAAATATCAAAAAAGGGTTGGGAAACTGTAAAAAATCAAATATTTTGTTTTAGGCAAAAAATATCAATAAGTGACACATATATATGTTTGTTTCTTCATTCATTTTTTAAGAGCTTTTGAAAAAGGTAGTCTTTAGATCTGTAGCTAAGTTATAGCTTAGTATGGGCTATTTTAACACGGACCGGACCGTTTACCGGCCTGTGGCTGTACCTTTACCTATGAATTAAAAAAAAATACAAAAAATCCTTTAAATTACTTTTCCTTAAAAGTGAAAACAATTTACGTTAATAATTTCAAAAATGAGAGTGCTAGGGCAAAAAACTATGGGGGGGGGGGGGTTCAAACGCCTCCCCCCCAGCCTGCTTAGGGTTAGACATTTCAAATTAGTTGAAATCTTTCAAAATTCTGATACCAAATAATTATAATTGTAATTGTAATTGTAATTGTAATTGTAATTATTAAAATGTATGTTTTTGGGACACTCCACTAACCTTGCTTTCTTCAGATAAATACTCTGTTTCTTCTTGGTATCTATCTCCACCAAACTTCAAAATGAAACCATGAAAAGAATTTCAAAATTGTTAAATTATGAAAACTAACCTTAAAATCCCAAAAAGAGTCTTGATATCTTTTAGAGTTGACGTCTAGAGTCCAATTTACTTCTTCGTTTACTCCTTCATCAAATTCGATTATTATTGTACAGAAGAAAAAAAATATGAATGTCTTGAAAAAACTCCTCTTTATCGCTGACCCCCCCACTCCTCAGATCTTCATTTTCAATTTTAACATTGGCACACATTCATTAAGCTGTAAGAATATTGTCGAATACGTTATTGGTTTTGTAACTTAAGAAAACTCCGCGAATTTGTTTTGAGATATATTTATATTCAATCAGAGCTGGGAACTTTAAAATGATGGATATCAGGATTAATGCTTAATCCTCTGTTTTTCCTAATCTCGAGACTAACATAATCTCGAGATTATGTTACTCTTGACATTAAATATTCAGATTTTCAAATTGGATTTTAAGAATGCCAGATTGGTTCGTTTTCTTGACTAAAAGGGCCCTCACTTAATTTCTCACCCATTTATTTATTAATACATTAGTTAAAACAGTGATGGAATTTAAAGAATTTAAGCCGCGGTTTAAATCCGCCAAAACCCGGTTTAAATTTAGCGCCGGTTTAAATCTTGAAACATTTGATACAATTTTAAGTGGAACCAACAATATCTAAACCGCGGCTTAAATTTAAACCGCCGCTCAAATTCTTTAAATTCGGCCACTGGTTAAAAAAGAATCTCAAACCCGCTATTAAATATTTTTCTTCACCGATTTATTTACAAATTCTTTATTTGTTTGAAATTGCGGATTTCTCTCATGGGATAGAATTTATTTTCAAGGCTGTCATTGGTCAATACAATTTACGAACTATATTCCTGCACTGTCAACGGGGAAAAAATAAACGGATATCCAAAGAGAGAGAAAAAGCGTGGATTAAGGACTAAAATTAAAAGTTTCCACAGTGGATATTCGGATTAAGCAGTTGGGATTAAAGGTTATCCATTCTAAAGTTCCCAGCTCTGGATGATGAAATTGCGATAACAATAAGGTTACAAGAACTTTTTCTTGAAACGTGGGGATCTTTATATAAGCCTATATATGCCATAGAGATTAGTAACGTTTGAAATTGGCCTTCTAAAATTTAAAAGCAGTTTATTGAGGACGCTCTAAATGTGACAAAATACAACAAAACAGACATACACAATACAGCATGTATGTTCAGTGGTAAAATACAATGAGGACAACTTTCGATTTCAAATTTGGATTTAAATCAATCTGTTAAATAGCATGGGTACACATAAACATGGAAGTCAAGAGAAGCAATAATTTTAAAAATTTTCACTTTGATTACTTGGAAACTTGTAATTCGAAAAAAGTTTGTTAAAAACAAAACTTAAAAATGAAAAGTCGTCTTTATTTTATTGATATAAAACGACTGTTTTATAGGATAAAATCAAGGATTTTTACCTTCACAGCTGGTTTGAGGAGACAGCTGCGAAATACCGTCTCTACGGAAAATGAATATTAGTATAAGGACGTGGAGGAAGTACAGAGACTGTTAAGACGACCTCAAACTGTGATATTATAACAAGGTTTATTGGAGATTTTTGTAAATGGAAACATTAAGGATTTTGCAAACGAAAAAAATACAGCTGCTGGGAAAAATTAACATTGGGAAACAGAGAGTATAAATTCAGTACAGTCGTCTCTGAAGCTCATCCGTTTAACCCTGTTGCATTTTTTCTTTAGATGTAAATATTTATTTAAATCAGTTTATTACAGAAGTTTGTTATGTATATAAATAAAAAAGGTAAACATATCATTCTATTCTGTGTTTGATAGGTCGAATATAGTGATATAATTTATCTATACAATGTGTAATTATACATGTAGTTTTATAGTAAAAACAATAAAAATAATAGTAATGAATATAATACTTATAATAAAAATAATAATAATAATGATAATAATAATAACTATAAAATCATAGTAATGATAAAAATGATAATAATAACAATAATAATTATGAAATTATAGTAATGATAATAATGATAATAATTATAACGACAATTAAAAATCCATGACTTAAAAACCGCTTGAAAAATAAATAACAATGAACATGTGAGCAAATATTGAGAAGAAAAATGATAATTCAAATATTTTGCACTTTAATTAGATTATTACCTGGAACTGTTGAAACCAACATCAAAATAGTTTTGAAGACTTGATCGGTTCTCTCCCTCTATACGGATAAATGTTTAAAACCTCTAAAATTTTGTGGTGCTCAAGCAGTATTTGAAAATTTTCAAATTTAAAAAGAAAAACGTGAATATATCCCTTTTATTTGAAAAATATTTATGTAGGTTCTTGTCATTTGTCAATAAGGAAAGTAACTTTTTCAAATTGCTTCCATATGTTCGCAATTATATCGTAATTCCACGCAGGTAACTGTGCTAGTGAAAGCAATTGCAATCCGTACAGGAAATCATACAGAAAAACTTCTTTAAATGTTATTTTTGTTTTAAAAATAATTGAATTGTGATAAAACTAGAAATTTACCTCCGTCCCATGACGTATGGGAATAAAATAATTCTAAATCTCTGGTATTTTCTTCTAAACTTCTAGTTCTGTACACCTCGACACCTCTTATATCTGAGGAGTCGAAAACCTAGAGCAAAATGTTTTTAAATTTTGCGGACATCATCTCCTTGGAAAATGGAAAAGTAAGGATATTAGAGATAAATGGGGTCTTTAAATTACATGAGGAAAGAAGGGTTCTGAAATTACATGAGAGAGGGATGTTCCTCAAGCTTCATGAAGGGGTCCTTAAAAGCATAAGGGAGCTGGGGTCCTAAAACTACATGAGGAGAAAGAACCAGAATTTATATAAGGGAGGGGTGGTCCTTATTGCTGCGTGAGAAAACACCTTAAAAGCATAAGGAAGCTGGGGTCCTAAAACTACACGAGGAGAAAGAACCAGAATGTTTATAAAGGGAGCTGTGGTGGTCCTTATTGCTGCGTGAGAAAACACCTTAAAAGCATAAGGGAGCTGGGGTCCTAAAACTACACGAGGAGAAAGAACCCGAATTTATATAAGGGAGCTGCTACATGAGGAGAAAGAACCAGAATGTATATAAGGGAGCTGCTACATGAGGAGAAAGAACCAGAATGTATATAAGGGAGCTAGGGGTGGTCCTTATTGCTGCGTGAGAAAACACCTTAAAAGCATAAGGGAGCTGGGGTCCTAAAACTACATGAGGAGAAAGAACCAGAATTTATATAAGGGAGGGGTGGTCCTTATTGCTGCGTAAGAAAACACCTTAAAAGCAGAAGGGAGCTGGGGTCCTAAAATTACATGAGGAGAAAGAACCAGAATTTATATAAGGGAGCTGCTACATGAGGAGATAGAACCAGAATGTATATAAGGGAGCTAGGGGTGGTCCTTATTGCTGCGTGAGAAAACACCTTAAAAGCATAAGGAAGCTGGGGTCCTAAAACTACACGAGGAGAAAGAACCAGAATGTATATAAAGGGAGCTGTGGTGGTCCTTATTGCTGCGTGAGAAAACACCTTAAAAGCATAAGGGAGCTGGGGTCCTAAAACTACACGAGGAGAAAGAACCAGAATTTATATAAGGGAGCTGCTACATGAGGAGAAAGAACCAGAATGTATATAAGGGAGCTAGGGGTGGTCCTTATTGCTGCGTGAGAAAACACCTTAAAAGCATAAGGGAGCTGGGGTCCTAAAACTACACGAGGAGAAAGAACCAGAATTTATATAAGGGAGCTGCTACATGAGGAGAAAGAACCAGAATGTATATAAGGGAGCTAGGGGTGGTCCTTATTGCTGCGTGAGAAAACACCTTAAAAGCATAAGGAAGCTGGGGTCCTAAAACTACACGAGGAGAAAGAACCAGAATGTATATAAAGGGAGCTGTGGTGGTCCTTATTGCTGCGTGAGAAAACACCTTAAAAGCATAAGGGAGCTGGGGTCCTAAAACTACATGAGGAGAAAGAACCAGAATTTATATAAGGGAGGGGTGGTCCTTATTGCTGCGTGAGAAAACACCTTAAAAGCAGAAGGGAGCTGGGGTCCTAAAATTACATGAGGAGAAAGAGCCAGAATTTATATAAGGGAGCTGCTACATGAGGAGAAAGAACCAGAATGTATATAAGGGAGCTAGTGGTGGTCCTTATTGCTGCGTGAGAAAACACCTTAAATACACAAGGGAGGGTGTTTCTTTTAGATACAGGGTTACCAACACTAGATTACACTTCAGAGACGACTGTACGGAATTCATTCAGTTTTTTTATTCATGTTTCCCAGCAGCTGTAAACTTCATTCATGGTTCCCAGCAGCTGTGAACTGCATTCATGGTTCCCAGCAGCTGTGAACTTCATTCATGGTTCCCAGCAGCTGGGAATTTTCATTCCAAATCTGTTAAAAACTTTATTTAAGGAAGAAACCTAAAAGTCGATTTATTAAAATGTTTTATTTAATTCGTCATAAGTCTCATCTTGTGGGTAACCATGCAGATGAGGGTTGGAGTGTTCTATATTTACATGGTGAGTAACCGGGGTTACCTAAATTTCATTGTATGAATAATTACCCGAATATCACCAAAATATTTGTCTTTTGTCTGAAATCCATTTTCCATCTCCTCCTCATCAAACAGATTCTCATCGGGGGCCTAAAGTTTAATCCATATCTATATATATATATATATAATTTGTTTAGGTGTTTAGTGTTTGTCGATTTGTTCGTATCCGATAAACGTCAAAACGGCTGATCCGATCGGGCCCATGACTACAGGGAGGTTCAGAATTTCACAAATTTGTCAACTGAGAGGTTTGTACATTATAAGGTTAACCGTACCAATAGCTTCCAGCTATTAGGGGGGGGGGGGTCGGTTTAAGCAGCTGGAAAGAATAAGACTGTAGATATAAATAGCATGACCTCACATGACCCCTGTTGGTATAAATAGCATGACCTCACATGACCCCTGTTGGTATAAAGTCGGTCGAAATTTAAAGAAAATTACTCTTTCTTAAGATTTAAAAAAAAATTTCGAAATCCCACAGTATGTAATGAAAACATGTCATTCTACAAAATAAAATTACTTAATGATAATTTCGAATCAATTTTATATTTAAATGTCTTCCATATATTCTGACAAAAATAGAATAATTTAGCCTTAATTGGTTTTAAAATTAACTTTTCACAAGATTTTTGCCAAAAATATGAGTTTTCTTTGAAAAAAAAATATAACAAATACATACGTACCTCCCTTTCTAAACTCCAAGAAGACATGTCAGAACTAAAAAGAAATTTATGATATAATTATATTTTAATTATCACTTTTAGAATTCGTACTTTTTTATGAGGCTCCTTAGATGTATTTGTAAATCCATCTTATCTATTAATTTGGCTTGGGTGTCTGTGTGTCTGTTTGTTTGTTTGTATCCAATAAACGTCAAAACGGCTTAACCGATCGGGCCCAAATTTTTTGTGGGACATCATGTGACCACAGGAAAGGTTTATGAATGATAAAAATGTTTAAAGAATGTGTTTTAAAGGTTTTTAATTTTGTAAAAAATTTAAATTCTTGAAAAAAAAAATTTTAAATGTGCAAAATTTTTTTCTTCTTTGTTTTTAAATGTAAACAAAAAGAACATGTTCACAATTCAAATAGAAGATGGGCGCGAAGCGCCCTAAAAGCCTAGTACTTCAAAAAAGAACTTGATATGTTTTTTTTATAATAAAAACTCTTGAATAGAACATTTCACAAGATAAGTTGATTTTCAAGCTGGCAGAACTATTCGTTATGGAATCCACTGTATCCAACATTTAGACAGAAATGTGTGTGAACCAAGGTTGTATAATAAGGTGCTTACTCTCGATGCGCTTCAATGTTCGGGAAATGTCGTTTCCTAAGCATAGATAGATAAAATCCTCATATGACGTCACTGATAATAGAGGCGAGAGTAGAGATCAGTGACGTCAAATAAGGATTTAATCTATATATGCTCAGAAGACGACATATCCCATACATTGGAGTGCATTGAGAGTAACCAACCTTATTATACAACCTTGGTGTCAACCCTCATGGCATCTCCGACAAAACTAAGTAGAATTCTAGAATAAACTGAACCAACATTTGCACGACATTTTTAATATTTTTATTATTTTTAATAAGTATTAATCACACCTTGTAGGAAGAGGGTTCCTGCAAATAACAGAGCTTCTTAAAATAGGTTTATCATATCTAAAAAATAAAAAAGTTTGAGACAATTAAAGGGACTGTAAACGTCATTTTAATAGACCCTCCATGTATAGGATTGGCATGTCCGATTCGCAACCCTTACCTTATAAACAATGCCTCAGATATTGTCATTTTTATATGTGACAAAGGATTGAATCTTTCCTTAGTTTATTTGCAGCAAAAATCCGCAAGTAACTCTGAGGAAATAATGAATTTGTTATTTATAAATGGGCTGTCACCTAAATTCTAACTCCTTCTTAGAATTCTTGCTTTGACATAATTTAGGCGTCATTTTGAGAACTTTTTTCACTTGCGAATATGGATTTTTGCAATCTTCGAGATTGCAATCCTTTAAAAAATTGTTCATTTATCCTTTTTTCGGCGATCTATAATTTTTTTGGTTTATTCAACACCATTAATAATTTTACATGTTTTATTATTTTTTGTAAATAAATTTTTTTGTAACGGGAAAATTCCGGGGAAAAATAAATAAAATTAAACAAATCCCTTTTAATTTTATTCTTATATACAGTGTGTCCGGATAAACATTAGAGTTGAGTGAGTGGCGAAATTGAAATCGTCTTAGTTAAGAACTAACGCCGTGATGCCTAAGTTCGTTGGACATATAATAAAGTAACGTCTGACAGAGTATATTGTATGTAAACGGGAAAATACTGTTTTATTATGCAAAACTAAACTGTACTAAACAGTTTGCAAACAAATCATGAACAAACAAATTCTAAACTCTAGCAAACAAAATATGCTTTCTTACAACACAGCACAACACTTTATCGAAAATCATTTACATGGACAATCTCAAAATCGAAACTGTTTATTGGAACACCCTGTATCTGCGTTTAAAGGGACTGTAACCATAATTTTGAGTAACCCTCCATACAAAGGTGGCAGCGATCGATTTATAACGGTATTCTTGACACCTAAATCTGATAACAAATGTGGAAGATAACGTCGATTTTCTCACTCCATAAGTGTTTATTTCTGGGAATTTCTCCATTGCCTCTTAAAACAAAAAATGCGCAACTCACTTTCGCAGAGAAACCGCAAATGAAAATAAACAATTTAAATGCTATCTTGTTCATATTTGATCAAAAAAGCTTTCTAGGGTTCCGTTGTAAATTGGGCATTGTTATATATATCTTTGCATGGAGGGTCACTGGAAATTACGCTTACAGTCCCATTAATATCTACATACAGTCCCATTAATATCTGCATAGAGTCCCTTTAATAACTATATACAGTCCCTTTAATACCTACATACAGTCCCTTTAATATCTACATACAGTCCCATTAATATCTGCATAGAGTCCCTTTAATAACTACATACAGTCCCTTTAATACCTACATACAGTCCCTTTAATACCTACATACAGTCCCTTAAATACCTACATACAGTCCCTTTAATACCTACATACAATCCATTTAATACCTACATACAGTCCCTTTAATACCTACATACAGTCCCTTTAATACCTACATACAGTCCCTTTCATACGCATGGAAAAAGTCTAATTTACCTTGAACTAGAAACAGTACACTCAGAGGTCTGCCCTGGCAAGAAACCACTTGAAAAATCGAAGTTCATGCAAACAGTTCTTGAATTTATGCAATCCATGTTATCGGCTTGGATTGGAGAATTGTGACTGAACTGGGGTCTACATGGTGGAGAATGGCTGTTTTCGCACCCGTTAGCAATTCTAATCGCGTTTTCTAAACTAATCGTAGTGCTAGGCGCCTCATCATAGGTTACTGCCTGGCTCGGTAGAGAATACATGTCGTGGCTTGGATTAAGGTATATAGTTGGTTTTGTCGCCGCCTGGGTCAACTGGGCTCCTGGTGAGGTAAAACTAAGGCTACAGGTAGTGTAAACATTACTGGATACAGTGTCCGGATTAAACCTAGAGTAGGTGAGATCCATGATACTATGATTAGGAGAAGGATATTTTTCCTCTCCAGATATAGAGAATACTTGAGTAGCCTAAACAAATATCCTTTTTAAAGGGAGTGTTCATTAATTTTCAAAGGAGTATCCGGGATATAAATTCAATTAAGACTTGAGAGTTGAATTAGACATGATATTCTAATCAAAGTTCTTCATAGAAAATTTGATATTTCAATATTCAAAACTACAAAAAGAATTCCGTCCCTCCTCTTGCAAACGCTTTATAGACACTGACAATAATGCAGTTTGTTTCTTTTTTCCACTGAATTGATTTAAAAAACGAATTCAGACTACGAACTGCAACTGGCAACGGAATGGGCTCAACTTGTGAAGCACAGATCGTCCATACACATATCTAAAAATGTAGTGGACGTAGTATGAAGATGTTTGTAAGCAATTATCTCCTTAATAAACGTCAACCATCGCCGCGCTCCTGAATGAAATAAAATCCCTCTGAAAACTACGAGACGAAATAAACTCATTTCAATATAATCATTTTTAAAAACTTTCCAAATCAATTTTTTTTGAATTTTTATTGAATTTTTTATTTACACTGTACAGGTGTAGAGCTCTTTATATTGAAAGATAGTTACGTTATAGATTAAGTAATAAAGTAAAGAAAAAAGAAAAAAGTTGGAGCCATTTTTATGAAATGATTTTAATATATTAAAACTAAAATAAAAGGATATTTTCCTGGTTTGAGAGATGCTCAATCCCAAAGTTTGGTTCTCCACTCCAATCTCCACTGGATTTTTTAGTCAATTTTAAAATTATAAATTAGCAACAATTTTACCTTTTTAATTATTATTAGGCTTTCAGAGAGCAATTTTCTTTTTTTTAATTGGTGCAATTTTATACAAAAAAAATTATGACGTTTTTTTCGGACAAATTTTTTCGACCAGTCATAAAGTCATGTAAGTCGCCTAAAAAGTTTTGGGCTCAATTGGTTCAGTCGTTTTTATGTTTATTGGATACAAACAGACGCCCAATCAAAAAATATAGATAGAAGCTAAAAATTTCAAAAATATGTGATTTTCTTTTAGTCCAGGGTTCAATAAACTTTCTTGCGAACTTTCTCTGACAAAATTATAAAAAAAGGAGAGGCTGTAGTTATTCTTTTATCTTTAAGCAGAATGAATGTCTTAGAAACTTAGGAAACCTTGATTAGCATTTGAAACCTTTGGATTTGGATGAAAACAAATAAGGCTGTAGAAGTTTTCAAAGCCATGCCTTTTCCCCCATTCTCTGTATAGTTGAGTATTGTCTATTTTCCTTGATATAAGAATCTGCGAATTCTGTAAGATGTCATTTTTGAGAACTGGTTCAACTCTTTTAGCCTTAAAATAAACTTAAGATCACTTTAAGATTTTTCTTTAAAATAGTTTTTGTAAAAAATTAATTTCATAAATACAAAACTTTCAGCGTGATTGTTTCAAAAAAAATAAGGTTGGCCCCTCCCAGCCTTTTAGGGTTAAGTCAAATTTTTAAAAAATGTTTAACCTCTAAATGTTTCATATCCTGGGCTTTCTCAACTTGGATTTCTTTTTTCTCTTTTGTTCCAATTCGTTCTTTATCTTGATTCTCAACAATCTCTTCCGAAATTTCATCTTCAATATTATCTTTCGAAAATTTTTTCTTGTTTTTTGGTTGAAAACTGTAGAGGGGGTTGCATAGATCCGCGGTATTTCCTTCCTGATTTGTATATTCTTTACTAGCAACAATGTTAATATTTGATTTTATTTCTATTCCACCAGTTTCGGACAGTACTTGTTTGGGACCAACCGACGTCATTAAAATTTTTAATATTTTTCGTGGATTTTGACAAATCTACTTTGTAATGCTTCCCACTGCGGGTAAGATGGTGAACTAAACTCCGGAGTAAAATTCTAAATGGTTAACATCAATCCTTATCAAGAATGGCGAGATCGAAGTTCAGACTATTAATGATTGTTTATAAATATGAAAATATAGTTACCCACATTTCTTACAACAAGTGCTTCTAACTTTTACACTGGCGGCATTGATTAAACATGTTCTGTAAAGAAAAAGAACACAAATCTTTTACAGTTCGGTCCTTCACTTTCAATCCCAATTTGAATTCAATTCAATTACTTTGAATAAAAAATATAAAAGGACAAGTAGGTTTAAAGATTGTTGAATTACCAAAATACGATTGACGCATTTATTAATGATTGTTTATAAATTGTTTACAGGATTATTCAAAATGTTTTGTAATGCCAAAATTGGGGCTGTCGCGTTCTTTTTCTTTAATTGTACCATTGAGCCTCGGGTGTATGTGTAACTCTTTACATCCACACTTTCTTGAATTGGTTAGATATCTATTATCTATCATTAAAGGCCAATTTATTTCTATATGATATACAAACAATATAATTGGATGCCATAATTAATCCATTACTTCCTAATGAAGGAAACATTAAAAGCCAATTTCCAACTTATTCAACATGGAGATTGCAATAATAATAATAAAAATAATTCTGTATTATCTAAAGATAAAGTACAATAAAATGATATGTATGTAAGACTGGATTGATCATAGAATAACATGACAATTGAAATGGAACAACAGCCCAAAAACATTCAAAAATCAAGGTTATTATTTTTCAAAAAATGTCCAACATGTCTGTTTTAGATAACACGCGATGCTAAGAAATTCGTTTTACTTGAGTGCCTAAAAATGAGTTCCCATTTTTTCTATTTCTGTTTAAAGCGTTATTTCAAGTGACCCTCCATGTAAAGATGGCAATGACTGATTTACAACAGTACCCTTGAAACCTTCATCTGGTCAAAAATGTGGAAGATAACGTCGTTTTCTGAGTTGAAAATTGTTTTAATTCTGATAACTTCTTAATTGCTCACTTTCGTACGAAACCCGCAATTGAAAGAAACCGTTTAAGAAACAAAAACATGGATATATAATTCTATACTTGATCAGACAAATATCGTTATAAATCGGGCATTGGCATCTTTGTATGCTTACAGTCCCTTTAAGTAATGTTAAAATATTTGTAGGTTGATTATTCTAAACTTGGCATACTCTCTAATCTATGATAACTAGGATTTTAATCCGCTTCGCGCCCATCTTCTATTTCAACTTTTAATTGTGGCTTTATTTGTGAGCATCTTCTCTTTGAACAGTATAAAAAAAAGTTTGCGGATTTCATAATATTTGTTGCGCATTTTCAATATTTTTCAAAAGTTAAAAACTTTTAAGCACACAGTTTTGAAATTTTGATCATTCGTAAACCTTTCATATAGATAGATAGAACAAGTGAAATTCTTAACAATATTTTTTATACACTCTAAATTTGAGAGAATATTTTTATCCTGCATTTTCACTCGCAATGTCATGATTACGAGAATAAAAAGCTTATGATTTTTTTTTCAAGGCAATTAAGAAACGTTTTAAAAAGACAACGAAAAAATTGCACATTTTTATGAAAATTGAATTGAATAAAATATATTCAGCCACCTTGTGTTATCTTTGGATAATTGGATGATTGTATTTTTTGTTGTGATTAAAAATCTTAAATTTAAACCTTTAAAAAAAAAGAATTTAATTCCGGCAACAAAAAAACATATTGTCCCGCATGATAACACAAGGCAGTTGCATAAAGAGATAATTATCACTCTCCACTAAATCCCCACTATATATATATATATCTTCTATCTAAGTACTGCAAATCACTGCAGTACAGACCGAGAGATTAGTTTAGGGTGTTATAACTGCAACCACTGTCCGTAGGGATATCAACGGTAGTTGATATAAAAACAAATATCTTATACATTAAACCTCATTTAGTCTTGAAAACTAGAGAATAAAGTTCTATATATTTAACACTAATTGCAATATCACTGAATTCTTAGGTTTATTTCAAGTACCGGGCCGCCTTTTAGACAGTGAGATTTGGTTTTTCGGTATACATAAAGACTAAAGACAACAAAACTGAACAGTACACTAAATAAATCATCTCCAACTGCAAAAAGATCCTGACGCCTACGAAAAAATGAAGCAGTTTTTAAGACTAGATCAATTTTGAAGTGTTGCAAACCTTTGCCTTTGATTCTGCCTCGCGAGGTAGAAAAAATTGGTTCTGGGGCCCAGGGGCCGGCCGATTGGATTTTGCCTTGGTTAAGTAAAAAATTTTATTTTCCGAATAAGTAAATGTACACAATTTTATCGCCTTTTGAGATGAAAATGCGCGAATATTTTTCCGAAAAGTTTGTAGAACGGGTGGTTATTTTACATAATTATCCCAAGGGACGTATTTTACATAATTATCCCAAGGGACGTATTTTACATAATTGTCCCAAGGGACGTATTTTACATGATTGTCCCAAGGGACGTATTTTACATGATTGTCCCAAGGGACGTTAAGTAACCTAACCTCCCTATGTTGTGGGAATCGTAGGTCGGGAATTTTGTTTAAAAGGCGGTAAAAATCTTTTCCGAATCAATTTCGCGACGGAATTGTCTTACGGAACCTTTCATTAAGAATGCAAAACTATCCTATTGGAAACAAGGAAATCATCATTAAGGGAAGTTCCAATATTGTGTTCCGTATAACTTGAATAAAAAATTAATAGTTTTAAAATCTACTTTTATAGTCTATTTTCTAATAAGTTATTTTGTGATTTAAAACAGATTAATGAACAATGACAGATTAAAGTAAGATTGGAAAGAAAGGCAATTTTCTTGGAATTCAAATGAAAAATCATTGTTTAACAAAAAATAGCATACCAGATTAAATACTGTAAAATAATTGCAAATTATATCTTTAAACTAATAAAAATTAGATATGAAGCCTGAATTACGTTTATTATATGGATTGTGTTTTAAGAAATAGAAACTAGTTATTTATGTTTTTTTCAGAATGTTTATTTCTCTCCTTGTGGCATGTTTCACATTTCTACAGTTTTCAGAGGCGGTAAGTGTAACAATGTAAATTTCTTAGTTTTTGTAATTGTTCGTTTCCCGTACACGTTAACAGAAGCATATGGGTGGGGCAAAGTCGTAGTTGAGTTTAAAGGACTGTGAACCTCAAAGCAAAGATGGCAATGCCCGATTTATACATCGGGACGTTTTTATTTCATTCAAAAACCTCTCGTTAATTTTTTTAAAATGAAAAATATCGTTTGTTTGCGGAAAAAAAATATCGTTTCCGGTAAAAGACAGCCAGCCCAGTGTGCAAATTTCATTTTAGAACTCCATTGTATCCCTATTTTCAAAAAAAACGTTGTATTTGAAATTTTTAAAAACTCTTTTTTATCGATTGCAACTTCTTTTATTGTTTATTTCCACATCGTCTATTACAACTAGGAATTCGCGATTTTGTTTTCAAACAAAAACCATTTAGTTACATTGGTAGTCAGCAGATTAAAGCAAGGGTGAAATGCAAGGAAAGTTAATTGCAGTTAATTGTATACTATGCGTACATATTGAAACCAGTTCTCTTTGGGCGGAATTTGTAAACAAGAATAGATGCATCAGTGTTCGTTTAGCATCCGAGGAGGTTAAAAGCATTAAATTTTGATGATTTTAATAATTCACATAATCGTTTCCTAAGACCAGAATATTTCATTAATTTTTTTATGTGAAAGATGGATCCCATGTCAGGCTGTAACATCCGTCTTGTGTTTACTTTACCGCCCAGAGACAGTACACTGCAGTACAAAAGATGCGTACACTTCTGAAATAACTTTCCTTGCATTATATCCTTGGATTAAAGTAAATATTTATTTTTTCAGTTTACTTCAATGGCAACTAATGACGCAGAAAATACTCGGTAAAAACTTGAACATTTATCGTAATCTTTAATTGAAAAAGTGGCATGAATAATTTACAACGGTACCCTGAATATTTTGCCTGATAAAAATGAATTTTATTTCTCTTAAAAATATCAGAATTAAATACTTTTCAATCTTGAAAAGTAATGAATGTTTTTTTCAGAGATTAATAACAATACAGATAGAACACTAAATATCGTATTTTCAAGATTTAGGCGTTTTTCGTTTGCACAATAACCCTGAGGCAGAAACCCAGAGGAGTTACGCGCATGCCGCGTTGAATGACAAAACAGAGAGAGATCATACGAGTAACTCCTTTGGGCTTCTGCCTCAGGGTATTTGTGAACGAAAAAAACCCTAAATCTTGAAAAGACGACGTTTAGTCTGTATTGTTATTAATCTACGTTTATCAAGGTTCTCAGAAACTACCATTAACAAACGAGCAAATGTGAAACTAATATTCTTTAAAAACTTAATGCGAGGTAAGATAATCATTGGAAGGTAATATGTAGACGGTCACCGTATCACGTGACTGAAATGCTTTCCAGAAAACATTTCTTCCTTTCAAGATGACGACCTTTCCTTTACTCAAAAAACTGGTAACTTTAAGCTGATCTGAAGCCCTATTGACATGAGAAATTTTCTTTCCCAATACTGTGACACATCATTGGGAAAAGAATGAAATAAGTTACAGCGACATGGAGCAATGGAAGAAACAATTGACTTTATGAATAAGTCTAATGCTTTTTGGATGACCATGTGAAGTTAACAGTATATTGAATATTAAAGGAACTGTAGAAGTAATTTCAAATGAGTCTTTTATTAAATATGTACATGTCCGATTCACAACGGTACCCTTTAAACCTTTATCTGAGTAACAATAAGAAAGATATTTCCATCTTAGAACGTACTGAATTCTGATCGTTTTCTTCTCTTTTTCCGTAATCTGAATCTGCAAGTCATTTGCACAGAGAACCCACAGTTGAAAGTAATCAATTTTCCGATGGAAAAAGAAGGATTTTTCATTCGTCCTTTAATAGATAATGGTTAAAAAGGTATTGTTTTGAATCGGATATTCCACTCTAAAAATGGAGGAGGATATTCCACTCTAAAAATGGAGGAGGATATTCCACTCTATAAATGGAGGAGGATATTCCACTCTATAAATGGAGTCGGATATTCCACTCTATAAATGGAGTCGGATATTCCACTCTATAAATGGAGGAGGATATTCTACTCTGTAAATGGAGTCGGATATTCCACGCTATAAATGGAGGAGCGTTAGAAAATCATCCCTTTTATTCCAAACAAAGGAATATCTTGTATTGTAATAATTTTGCAGTCCAAAAATTTTTCTTTTTAAAAACTCTTCTTCTGCACATGCATTTGTCTAGATAAATAATATCTCTAAAATGTCTAGATCTAGATGAATCTGGAAAGCTGGATAAAATTAAGCAGATCCATTCAAGGAAATTAAATTAAATCAAATCAAAAAAATTTAAGGAAAACATTTTTACTAAAACACGGGTTTGCCGAATTTAAAGGGGCGTAATTTTTTAAATATGTTAACGCCGAGAACACCATTTGATCCGCTCTTTGAATATTTAGCTTTCATTGTATTTTACATTTTTTGGGAGCCCGCCTTTGCCTGGAAAGTTTTCCCTATAAACCTGAACCCACTGAAATATTCCCGTTGTACTACCAAATTCCCCAGCTTTTGAGTCAAATCCTGAGTTCTTATTGGACCTGCAAACAAGCAGACAATCAAAGATTTAAACTTCTTTATGGAATCTCTGATTTGCCTCAAGTTTTGAACTAGGGGTCGGGAACTAAGAAGAATCACGGGAATTTCTTACTTTTTTTTGAAAGCTTTAATAGAGTGAGTTGACTTTAAATAGGAAAAAATCCAGGCAGAACTGGGTCTCCAAGCTAGTTTTGGCTGTGGCAAAATATTGATAATAAAAATAATTTTAATAATCTGATTTAATTTTACTGCTTGTTTGATAGACAACAAGCAAATCAGGTATTAGACATCGATCTACTTCTTAGTTTTAAAACAAGAAAACAAATAAAATATTGAATATATTTTTAGATTGAAGGACAGCCAAAAGTTCAAAGATCCTCCAGTGATTGGTAAAATTTTAAAATAAATGTTGACGTCTGCAATTTGATTTTTAAATGAAAAATAAACATATTTTCATTGGAAAAGCATGTTAACAGATCTTAACAAAAGTAGAATTAGACGGAAAGGAATTGAGTCTTTGTCATAAAATCTGATTTTCTAATCTCTATATCTTTACAATCCAATTTCGTAGACCTTAGATATTTCAAACTATGAATTCTGATAGATCAAATAGTCTAAATTTGAAATATCAAGGTTTTTACCATCAGGTTGCCAAGATATAAGGATTAGAAAATTCGAGTTTATGGCAAAATCTCAATTCCTTTTGAGTGGGTGTAAATGAAGGAATCTTAAAATCAGGTTATCTGCAAAAAAAGGTAGGACTGAACAACGAAAAAACATGTATGATACTAGGCAGTTTTGTCAACAATGGGAGAAGCTGAAAAGACTATCCGGTATCCGTCCATATTAAAACTAATACAAATTCTTGAAGTAAAAACATCTTCCTTATTATTTATCTGATAAAAGGTATTGTTGTGAATCAGGCATTGCCATGAAGGTTACTGTAAACTACCCCGACAGTCTTGTTAAATTAGGTCCGAAAAGAAACTGAAAGCGGAAAAGGAAGCCAACGAGGAATTGAACGATGAATATAGGTTGGATGAGGAGAAGGAATTAATCCAACAATTGAAACAAGAAAAGAAATTGAAGGAGAAAAATACATCTGAAACCCCTGAAAACGTTGTCCAACAATTAAAAGGTTAGAAAATTGAAATACAGTAAAACTTTACAAAAAAAACTGTGGCAAGAAGAAGACAATATTGAAGCAATAATTTGATTTACTTATTAAATAGCATGGGTCTGTGCTCACTGCGCAATTGCTGTGTTATATATTTATTGGACTATTCTAGTCATCCTAGACTTTTCCACAGTTTTTTGGGTCTCACTGTATTTGTAATTTTTTTTAAGTCAAACCCGTCAAAAAAGTCTAAACGAAATGCACCCAATAATTGTCCCCTTATAAGCACAATAGGACGCATTTACTAAGGTATTGAATAATATTTGAAATACATTTTACTCTCTTCATTTCCAGAGGAGCTGATGAAATTAGTATTCACCTCTATCATTGCAAAGGTAATATCTTGGGGTTAAAGTTTAATATTTCAAATTTAGATTAACAGAATTCATTGATTGAAATATCGAAGGTTTACGGCATTGATTGCAAAGATATATTGACAATAGTAATAATAATATTACTGACGTTTATTTCTAAATATTGTTTAGATTTACAAAACTGTCAGAAAAGAACTGTCGAATAGCAAAAAACTAGCATAGCCGTTTCAATGATATATGTTCTGAAATAATACTTGACGGTGGGGTGCGGTGTAAGACTTGAGAACTATATTAGCTTTCGTAGAGATTAAAAAAAGAACAACTTTCGGGTCAAATCCAGAGTTAAATGTTAAAAATCTAGATTGAGAATTTCGTTTGAAATATCGCATTACTGGCACATTTTTGGCAAATAAATACATATATCTTAGTTTCTTATGTTCTATTATTCTTAGGTTAAAGCTGCGAAATATTTGATTGCCAATTTTATTTAATATAATTTAAATATGTATTTATCCATTCTTTTTTTAAAGGATTTTTTTAATCTAATATGCACCTACCTACAGAATTGTAGATTTTAAACTCAGTGCTTTAGAAAATTAAAAGCACATTTTTCAGTGATGCAGCATAAAAAGCTGGCCTGTATACCCTGTCTAGGGACAGCTTGGACAGAGTACAGTGAATAATATGTTGGAATTTTAACAAGAATTTACTTTGTTTCCAGAATAAATCTAACACAGCCTCAAAATTTATTGAATTTAAGAATGAAATTTATTGTTTGATTAAAGGTTATTATTTTATCTTTTACCGCTTTTGACCAACATTATCGACCCATCATTTCCTAAACAGAGGGACGTAAAGTAACGCAACGTCCCTTGGGACAATCAAGTAAAAAAACCACCCGCACGTGTACTTAAGTAATTTTTCCGGAAATTAAAAATTAATCAAAGAAACCCCCGGTAGAGTAAAATTCCCTGTAGAGTAGTTGTAAATAATTTAAACTTACTTGGGAAATCAACTTTGCATGGAAATCAAAATCTTCGCTATAAAAAGCAAGCTAAAAAGACTACTGTGGTTTAACGAGTTCCGCAATCAAAATTAGCTCGGCAAATCAGTCTAAGGGTTTACGAGTTATGATCAGAAATCCAAACAGACAAACCAGTCGACAAACAGAGATAACTTTACAACAGTACCCTTTTAAACATCTATCTGAGTAACAATGAGAAAGATATCTTCGTTCTTTTCCTTAAAACGTGCCAATCTATGAATGGAGGGTTAAAGCTGGTTAAAGCCCATGTTTGAATACAAGTTAGTAATTATAATCAGATCCGAGTCTGATGCAAGTTACTTATCAGATCCGAGTCTGATACAAGTTACTTATCAGATCCGAGTCTGATTCAAGTTACTTATCAGATCCGAGTCTGATACAAGTTACATATCAGATCCGAGTCTGATACAAGTTACTTATCAGAACATAGTCTAATACAAGTTACTTATCAGATCCGAGTCTAATACACGAATTGCTTAAAGAACTGTAAATATACTTTACTCGCTGAATTATTAAAATAATCGTACATTCATTCATTTTATTTACATTTACTATAATTGTACATAAAACGTACATACACATGTCAGGGGGTATATCAAACTGTTACATTTTTATGTAATGAAAAATTATATAATTTAAGCGTATTATAGAAAATATACGTTTTCAAAGGAATTGAAACCTTGCCACAAAATCAAATTCTTTAATCTTTATATCTTTGCAGCCTAATTACCGATACCTTAGATATTTCAAACTTAAATGAACAGAACTCTTACTTTAACATATCTAAGGTCTACGATATTTTTTAGCAAAGCTATAGGGATAAGAAAATCAGAGTTTGTGGCAAAAAAATTGAGTCTTTGCCACAAACTCTGATTTTCTAATCTCAATATCTTTTCAACCCAATGTCGTAGACCTTAGATATTTCAAACTATGAATTATGTTAAATAAAATAATCCAAGTTTGAAATATCAAAGGTTTACAATGTTCGGTTGCAGTTGCATAGGGATTAGAAAATATGAGTTTGTGGCAAAAACTCAGTTCCTTTCCTTCAGACCACAATGATATGAACAAATATTTATCTACCACTTTTTAAAATAAATTATGTATTGCACTAACACCATCCACTGCTGATAACTCCATCAAAATTAGAAGGTAGACCTAATCTCGATCCACCTAAATACAAATAGAATATTAAAGAAAGTGTTTTTGAATTGTGAGACTGGATACAGGCCGAACTCTTTAGGAAGGTTCGATCCGCATATGTATATTTTGTAATGAATCTTTTAAAGTCTCTGCCAAGCAATAAATTCGTGCCTTTTTAGGAATTTTAAAGTTATGCCAGGATTGTTTTTATTTTCTATAATAACACTCGGAAAATTACAGTTATTATTAGACATATTATTTTACAAAATCATTCATTCTATACCCCACAAAACATGCATGTATGCTTTCTTTCTGGTGTTAAATAGCCTTCACTTTCAGCCTTGTTAAACCTTATTAAAATTGGCTTTCTTGTATCTTATTTTGGTCAGCAGCATGTTTTATTTGATAAAGTATGATGTCAGTACAGGGTATTATAGGAATAAGGGAAAGGAAATGGCGCTGGTCTGGCATGAGAAAACCAGTCGCACTGCTTTGCAGACGAGTTTGGTATTCCTTACACACACTTTTTTGGTACAGACACACAACCCCATGACGTTTCCGCCCCCTGTGGCAGTAGCGCTTAGTTTGATGGAATTTTTACATGTCTGAGTTGTTTATGATACAACGAAAACTAGATACAGCATTCGACAACATAAACCAGATGTAAGCGTAGTTTCAACTGATCATCTTCACGCGAAGAGGGCCATACCCTATTCACAACGGTACCCTTAACATTAAAGCTTTGTCTGATCAAGTACGAAGTAGGTATCAAGGCCGTTTACAATTTTAAAAACTGATTATTTTCAATTTTGTGGTTTCTCTACACAATTAACTTGCGCATTTCTACTGTAGGAAAATATATGAAAATTATCAGAATTAATATTTTTAAACCTGGAAAAACGGCAAATTTTTGATCAGATAAAAGTTTCAAGGGTACCGTTGTGAATCAGGCATTACCATCTTTACATGGAGGGTCACTTACAATTACGTTTACACTGCCTTTAACATTAACTTACTTGGGTAGATTGCTTGAGTGTAAGCTGGAGAATTCTTTTCTTTCAAGATAATTTCTTGAAGTCTTTTAACAGTCTGAATAGAAAACAGTTGTAGTGAGGCATAAATCTTTATACTTTATAGTTCTTCAGCACCCGAGATATAAACTACTTGACCGCGGAACAGATCAAAAATTAATTTAGATACAGTGGACAGCCTGAAAACTCTGAAATAGGACTTCTAGAATCAAGTTTTACTTTAAAAAGATTCAACACTTGTGCAGTGTATTAACAAGCCATTTAACTTAATAACTTATTTAATAAGTATTGCTATAATGCCCTCTTCCTATTCCATTGTTTTCTGGTTATCACTGTATAATTTACTCTCTCAATACTCAAACAGTCAAAGAATAAAAATGAGCTTTCTTTTTTTGGGTCCATTTTAATTTGAGAATCAACCATGCAAAGGCCGGGGCCAGATACAACTCAAATTTGAACATTTAAAAGGTTAGATTTGTTGTCTACCTACTAGATTTTAGTTCAAAAAACCCAGTTTCTTTAGGTTTGATTGGTGCAACTGTAACCGAACCCAAGCTTTTGAAACCCAGTTTTTAGATGAATATTTTGAATGAATGCAGATGTGGTCACCTGAGGATTTTTCTCTGAAATATCGTTATTTTCCGATGGATCTGAGATAGTATTATACAGTCTTACTCTTCTCCTAGCATAAAATAGAAACATTATTTGGGTCATTTTCTTCCTTGTCTCTTTATCTGAGTAGCACTTAGGAAGATATCGTCGCTTTAATATCTTAAAAAGAAATAGATCCTGTCAATTATCCTCGTAAATCTATGGAGCACAAATTTCTTATACCAAAAATTAAAAATTATTCATTTTCAGATAAAAACAAGGATATCTCCACCATTTTCAGATAAAAAAACAAGGATATCTCCACCATTTTAAGAAAAAAAAACAAGGATATCTCCACCATTTTAAGATAAAAAACAAGGATATCTCCATCATTTTCAGATAAAAACAAGTATATCTCCATCATTTTAGCTCTGAGAAAGTTTCGAAGGTACTACATGGTAAATTAGGCATGTCACTCTTTTAATAAAGGGTTACCTGAAATTCCTTTAACAGTCGCGTTAAGGATATTGCGGTGAATCGGTTTTAAGGGAGGGTAACAATAAATTACACTGACAGTCTCTTTCTTGAATACCTTTCTTGAGGTTTATGTTGTTTAAGAAGATAGTCCTGACCCCAAATCATCTTGTAGTCTCCTTCTTGAATACATGCCTATATATGAAACAGGGCTGAAATTTAAAAAATAAAACCCAGTCTTTATTAGACTTGAGCCTTCCTGACGCCCAGGTCTTACCTTAGGTCTACAATTAGACCCAATGATTCTAATTGGTTCTGATTTGACCAATGTGGTGAGCTTTGTCTGGAGAATGATGTGCAAATCAGCTCAAAGACCAGTTTGTCTCATCAGTTTAAATTACTGGCTGTCTCAATTTAAATTTCGAAAACTCAAACTTGACTATATGTATGTTAATATATGTTTATACGTGGGTTAATCTTATAAATCACCATTTTTAATACTTCAGATAACTCACAAGATTTTAAATGCAAAAATTTACGAAATTTACGAGCTCTAACCTTTGAAGACTTGAGTCAATTGGGTTTTTCTAAATCCAAAACTCGAGTCTTGTCTTGGGCTTTGCTTGGGCGTAAATTGACGCTAAGACTGGGGTTTACTTGAGGTTAAGCTTTTAAAATCTCAGCCTAGGGTTACCCACAGTGGATGAGACGTCAGAATGTTTACTGTCTGCTTCTTTATATTCATGATTCCCGGCAGCAACTGTATAAACTTGTTTCTTCCTTTGCTAAATCATATTTTAAGCATTCATAGACTATATTCAAGGCCGACGACTTGGTTTAACCTTAGGATCGTCTTAGGATCGTCAAATTTTAGAGTTTTCAATCGTCTTTGTAGTCTCACCCTTTGGGGGTAACCCTGTACAAGCTAAAGAATAACTCTGATAAACTAATCCAAACATATTTTCAACCTGATGGTTTAAACCTTTGATATTTCAAACTTTGTATAGGTCAAAAGTTGTGAAATATTGGGATAGAAAATTAGAATTTGAGGCTAGTTTTGAGTTCCTTTTAAAATGTTATTGTTATTTTTGAGATCATTTATACAAAGGGAAAAATACAACGGAATGAAGAATAAGAGAATGCATATTTTTTAACGATTCCACCCCCCCCCCCTCTCCCTCCCCTTCCATCACCGTCGTTGCTAAATGATAAGCTTGACATATGACTGTATATGCCACTGCTTAATGTTTATTTAACAGTCATCCGTTATTGTTAAAATTAATCTGTGTTAATAGAACCAAAAACTGACATTAATAAACTGTCTATTGTTTTCTGTAAACAAGTTTTACCCATAATTTCCATCGTTTGTTTGCAATAAATTTTATCAAAATGGGCAGTTTATCAATAGTTTAGAAAGTTTTGTAATAATTCTGAAAGATTTAATTATAGCTCAATAGTTTGCACGTATGTAATTTTAGCTTTATTTGCACAATTCTGGACTGTAAAATTTAGCTTGAATATATAAATACGTAAATTTTGCTATTTTTTGGTGGATTTCTAACATTTTTTAAATGCCAATTGTTTTTTTACTTTGACCTCTAATAACAATCATTTAGTTGTTGTTTTTCAAGTCGTTATTGTTTCCTCGTATAACTCAATAAAAAATTCCACGACTTTTCTGTTTTAAATTTTGGGATTTTATAAAAATCGTAAAATTCGACAATTTTCTTGTCAAAATAAAATTATTTTTGATTGATTGATTGATTCAGCCATTTTGATGTTTATACATACGAACTAACACCAAGACAAGCCAAATTCATGTAAATATAAATATTATTGAATGAACGTTCTTGTCAGCTGTCTTAACAGTGAACATGAGAAAATGTGAGCTACTGAAAAGTTGAGTTCTCAGGATTCCCTTGAGACCTTTAAGATAATACGTTGTTACAGAATTTAACTCAACACAAATTCTTCTGAAAACATGTTCTCAACATTCAATAAAGTCGAACGTGACATTTTTAAATGACTTTTTCTATTTCTTATCCCAAGTTTTGAAAAAGAAATTACTGAAAATTGTTATTTTAATATGAACATTTTTTTATGACAGTACAGTACAGTACAGTACAGTACAGTACAGTACAGTACAGTACAGTACAGTACAGTACAGTACAGTACAGTATAGAACAGTACAGTACAGTACAGCACAGTACAGTTACGACTTTGCAACCAAGTTTTAATTTTACACGCTGGAGTCAAAATAGCAAGCTGTTCTGGTTCGTCTTGAAGAAAAATAAGTTGTAATTGAAAACATACAAAATTTCAAATCTAAAATGAGCTTTAAACATGATTTGATAAAATGATGAAACCGCCGATTTTACGAGGGAGGGAAACCTTTGCCCCCCAATCCTCTATATTTACCTTTATATTTTGTGCCGGGATTAGTTAGAAGAGGACTCAAAAGGAAGGAGGCACCTCTTTCAAAAAAAAATTTTCTTATATATTTATTTTAAACACAAATACCTGGAACTAACATCGTATTAGCGAGGAGAAATATACTTCGTAGACTAAGTTTTATTTATTTTTGTAAATAAAATATACGTCATTATCTAAATATTTAATGTTCAGAAATCTTGTCACATAAATGGTAACTTTTATTATACTAGAGATTACTAAAACAAAGACGACCGTTAGTCCGCAATATTCTGGTTAAGAATTTATGTTATCTGTGAATCAAATACGGAATTATGTTCTGAGAATTGTTCTTACCTTATTCCTCCTTCATACAGGGATTCCTTTCCTCCCGTCAAAGGACTAAAATATAGATAAATGTATTATAAAACATGCAGTGTACGCCGAACACCATAGTTTCAGTAGAAGTAAATATTTTCATGTACTGATAGCACCGGTTGAAGGATTCATATCTCTGATTGGATAATGAGATAGATAGAAAGATAGATGTTACCGCCATGCAATTTCTATTGGTTCAGAATAGACATCAAACACATGACTGAACCCTGATTGGAGCAGGCGCTAATGGACCGGCATACAGGAGTGCGTACGGTGATCTAAAATGTGAACGCTCTCGAGCAAAAATCTCTATCATTATTTGTCAATTATTCTTTAAAACAGTTTTTAAAGTAGTTTTTTAAGGAAAATGTCTATAATCTCTAATATACAAAAAAGTGACAAGTGAGTTTGCAAGTTTTATCCAAAGACCAAATACCATATTACCACAACTCCCACAAAATAAATACGTGACCCGGTCATTAGAATTGATGCGTAATTTTTTTTCTAAAGAGAGAACCAGAACAGTGTGAAACCTATCTTTAGTAATTTCTCACAACTGTTACATTTCTTAAAAACAAAGAAAAAATTCAGTAGCAAATAATAAAACCCTTAGCGACATTTTATTATTAATTAAGAAAAGAAGAATTCCCCAATTCCACTGGTTTCTGGTTATCGCTGTACGCAAAATTTGTATTTATTCAGGGCGCTTCACGCCATGTTACTATTACAAATCAATTTTTGTAAAGTATATTATATCTATCTCCGCATCTATATCTTTCTAGTTATCTATGCATCTTTCTCTATATAAATAAAAGTATGTATCTATCAATGTATATTGTATAATATTTATGTATCCATCTACATACTCAATACAGTGATAGCCAGAAAACAAAGGAAAAGTAAGACGACATTATAGAAGTATTTGATGGTGTTCCAAAGTAAATAGTTTGACTAGAAGACACTTATTAAGTCGCTAATTCAGTGGAATGGGTCGGCTTTAATGAACAATTGTTCTGTCTCATGCTCATTGGACTTTTTAAAGTTATAACTTTATTTTAAAAGTCGTCTTCCTATTTCAGAGTGTTCTGGTTATCAGTGTATCTATCTATACCTACCTATTTGTTCTGGGAGGTCCGCCTCCATTATCTGTTGTGACCAGAATAACTGAGTTTTCATAAAGACCAGAACTTTTTAATTCACTGATTATCTGATAAAAAAACGATATTTTCAAGATCAACTAACTTTTAACCTGTAATCAACCGTTTAATGCAAATAAAGAACGTTATCAAAAGTAACTTTTTTAAAGATACAAAAAATATATTTCCCCCCCACCTCTTCTAACAGCTTGTGTTGCTCCTATGACCCTAAGCTAAAGTAAATTGCAAGAAAGGTTTTACATGTTTTCAATCATAATTTCTCTTATAAAAGGAGAGTTATTGAATATCTAATATGCGACCGGATAAATTTTACAACTTTTTCTTAAAATCAAAACTAGAGGAGCTAAAAGGTTAAAACGTTGTTCCGATAATATGGCATAAATTTGACCTTTTCCTTCTGTCTTGTTTGCAGTGATACCTTCTATATAATATATATACACCTTGCTTGTCTGTCTGTCTGTCCTTTTATTTAAAATTTGTTATTTTTGTTTAATCGAAAAGAAAATAATGGAAGATTGAGAAACAATTAAAAGTAGAAGAAAAGATGGGCGGGAACCCCTAGCAATTATTATATCTACCTCATGGACTGCTTGATCTACAGCTACAAGAACAGCATCTCTCATCTCCTCCTCGTGGCCGAATCCCTCAGCATCAAAATAATCCAGGTCATCTTTGTTCTTCTTCTTTCGTCGGCCAAGTAAACTTCGCAATCTTGAATATATTTAGTCTTGGTTAAAACTTAAAGGTTTGTAAAAAGAGAGTGTGAGTCAAAAAACATGGTATTATATATATATATCTGAAAATAAGTTTGAACAATCTCTTTAATAATATGGTTATATTTACAAATTAAATAAACCTAATCAACGATGTTGTAGATTTTAGATGGGATTTTTTAGAGGAAAAGTTACATTAATTTTCTGATTAGAGTGATGACGTAGACATGATTTGTAACCAATAAATTGTTAACTATTCGTACAGGGATTGCAGTCGTAATTTCAAGAGACTCTTAGTCTTCGATGTCAAGTGACAAGTCGTATTCACCGTGGAACTTTTTATATATCTTTGCTGATCATTGTTGAATGAGTACACTTATTTTTCTAGGTGAAAATTTATGGTTTTCAATTGTGTTTTTTTCTGGGAAAAATACCTGCAAAATTATGATCAAGAGACGACAAAGAAAATTTTGTTGAAGAGACAACGTAGGAAATTATGATGAAGAGATATTGAAAGAAATTATGATAAAGAGATGATGAAGGAAATTATGATGAAGAGATGATGAAGGAAATTTTGATGAAGAGAGTTTTATGAAAAAGATCGTTTTAAAAAGGAACATTTTTAAACAACGAACTTTATAAAAAAATTATAGTTTCGTTTTTAAATGATGATTAAGAGACGACGTAGGAAATTATTATGAAGAGACGATGTTGAAAATTATGATTAAGAGACGATGTTGAAAATTATGATTAAGAGACGATGAAGGAAATTATGATGAAGAGATGATGGAAGAAATTAAGATGAAGAGACGACGTAGGAAATTATGTTCACAGGATTGCAGACCTCCCATCCCCCCCTCTATGTCCTCCTCGAGATAAAAGACTGGAAAATGTGAAAAATGTCCCCATCACCCCTCTCCCCCTCCATCAATAAAAGCTAGGAATGCAGGAGCTGACTGGACACAGTATCATGACTGAAGCAAAATTTAAATATAAACAAGGGGGAGAGTCACCTTGCCACTCTCAATATATGGAATATAGATATAGGGCTTCAAAAAATAGTTCTGCCTCTGCAATTTGGCTAGCTGCAGAAAACATCCAAAAAATTCATTTATTTTTATTTTCAAAATTAGCCAAAATATGATTGAAGGATGGACAAGGAATGGAAGAAAAAGAAGAAAGAATGAAAAACAAGAAATATAGAAGTCTCAAAATGTTTCCATCTGATATCATTTAATTAAAATAAATTATTAAAGTTAAAAAAGTGTACCCTTTGTGAATCGGGTCAATTCCTTTAATCAAACCTACTTCTTCGGTGGTCTGCCTACATGAGGTGTATGAAGAGCCATGAAGGGAACATAAAGGAACATTGGTGTATTCGGATTATGTTTCTGTATAATAGTTCGAGCCTCCTAAATAATCTAATCAATTTAAACTGCCTACCGCTGGTTCAAATTTTAATAACCAATTCAAATCCTTCTTTAATCTTTAAGTTTGAATCGGTGGTTCAAATTTGAACTGGCAGTAGGTGGTTCAGCGGCGTGTCCCACGAAACATGTCTGTTGGTGAATAGTTTAAATGTCTTCTTCCATAATTTGTTTAGTTGTTTGAAACCACAGCGAATGACAAAAAACTTTTTATGGCTGTCCTATTATAGTAAAATTGATTTCAAAGTAAAATTAATTCTACTAAAAGAGTTTTTAAACGAAATAAACTGCAAAAAGTTTTTTGTATCTAGTACAGCGTATGGAAGAAGACATTCAAAACTATTCACCAACTGTTATGTTTCATGGGACACCCTGTACAAAACTATTCACCAACTGTTATGTTTCGTGGGACACCCTGTACAAAAAAGCACAAATAGTGCGGCGAGAACCATAACACTATGGATTAGGAAGACGACATTAAGTAATGATTAATTTTGTTACAAAAAAATAGTTTTACTAGTATCTTTTAAATCACTTTTCATAGCGCTCAATTTCTGAATAGCTTGTATATCATGCTCAATTTCAAATACTACCGTTGAATACATTTCTGTAGAATACATCTTACGGTAGTCTGTAGTTACAGATTCATTTCTAAATATTATTATTATTTATATCATTATTATTATTATTATTATTATTATTATTATTATTATTATTATTATTATTATTATTATTATTATTATTATTATTATTATTATTATTATTATTATTATTATTATTATTATTATTATTATTATTATTATTATTATTATTATTATTATTATTATTATTATTATTATTATTATTATTATTATTATTATTATTATTATTATTATTATTATTATTATTATTATTATTATTATTATTATTATTATTATTATTATTATTATTATTATTATTATTATTATTATTATTATTATTATTATTATTATTATTATTATTATTATTATTATTATTATTATTATTATTATNGCTGGTAAATTATTCTACCTGTTTCTATAGTTTATTGCTAGCTGGTAAATTATTCTACCTGTTTCTATAGTTTACTACTAGCTGGTAAATTATTCTACCTGTTTCTATAGTTTACTGCTAGCTGGTAAATTATTCTATCTGTTTCTATAGTTTACTACTATAGCTGGTAAATTATTCTACCTGTTTCTATAGTTTACTGCTTGCTGGTAAATTATTCTACCTGTTTCTATAGTTTACTGCTTGCTGGTAAATACCGAAGAACGTATCGAATCCTCTTCTGATAAAAAAACCGTGCAACAAAATCATTTAAAGATTGAAAATTAAATGAAGAGGTATTTTATAGTAACCCACCATTTATAGAGAGACAAGTCTTGCAAAACTATAGAGAAAATAAGTAAAATTGACAAAACTCAACATGTTTAAAGATAAAAAACGATGATATTCTCCTCATTAAAAGAGTATCATTGTAAATTGGACACGCCTGACTATAAATGGAAAGTTGCTTGAAATTAAGTGTACATTCATGCACTTTAATCCTCTTCTGGACGATTCATAAATATTGTTTTTAATATTTAGTTTGGAGGAAAAATTTATTTGATAAATTTAAAATTATGATTATGAAATTAGAATTAATTAAATTATGGGTTCATATCATACAAAGTCATCTTTACGAAGTGAGTAGGGAGGGTGGGGGGAG